TTAAACATGACTTGTCTCCGTTTATGAGCCACCTCAGACTCTGAAGGAAGTCCTGGGCAATCCACAGATCCTCTGTCAACTGTTGTGTGAGACCTGGCCACGAAGAGGAGATCGTTCAGATAGGGAATGATCATAATAGACCTCATTCTTAGGGAGGCCAAGGCCTCCACAAGTACTTTTGTAAAAATTCTTGGTGCCATGGCCAGACCAAAATCTGATGGATATGTCTGGGTTTGGCAGTAGTCAGGAGAACGGTACTTGCCTGACTGCATTGTGCCAAGTGTAAAGTTTGGTGGAGGGGGGGGTTATGGTGTGGAATTGGGCTTGGCCCACTAGTTCCAGTGAAGGGGAACTCTTAAGGTGTCAGCATACCAAGACATTTTGGACAATTTCATGCTCCCAACTTTGTGGGAAAAGTTTGGGGATGGCCCCGTCCTATTCCAACATGACTGAGCACCAGTGCACAAAGCAAGGTTCATAAAGATATAGAAGAGTGAGTTTGGGGTGGAGGAACGTGTCTGGCCTGCAACCCAATAGAACACCTTTGGGATGAATTAGAGCGAAGACTGTGAGCCAGGCCCCCTCCCCCGACATCAGTGCAATGTTATGATAAATAAACATACCAGATATTTTAAACTATGAGGAGCGTTTACATGCTTGCTTTCACATGAGTCTGTGCTGTTGGAAGAATGAACGTGACTGTTTAGTAATGTATTTGGAGACACCCATTACAGCCATATTATATGACGGACTGCTCTGGATAAGCTGGCCATTGGGGTCTGGTAAGCCTGCATTTTACAGGACTGGCATGTGTTGTCCTAGGGGGCAGAGCCACCCAGTGACATCACCAGGTGACACATTCCCCCCCCCTATGAGGCCATGGGGCAGGGTCTCAGAGATCACCAGCAGGTGCCGGCTCTATAACAACCAGCGACTCATCCCTGCTGCTGACAGAAGGAAGGAGTCACTGGTTGGGAAGCTGACAGGCACCAAATACTTAAAGCTGAAAATGCTTAAAAACGCACTACAAAATGTTTGAAAACATGGTCAAAAACGCAATGCTCAGGTGTGAATGCAGCCTAAAAGGGAGAAGCAGAAAACTGATGAGCTCATCTCTCTATTACTTTGCTCTCTCCTCCTATCAGTATGTTCCCTGCAGGACAGCGAGCACTGCACAACTGACTGACTGCTTCTCTCTCTCCCAGTCTGAGCTCTCCTGTACAAGGCCTGTGAGAGACTGATATCAGGTTGCATTCAGGTATTCTATACATTGAATTAGGTACCCTACTTACACTGCTTGCATTTAAAAAAGAAATTTAAAAGTGCCACTAAAGGATATTCATATTCTCCAATCATCCATACACATCCACTACTGAATGGCCTTGTATTCTATTTTTCGTGAAATAATTTCCTACTGCGTTTTTCTGCCTCCTTGTAATGATCTCTGTGAGCTCCTGAACTTCTCCTATTCCTCCCATCTTGTGTTTGTTTGAAATGAGCAATGCATATATCTCTATTCCATAGTCCATCTCAAGAGCAAGCAAAAGTGGGTGGCTACATTCCCGCATACAGCGGGACCACGGAGAACAAATGTAGCCACCCTTTAACAGGATGTTGGATCACAGCAGCAAAAACAAAGGAATTTGGAGGAGGCCGAGAGCAATAAAGGTACTTTCATGTTAAAGGTTACATACTTTAATAGAATTTTTTCTTTTAACGCTCTGCTCACACTTGTGCGACTTGTCATGTAACTTTGGACACAAAGGCGCATGACAAGTCGCAACCCATTGTTTTCAATGGCACCCATTCAAATCTATGCGACTTAAGGTCACAGCAACTTTGAAAAGGTTCCTGCAGTATGTAAGTTGCATCAAAGTTACCATGTAAAGTCACCTCACACACCAAAGTCGCACAAGTGTGCCCAGAGTTCAGTGTCACTTTATTAACGACTGCAGAGCTCATCCAAGATGGCCGCTCCTCAACCTCCGGTCTACGTCTGACGTCTCGTCGTTTCGTCACTTCCAACTTTATGAAAGGATGTTCTCTTCAGACCAGCAGCCAGCTAAATACTCTCCCTCCTCCCTGGCGTGGGCAGAAGACGCCATCTTAGAGAAGGGCAATACCACACCTGGAGACCTCTACTGATGTATTGAGCGCACCAGCTGAATGATGGAATCCACAGTATTATAAACAATATCGATCATAATATTATAAGCAGTATCAATACAGCATTGATAAGAACATACAAATAAAATCAAGCTACAATTAAACATATACCAGCATCGCTACCCCCTACCCCCCCGCTGCCATCTAGTTGTTTATAATATTAATATGCTGGGCTGTAAAATCTTCGTATAAAACATAAATAGGAGGGACAGCAATATTCTACTAGTGATGAAACGCATCCACAAGTGACGTCGGACGTAGACCGGAAGTTGAGGAGCGCCCATCTTGGATGAGGTCTAGGGTGAGCAATGCTGATGTTTTAATGAGGAGATATGTCTATATGCTGTTATGCTGTGTTCGTTTGTAAGCACTTTTTTACTGGAATAAATAGCTGTTTTTAAAAAATATATTGCACTATATATACTTATCTATTCTGACCCATTATATACTGCCATTGGAAACCAGGAATATTACTGACCAAGAAGAACCGTTTCTATTCTATGTTTGTGGACTGGCTCAGTCCAGGTACATCTCCTACGAAGGGGAGGATGGAATAAGAGGCTGTATATTGGAGGAACCTCATTGGTGGAATTTGTTATAAGACGTTTTCAAGTAAAAAATAGAGTAAGGATTACAGACGCAGAGAAGAGGACACATAGTGGAGTGATTTAAGATTTTACACTGATTTTGTGAGTGTGTTTCTTGTGATTGTTGTGAGTGTAGTGAGGAGAATACACTATGTGCGTTTATATCTTTTTTTGAGGATAACAATTAGAGGATGGAGTATCAACCACAGATGGAAGAATACTAAAGAAGGAGTAACACCACATCACTATAGGGGTTATTTAAAGATTATATAGATGCTGTGAAAGACTTTTATTTTGGACTTTCGGGGGAGAAAGCGATATCCTGGCGTTTAGGGTTTGGACGTATATTTAATTGTGCACAAATAAGGGATACCGGTTTTTAGGAATCTGAGTGTAGAGCTGCATTACCTTTGTGTCTTTTTTACCTACCTGGAGTTAAATGTTAACCCTTTCACACCGACGCCTCCTGGCCCTTCAAGGGTTTCAGAAGCCGGGAGGTGGGGCGGGGTTTAGGGTCATGTGACCGCCATGACATGATTGGGAAAGGTCCCGATCGAAAGAGGAGATCGGGACCTTTCCATGAGTACCGGACATGTGTGCTGGGAGCACAGGGGGCATATGTTCTTTTTTAATAGAACACAAATGTGCAGCCGCTCGACGTCTAGGCCCAGACACCAGGAGGCTGCACATTTGCGTGTGGCCGGCGTGAAGAGGTTAAAGTAACTTGAGCTGCAGCTCCTGGTTCCTGACAAGAATGCAGTGGGAGATCTGCACTCTGATGTCGCAGCAGGAGGAGTAAAACTTTAGAGCAAGGAAATCAGTGATGAGAATTATTCCAGGAATTTTTGAACCAATGGCATCCTAAAGAGAATAATGTGTGTTCTTAAAAACGTTTCCTGCAGCCCTGATGAAGGGGAATCCTGGGGCCCCGAAACGTGTTGGATTTCCTTTGTGACCAGTTGAACAATAAAGACTTAAGACTCCTACGTCTCATTTCTTCATCTGGTGCTGCCTTTGACTTACAAAAAGAGAATTTAAACTCCCCATCATCTAACAGAAGCTAAAAGCCCAAGGTTGGTTAGACAACCCCTCCAAGCAATGTCTATGGTAGCCATGAGGTACCCTTTTTGGAGAATTAAAATGGTTTTAAAGCCTTAAAAGGTTTTTTTTTTGCCTGAATGCATTCTCTACATTAAGGTAGAAAAAAAAAATAAAATCTTCTGTGTCCAGGTTTCCCACCCCCCCCCCTTACCTGAGCCGATCTTGATCCAGCACTGTGATAGAGAACAGCGACCCTTTGCTCTCTCCCCTCACAGAGCAGATTGATAGCAGTGACAGCCACTAGCTCCTTCTGCTGTCAATCAATTCCTATGATGAGGGAGCAGGTGGTGGGGCTGAGCCCTGCTGTCTGGGTCTATGGACTCAGGAGCGCGCCCGCATGAGTGCCCCCATAGGAAGCAGTTTCTTATGGGGGCAGTCACCAAAGAGGAGCAGCCAGGCGCACCGGGGGGAGGGGGACCCCAAAAGAGGTAAATTGGGGCTGCTCCATACAAAGCCAATGAGTCATTTTAAAAGATAACATTTTCAAGGCTAATTATTTATTTAAGGTACTTCTATAGTGCCATCAATTTATGCAGCGCTTTACATATATATTGTACATTCACATCAGTCCCTGACCCTCAAGGGGCGTACAATCTAAGGTCCCTAACTCACATTCATACATACACATACTAGGGACAATTTAGACAGAAGCCAATTAACCTACCAGCATGTCTTTGGAGTGTGAGAGGAAACCGGAGCACTCGGAGGAAACCCATGCAGGCACAGGGAGAACATGCAAACTCCAGGCAGGTGGTGTCGTGGCTGGGATTCGAACCAACGACCCTAGTACTGCCAGGCGGAAGTGCTAATCATTTAGCCACTGTGCTGCCCAGGCTTAGAATCACTTTGCCAAAATGAACTCCATTAGTCAACTCACACATACTGTACATGTAGAGGTATAAAGAAGCAGTGAGTCTATGTTGGAATAGTTGCTTGTTTTTACTTTTTTCTGAGCAGTAACTGTAGTTGCTTACAGCCTATTGTGTGCCTAAATACAAAAACAATAAAAATTAATATATATATCCATACTCATGGGGAACACCTTAGTGACAGCAGAGACATCCATTCTGTACTGTGAAGGAAGCAGACTTGACAGAGCGGATTACCTCTTGTGAAACAAGAAATAATATCCTCCAGAATTTTCCTCTAGAAGTCCAGCAGCTAAAAGAAGAGAATGAAATAATAAATAATTGCTACAAAACCAGCTGCAACCTCAATGGATTCTGTGTGATGTCTCACCAATTGTGGAAGGATCTTCTCCACCTGTTCTATATCCACCTCCAATAAATCTTCTGACTTGGCCTGACGTGCCGCACGAGCTGCTGTCTCTGCAGTTATGGAAACCAAAGCTGATTATTCACTATTACGTTTCAGTCACGATCACCTTAAGCCCTTTGCGACCGTCCAACCTATATGTGCACTGCAAAAGGGTGGGCTTTAAAACCGCTTCCATACCGGGCACTTTTACCCCGTTCCTGTCCAGGCCATTTTTCAAGTTTCAGCGCTCTCACACTTTGAATGACAATTGCGCGGTCATGCAACACTGTACCCAAACTAAAAATTTATCATTTTCACACAACTAGAGCGTTCTTTTGGTGGTATTTAATCACCGCTGGGGTTTTTATTTTTTGCTAAATTAACAAAAAAAAGGCCGAAAATTTTGAAAGAAAAAACAAAAAAACAAACACATTTTTCTTTGCTTCTGTTATAAAGGTTTGCAAATAAATAATTGTTCTTCATAAATTTAGGCCGAGATGTATTCTGCTACTCTTCTTTATTGAAAATAACCCAAATTAGGATGTATTATTTAGTTTGTAGGAAAGTTATAGAGTTCACAAACTATGGTATAGATCTGAATATTCATCAATCCTGAAGTACTGACAGCCAATCTAATCCAAGAATGGCAGAACAGTACAGATATCCTCCAAATTACCACTTTTTGCAAAGTAGACAGTCCGACGTATTTCATAAGAGGCATGGCGAGTTGTAATTTTTTTGTTAGAATTTTTCGGAAAATGAAAAATTTAAAAAATTATTTTCACTATTTTTTTTTTTACATATTGTCACCAGTGCAGTACAACGTCATCATATAACTGGCATGGCGGTGATCAGGGACACTGACTGGTGACAGTATGAAAAAACTAAGTTATTTTTTTTATTAGTTTTAATTTATTACAGTTTTTACTTTTTTTTTCTTTCATATTTCACTATGACCAAAGTAGTACAATGTTACCATAGTAACATTGTACTACTTTGGGAAAGTGATCAGTATTATTTTTTTTTTTTTACACAATTTGCTTATAGCAAAGAATTACTTTAAGCAAGCATTTACCTTAATGACATCGATTCATTCAGGTTTTTTGTGCTTAGCTGTGATTTGCCACAGCTAATCACATGACACAGCTGGGCTGTGATTGGCCCAGCTTGTGCATGTGATCGCTGTGAACATTCACAGCTAGACACTAGTATACAATGGATGGCATGAATGAAGCCATCCATTGTATACAACTGTCACGTGACCTGCTGTGATCGGTCACAGCAGGTCACATGGTACCGGCAACGGGGGCCGGTACTCAGATCTGTCATTGGCCGTGTCCCTCGGTGACAGATCGCGCTGATGCGCAGCTCTGCGGGCATGCAATCTGCGCATGCCTGAAAGGACGCCATATGGCGTCCACCCGGAGGTGCCGAGAGGTTTTGCCGGCTGCCATCTCGCTATAGGCCGGGCGGGAACCTGTTAATAGCCACATATATGCATCACTAGACAGCCAATGTTTATGTGCGGAGGGCGCGTTCACTGCGCAAAGTCTGTGCTGTTATAGACGGCTCTCAGTCCAGACTATAATTAGTAGACAGTGGGACCATCTTCCAAACACGTGATTGCGGTGACAGTAATCACATGATCGCTGATCCCTCCCACCCCACCCCACCATGAGTTCAGAATTGTTTAAAGGGATGCCAGGGCGAGAAAGAAGGGGTGCGTACTGTAGTATGATGGTCACACTACAGATGACAGCTTCCTAACAGGATTGCTCAGGTGGGTTCAGAAGAGGATAGGAACACGCCTGTGCTCATCCCTAATGGCATTGGAAGATTTTCTCTCACCTCTTGATCTGATGACAACAAAAGGGGTGAATCTTCTCAGTGGGGACATGGACAGCAACAAAAAAAAAAAAAAAAAAACAGAGTAAAAGTCTAACTCTTCTGGGGCAGCACAGTGGCTTAGTGGTTAGCACTTCCGTCTGGCAGTACTAGGGTTATTGGTTCGAAACCCAACCACGGTACCACCTGTCTGGAGTTTGCATGTACTCCCTGTGCCTGCGTGGGTTTCCTCCCATACTCCAAAGACATGCTGGTAAGTGAATTGGCTCCTGACTAAATTGTCCCTAGTATGTGTATGTATGAATGTGAGTTAGGGACCTTAGATTGTACACCCCTTGAGGGTTAGGGACTGATATGACTGTACAATATATATGTAAAGCGCTGTGTAAACTGACGGCGCTATATAAGTACCTGAAATAAAATAAATCTCTTCTGTCAAAAAAAATAGAAAAAACATACACAGTAAAAGCCTTCATTTCTATAACACGAGGGGAAGGTTTTCTGTAGTCCACAAATTGAACTGGAAACAGTGTAACTGATAAGAGTGCGGTAGAGGACATAGTAGGTCAAGGTTTCTGGCAGGATCAACAAGTTTTTACACAAAAAGAAAATACTTTCAGCGGTCTATTGATCAGACCATTTTCTGTGGCTGGAGTGATGACTTTAGATCCTCCTGTATTGCTGTGGCCAAGAACCACCAGTTTCAGTTTTCATTATCTGGGCAGGTCTTCATGAAGCTGTCAATCATCCCCTATGTCCCACCCACTTTCCCACCTGAAATTGGTGCTCTAAGCCAGACTCTCACCCAGGGTGCCTTAAGGTTTCTTCAGGGGTGCCTAGGCAAAATGTATAAAAAAAATTGCCCAAAACTTGTATACAAGCCAATGGGTGGAACAATCCTGCCTGTTAGTTACACAAAGCCACAGGTTTTCATTGTGCAGCATTATGACCTTCCAGCCACCGGCGTCCTGACACCCAATGACATCATCAGTTGATAAGGAGGATGTCAGCTGCCTGCACAGCATCCTAGTTTGACCCTCCCCACCCCTTTGCATCAGTGCTGGGGTCACATTAGCTCAGTGATGGAAAAAACTGAGGGAGAAGAGAAACATGGGAATACTAGTCAGTACCAGGGTGCAAAAGTGTATTTTCTTTGGAAGAATAAATCACCTCTAATGTTGGGTGTCCTACATGTGTGGATGTTGCTGCGTTATATAAAACTATTAGAATAGTATTTCACATTTTATAATGGGGTGCCCTTTTAAAATCGACAGTCTTGAGGCACCCTATTTTAGAATGGGGTGCCCCGAGACTGTCCATAATTTTAAAGGGTGCCTTGACAGAAAAAAAGGTTGAGAAACACTGGTCTAAGCGATCAATGCCCTGAAAATATACAATTGTTTTTATTAACAGGAAACAAAAAAAACAAAAAACTATAAAAGAACATTTATCTTACCATGGACAAATACATTCAGAAGCTCAGCCATGACTAGTAAAGCATCGGAACTAACTAAGAAAAAAACAAAAAAAAAAAAAGACATTTATTTAGGAAAATATTAAAATTGGCCAAATGTCACATATTTGTGGGTGGACACATTCTCCCTGCATTTTCTGTAGTAGATGAATTCCTAATTGCCTGCACCATCTAGTAGCCAAAATATAGTACTGTTTTCTGAACCATCTCAGTAAGAGAATGTACTACATTCTGGCCTCTAGATAGAGCCGACAATCAGAGGAATTAAAAGAGAAGACTGGCCAAAGCTTTATTGGCTATACATCTTATGTGGATCAAAGGAAAGAACTTTTGCTCTCCTGTGACCCACAATCAACCAACAGTGGGCTAAAGTCTGCTGTCAGCTGACGTCACAAAGCCGCTCCAGACCCTGGAAGGATCCCAACAATATTGTCAGGATCCACCCTGTATCTAAAGCAAGGAAAATAAGGACAAGCTTTTTTTCCCCTGCTTTAAATATAGATTGCTTTACAGACCTTGTTGGCAATTTGGGGAAAGCAGCTGTACCTGGTGGACCTTCAACAGCAAATGGGTGGGACGTCTCATTAGCGCAGAAGAATTTTTTCTCTAAGACTTCAGGATCCACCCAACTGCCAGCTGGCTCCCAACACTCTCCCGGGTTGAACGATGGCCTGCACAATTCTATCCACTTCTGAGCACAGGTATGACAGGCTGTCATGTACCCACCCCCTGGGGTGGTGTCCTAGTACTTCTATACTTACCACATTACTCACCTTCAGATGTCACTTGCAGTACTTTTCTCACCACAAGATGTCTTCTGGGTTGAATGACAGCCTGCACAATTCTACCCACATCTGAGCACAGGTGTCATAGACTCACTTCCTGGGGTGGCACCTTAGTATTTCTTTCCTGCAACAATACTCACTTTCGGCTGTCCCTTGTAGTATTTCTTTCCCTCCACAAGATGTCCTCACTCTCCTGAGCAATTCCACCCACTTCGCTTAGAATTGCGCAGGCTGTCATTTAACTAAGGAGAGTGAGGACATCTTGTGGCAGGAGAGAGAATTACAAAGGTGCCACCTCAGGGGCGGGTCCATGAAAGCCTGTGCTCAGAAGTGGGCGTGAGTTGTCATTCGACCCAGGAGAGTGAGGACATCTTGTGGCAGGAGAGAACTACTAAGGTGCCACCTCAGGGGCGGGTCCATGACAGCCAGTGCTCAGAAGAAGTAAGTAGAATTGCGCAGGCTGTCATTTAACTACTTACTTCTTCTGAGCACTGGCTGTAATGGACCCACCCCTGCAGTGGCACCTTGGTAATTTTCTCCTGCCACAAGATGTCTCCACTCTCTTGGGTCAAATGACGACCTGCGCCCACTTCTGAGCTCAGGCTGTCATGGACCTGCCCCCTGAGGTGGCAGCTTAGTAATTCTCTCCAGCCACAAGATGTCTCCACTCTCCTGGATCGAATGACAACCTGCGCCCACTTCTTCTGAGCACAGACCGTCATGGACCATCCACTTTAGGTGGCACCTTAGTAATTCTCTCCTGCCACAAGATGTCCTCACTCTCCTTGGTTAAATGAGAGCCTGCATAATTCCACCAGCTTCTGAGAAAAGGCTGTCCTGGACCCCCCCCCCCCCCCCCAAAGTGGGCCCTTAGTACCTCTTTCCCACCACAAGATATCCTCAGTCTCCTTGGATGAATGACAGCCTGCATAATTCCAGATATCCTCACTCTTCTGAGCTGAATAACAGTGACCAGTGTAATTCCACCCACTTCTTCTCAGCACTGGCTGTCATCGAGCCGGCTCCTGGGAGAGGATAACTACACCGGATGGCACTCAGAATAGAAAGGAAAAACTGCCGGAGGAGACGAGGAAAAACTGCCGGAGGAGACGAGGAAAAACTTCCGGAGGAGACGAGGAAAAACTGCCGGAGGGGAAGAGGAAGAACTGCCGGAGGGGAAGAGGAAGAACTGCCGGAGGGGAAGAGGAAGAACTGCCGGAGGGGAAGAGGAAGAACTGCCAGAGGGGAAGAGGAAGAACTGCCGGAGGGGAAGAGGAAGAACTGCCGGAGGGGAAGAGGAAGAACCCGTGGCGTGCGCCTATGCAGGCCACAAGTCAATTCCCAGCAGACAACTGCAAGATGTGACGACTGGAGTCACCAGAATCTAAAAGCAGCCAGAGGAGCATTCAACCTCTCAACATCCATACATGAATGAAACACCAGTTCCAGGTGGAGTGCCCCCCTCTGTATGAATCCTGTCATTTACCTTTTGTCTTGCCTTCCTCCAGGTACAAATACAGCAATTTGGAGACGAGGTCCTGTAATTAAGATGAATAATGATGAACAGGATTTTTTAAGGTAAAAAGAAAAAAAAAAAAAAAACTTTGAGTAAAACCCTTTTGTAAAGGTAGTTTAACCCTCTCGTTACTGGAATGTTCAAAGCTGAACTACCTAGACCAGGGGTATTGAATTAAAATTCAAGGAGTGTCCCCATCAGAGCGCCCCGTTACATCAGGTGTCCCCATCAGAGCGCCCCGTTACATCAGGTGTCCCCGTCAGAGCGCCCCGTTACATCAGGTGTCCCCGTCAGAGCGCCCCGTTACATCAGGTGTCCCCATCACATTGCCACCTTACATCAGGTATTCCCATCAGAGTGCCCCCTTACACTCAAAAGTACCCCTTTCCATCATATTCCCCAATCAGAGTGCCCCTTTCCACAGTATGTGCCCATTTGTGCCCCCTTAACATAAAATAAGGGGCTGGCTGATGGCACATTAATATTAACCACTTCCAGTCCGGACGCTTTCCCCCCCTTGCAGTCCGGACGCTTTCCCCCCCTTGCAGTCCGGACGCTTTCCCCCCCTTGCAGTCCGGACGCTTTCCCCCCCCTTGCAGTCCGGACGCTTTCCCCCCCTTCCAGTCCGGACGCTTTCCCCCCCTTCCTGTCCGGACGCTTTCCCCCCCTTCCTGTCCGGACGCTTTCGCCCCCTTGCAGTCCGGACGCTTTCCCCCCCTTCCAGTCCGGACGCTTTCCCCCCCTTCCAGTCCGGACGCTTTCCCCCCCTTCCAGTCCGGACGCTTTCCCCCCCTTCCAGTCCGGACACTTTCACCCCCTTCCAGTCCGGACACTTTCAACCCCTTCCAGTCCGGACACTTTCACCCCCTTCCAGTCCGGACACTTTCACCCCCTTCCAGTCCGGACGCTTTCCCCCCCTTCCAGTCCGGACGCTTTCCCCCCCTTCCAGTCCGGACGCTTTCCCCCCCTTCCAGTCCGGACACTTTCACCCCCTTCCAGTCCGGACACTTTCAACCCCTTCCAGTCCGGACACTTTCCCCCCCTTCCAGTCCGGACGCTTTCCCCCCCTTCCAGTCCGGACACTTTCACCCCCTTCCAGTCCGGACAATTTCACCCCCTTCCAGTCCGGACACTTTCCCCCCCCTTCCTGTCCGGACACTTCCCCCCCTTCCAGTCCGGACACTTTCCCCCCCTTCCTGTCCGGACAATTTCACCCCCTTCCAGTCCGGACAATTTCACCCCCTTCCAGTCCGGACACTTTCCCCCCCCTTCCTGTCCGGACACTTCCCCCCCCTTCCAGTCCGGACACTTTCCCCCCCTTCCAGTCCGGACACTTTCCCCCCCCCTTCCTGTCCGGACAATTTCACCCCCTTCCTGTCCGGACACTTTCCCCCCCTTCCAGTCCGGACGCTTTCACCCCCTTCCTGTCCAGGCCAATTTTCAGCTTTCAGCGCTGTCACACTTTGAATAACAATGAAAAAGCCCAAAAATTTAGAAAAAAAAAGTGTTTTTCTTAAAACTTTTTGCAAATAAATAATATTTAATCATAAATCTTGGCCAAAATTTATAAAGTTATCTTTTTAGTAAAACAAATAATAACCCAAATTAGTTTATAATCAAAAATTATAATTTTTAAACATTTGTTTTTTTTATATTATTGTTTTTTTTTTTTTGTTTTTTTTTTACATACTGTCACCCTAGCAGTACAGTGTCACCATGGTGACACTGTACTACTTGTGGGGGGGTGATGAAGATTTTTTTTTTTTTTTTACACTGATGGGTGTAAAAGTAATCATTTCTCCTTCTCTCTGACTGCATTCTTGCAGCCATTGAGATATACTGTGCGAGCTGTGATTGGTCACACCTTGTCACATGGTACAAGGCTGTTGTGAACAGCCCTGTACCATGTGATCTCTGTGATCGTTCACAGATTTCACACGTAGTAAGCAATAACGTCAGAAGTGACATCTTGCTTACTACTCTTCATGTGATCACTGATTGGCCAATCAGTGATCACATGATCAGGACCTCGCACAGAGGTCCCATACGACGATCGGTGTTCCACTGTGTCCAGAGGACACCAGATCGCGGTGCTGCGCGCTCCCAGGAAGCGCGCACAAGCAGGGAGGCCGTTTATAAACGGCCACCCGAACCTGCACCGTTTATATACAACGGCCAGAGTGGAGGTGGTTAAGGGGCACTCTGATGGATACATTCTATGTTGTGCCCATCAGAGGGCCCCTGTAACACTACACCCTACCTTCAGGGCAGACAGGAGCTGTGCCGGGATCCTAGCTGGACGCTTGTATACAGGCAGGGAGAGGGAGCCGGAGAGACAGTGAGCTAAAAGGGGTGGGGCGCACATGTGATGTCATGTTGCCGTGACGACTGCCCTGCTCAACGGCGGATCTGTCATTGCGGGCTGGCGGTCCAGGCAGCAGCGGAACACCATTTAGTGACCGCTGACCGAGACCAGAAAAAATAGGCCCCATCTGCATCAATTTCCTTTATGCCCCTGTCTACATTTCATTCTGCTCTCTTAATATCTCCCTTTGTAGTCACACATTCAGATGGAGAGAGTGTAAGTGATGAAAAATCTGAGTGAAAGAACACACCCCTGGCATCCCTTTAGACCAGCATGGTCCTTTCTGCTGGCAATTAAATGGTACAGACTTCAGCTGTGCTGACCTGAGGCTGGATTATTGTTCCAGAAGAAACTCTGACAGACTGCACATCCACTGCCAGCATCCCCCCTATAATATACACATCCAAAGGGTGCCCGGGGATGTGTTTTTTCACTTTTGCAATCAAGGAAGTGGATATATAATTTTGTAAAGCGCTGAGCAAACTGTTGGCGCTATATAAATCCTATATAATAATATATCACTCCCCCTGCCAGGGGCGGACTGACAACTCATGGGGCCCCCGGGCAATAGTGGATCATGGGGCCCCTGTATCCTTGCCCAAGCTCAAAAAAGCCTATGAAAAGGTACCAGGGGCATCTCATGGGGCCCCCTACTGACCCTGGGCCCTCGGGCAGTGCCCGAGTTTCCAAATGGTCAGTCCGCCCCTGCCCCCTGCTAGGTGTTGGAAAGCCAAAACCCATCAGCCAGGGCTGGACTGAGGATCTGCACATCTAAGGATTGGTAGGCTGATGTGTATTACAATGTTTTGTGTAAAAAGGCCGCAAGTACAAACAAAAACCACTATTCGGAGGTGTCCTCTAGTCCAGCAGGAGGTGACATGGGCAAGGCTGACAACACTTCTTGGAATTTCAGTGCAGCAGAGGTAAGGTTGTCAGCCCAGTTGTCCATTGTTGAACTACAGAACACCTCCCCCATCTTCTCACCTTAATTAGGGGTGGGGCATTTTGTAATCCCACAGGGGAGAACCCAGGAAGGGCTGACAAGGCTGCTTAAGATTTCATTGCAGCAGAAAGTTGTCAGCCCTGCGCACTTCTCCCCTACTGGACTACAGTACACCTTCCCCTCTTTTCATCTCCTGTTCAGTCCTGCAGGAAGAACTAAAGCAGGACTGATAACATTGCTTATGATTTCAGTGCAACACAGACATCCTTTCAGCCCTTTCCTGCTAGACTACAGAACACATCCACTGTCTTCTCATCTCCATGAGGAGGAGGTGGTGTTGTGTAGTCCTGCAGAGAATACCTCAAGCAGGACTGACTGCAATACATAGGACTTCAGTGCAACATAGGAAATGTTGTCAGCCCTGCCCGGTTCTACCCTGATAGACTACAAAACACTTCCCTCCTCTTCTCATCCACCTAAGGGGGAGGTGTTGTGTAGTCCTGCTGGGGAGAACTCAGAAAGGACAACACTGCCTGAGAATTCAATGCAGCGGAGGAAGGTGGCTGTCAGTCCTGCCCAGTTCTCCCCTACTACACTACAGTACACCTCCCTCCTCTTGTCATCTCCATGTGGGAGGCGTACTGTGCAGTCCTGCAGGGAAAGGGGTTAGAACCTTCACTTCTTGGGTGCTCACTCTGCGCCTGCTCTCCATCTCTACGTGCTGTAACCAATAGCAACAAGAGACCAGCTAATGTCTGATTGGTTGCTATGGGTTACAAACCATATCCGTGGTTACCCGCCCCCACCGCCCGACGCCATAGTAACAGCCGCCACTCGCCTTGGGGAAGCCCGCCGCCTCCTCGTCACTCTCCATTGCTTCTGCTTGAGGCGCCCAAACCCGACACCCCGCCCCTCTTGCCTTCTGATTGGCAGACGGAGCACCGGCTTTTCGCTACACATACACTTGCGCGTGCGTACAAAGTTCCAACCACAAGAGCGCGAAACTCCATACAGTCTCCAGGTCTTTGTACTATCTTCTCTGGGGGCGGCCATATTCCCTGAGAACAGTTCAAGTCTTTAGAATTTTATTGGCCACACAAAAATGGCGCCTATAGAGAGACCAATGAAAACAAGTCAAGTCTCCAGCAGCGGCTTCGCAATGACAGGTCTTCCTGGTTACAAGTTGTGTGTACATGGAGAGAAGACCAGTAGAGGTGAGCGACCCCGTGGAGTGAATTGAATTTATCATGTATATATATAGTGATATCAGGGACTGAATATTTACATTCATGTGCAGGGACAATTGCGGGGGAGGTCATGTGTAGTTGAATCAGCTTGGCCTTGTCATATGTTAGGGCAGTGGTGCTGCAATGTTTACAATGTGCAATATTACAGAAAAGAAAGTGAAATAAACCCCATCATCAGTGATTGCAATAATGATCCCCAGCATTGGTGTGTCAGTGATTGCAGTGATAACCCCCAGCACTGCTGTCAGTGATTGCAGTGATAACCCCCAGCGCTGGTGTCAGTGATTGCAGTGATAACCCCCAGCGCTGGTGTCAGTGATTGCAGTGATAACCCCCAGCGCTGGTGTCAGTGATTGCAGTGATAACCCCCAGCGCTGGTGTCAGTGATTGCAGTGATAACCCCCAGCGCTGGTGTCAGTGATTGCAGTGATAACCCCCAGCGCTGGTGTCAGTGATTGCAGTGATAACCCCCAGCGCTGGTGTCAGTGATTGCAGTGATAACCTCCAGCGCTGGTGTCAGTGATTGCAGTGATAACCCCCAGCGCTGGTGTCAGTGATTGCAGTGATAACCCCCAGCGCTGGTGTCAGTGATTGCAGTGATAACCCCCAGCGCTGGTGTCAGTGATTGCAGTGATAACCCCCAGCGCTGGTGTCAGTGATTGCAGTGATAACCCCCAGCGCTGGTGTCAGTGATTGCAGTGATAACCCCCAGCGCTGGTGTCAGTGATTGCAGTGATAACCCCCAGCGCTGGTGTCAGTGATTGCAGTGATAACCCCCAGCGCTGGTGTCAGTGATTGCAGTGATAACCCCCAGCGCTGGTGTCAGTGATTGCAGTGAAAACCTCCAGCCCTGGTGTCAGTGATTGCAGTGATAACCCCCAGCACTGGTGTCAGTGATAACCCCCAGCACTGGTGTCAGTGATTGCAGTGATAACCCCCAGCGCTGGTGTCAGTGATTGCAGTGATAACCCCCAGCGCTGGTGTCAGTGATTGCAGTGATAACCCCCAGCGCTGGTGTCAGTGATTGCAGTGATAACCCCCAGCGCTGGTGTCAGTGATTGCAGTGAAAACCTCCAGCACTGGTGTCAGTGATTGCAGTGATAACCCCCAGCACTGGTGTCAGTGATAACCCCCAGCACTGGTGTCAGTGATTGCAGTGATAACCCCCAGCACTGGTGTCAGTGATTGCAGTGATAACCCCCAGCATTGGGGTCAGTGATTGCAGTGATAACCCCCAGCATTGGGGTCAGTGATTGCAGTAATAACCCCCAGCATTGGTGTCAGTGATTGCAGTAATAAACCCCAGCACTGGTGTCAGTGGATTCAATATTAACCTCCAGCATTGGTGACAGTGGATGCACTAACAAACCCCAGCATTACTGTCAGTGACTGCAATAATAACCTTCAGCACTGGTGTCAGTGATTACAATAGTAACCCCCAGCACTGGTGTCAGTGACTGCAATAACTCCCAGCACTGGTGTCAATTACTGCAATATTAACCCTCAGCATTGGGGTCAGTGATTGCAATAGTAATCTCCAGCATTTATGCCAGTGGATTCAGTAATAACCCCCAGCATTGGTGTCAGTGGATGCAATAACAACCCCCAGCATTGGTGTCAGTGATTGCAATAATAACTTTTAGCATTGGTGTCAGTGATTGCAATAGTAACCTCCAGCATTGGTGTCAGTGATTGCAATAATAACCCCCAACATTGGTGTCAGTGGACACAGTAATAACCTCCATCATCTGTGTCAGTGACTACTGTAATAACCCCCAGCAATGGTGTCAGTGACTGCAATAATAACCTCCAGCATTAGTGTCAGTGATTGCAGTAATAACCCCCAGTATTGGAGCCAATGACTGCAACATTAACCCCCAACATTGTTGTCAGTAGCTGAAATAGTAACCTGCAGCTTTGGTGTCAGCGAGTGCAATAATAACCCCCAGCATTGGTGTCAGTGACTACTGTAATAACCCCCAGCATTGGTGTCAGTGACTACTGTAATAACCCCCAGCATTGGTGTCAGTGACTACTGTAATAACCCCCAGCATTGGTGTCAGTGACTACTGTAATAACCCCCAGCATTGGTGTCAGTGACTACTGTAATAACCCCCAGCATTGGTGTCAGTGACTACTGTAATAACCCCCAGCATTGGTGTCAGTGGCTACTGTAATAACCCCCAGAATTGGTGTCAGTGACCAGAATAACAACCCCAGAACAGGTGTCAATAACTGCAATTAGACTCTAGTTCTGCTTTAAAGCTCTCCAGATTTCCTATATGCAAAACATTGTTGTCAGTTGAGAATGAAGTCAATTCATTGAACACTCAGTTTATATCGGGTAAATACCTTCTAGATGCATCAAAACAATGTCGCGTTCAATGTCTTAGGCCTCGTTCACACCATACATGCAGAAAACCTGATGGAAACTGAAGTGCAGATTACAATTGCAGAGACATCAGTTTTCCTTCACATCTCAATGAGTTTTATACACGTTGCACATTCCGCTGCAGAATAAAAATCTGCATGTGATCCCAGCGTTGATTCCATTGTGCCCTTGTAGAACGTGTGCAGAAAAACTGCCGTCTCCGCACCATGGTGTGAACCAGGGGCGGACTGACCATTTGGAAACTCGGGCACTGCCCGAGGGCCTGGGGTCAGTAGGGGGCCCCATGAGATGCCCCTGGTCCCTTTTTCATAGGCTTTTTTGAGTTTGGGCGAGGATACAGGGGCCCCATGATCCCCTATTGCCCGGGGGCCCCATGAGTTGTCAGTCCGCCCCTGGTGTGAACAGTAGAAAATCTTGTCCCCTGCCAGCATGCTGCAGAGGAGGATCTCTGTGTGGAAGCAGTGGTCTCTCTGTAATGGTCTGACAAGCCCACTGCTGACTCAGAACCAGAACTCTTCAATCAGAAGGAAGCAAGACTTTTGCTGATTGGAGAGCTCTAGCTCTGACTCTGGAGAAAACACCATGACTGTGTGGACAGAGAGGCATTACAGACACTCTGTGATCACAGGGCAGATTCCCACCATTGCATGCGTTGATTTGCATTGCTTTCAAATTTAAAGCAGCACTCCACCCAAAAGGGGACTTTCCACTTTAAAGACTGGTCCCCCGCTCACTCTTAACCCCTTCACACTGGCGCCTCCCGGCCCTTTAAGAGTTTCAGAAGCTGGGAGGCGGGGCAAGGTTTAGGGTCATGTGACCGTCATGATGCACCGTCACATGATCGGGAAAGGTCCCGATCGAAAGAGGAGATCAGGACCTTTCCGTGAGTACCGGACATATGTGCTGGGACACATATGTCCTTTTTTAATAGAACGCAAATGTGCGGCCGCTCGACGTCAAGGCCCAGATGCCGAGAGGCCGCACATTTGTGTTTGGCCGGCGTGAAGAGGTTAAGGATTGACACCCTTTGGGGAGCGGGGGGGAAAGGAAGGGGTACCTGAAAATGACAGGTACCCGCTCCCACTTCTGCTGCGATCGCCTAGGCAAAGGGTCTCCAAGCTATGGCCCTTCAGGTGTTGAGGAACTGCAAGTCCCATGAGGCCTTGCCAGACTCTGACAGCCACAGGCAAGACTCCCTGAGGGAGAGGCATGATGGGACTTGTAGTACTTCCACAGCTGGAGGACCATAGTTTGGAGACCCCTGGCCTAGGTGATCGGAAGCGGAAGTTGTCCTCCTGCCCTCCCGCCCTGTAGTCTTCTTGGACATGTGTCAGGTCCAAGAAGACTACGGGACCATTTACAAAACTCAGCGCTACTCGCGCATGCGCAGTGGGCACCCGGCTGTGAAGCCATCAGCCGGGTGCCCACACCGAAGATGACAGCACCGGGAACAGAGGACGGCTGGTGAAACGGGCTGCGGGGGCCCACCGCGGGTTCGAGGGACAGGTAAGTGGCTGTTTTTTAAAAGTCAGCAGCTACAGTTTTTGTAGCTGCTGACTTTTATTGTTTTTACACTGTGAGTAGAACTCCACTTTAATGGGATTTATATACTTGCTCTTGGACATTGACAGGTCATTATTTTTTTTCTTTTCCTTTTTTTTTTTTTTTTTTGCAGGCTCTGTCCCCGCCTGTCATTGCACTGGACTGATTGCCTTGCAGTGAAGCCCCACATAACACCCCTGCAATGGATGAACTGAGGAGGATGTATATCCGGATATGCCAGGAGAAGGGCTCAGAGCCTCAGGACTCAGTGCTACGGGAGCTGCAAGAACACAGGGACACCTCTACACGACAGCGGCTGGATGTATCCACCCAGACCCTCTCGCTGGAGTCCTGTCAAGTCCTGGGTCTCCTTCTGGAGAATGATGTGACCTTTACCCACGTCATACTCAGTGACTGCATGCTCAATGAGGAAGGCAGGTGCCACTAGTATCAAAATCTAAAGCAGTCTTTGTATGGAACGGTCTTCTCCTGTGTATCTAAAGGTGTTTAACCCCTTGCCCTCCAGAGGATCTACCCCCCCCCCTTCCTGACCAGGCCATTTTTTGCGATACACTGCTTTTACTTTAACTGACAATTGCACGGTCATGCAACGCTGCACCGAAATGAAATTTATGTTCCCACAAATAGAGCTTTCTTTCCGTGGTATTTGATCACTGCTGCGGTTTTTATTTTTTGCGCTATAAACAAAAAAAGATCGGCAATTTTGAGAAAACAAACAATATATTTCAATTTTTGCTATTAAACAGATCCTTTAAAAAAATCTAGTTTCTTTATAAATTTAGGCCAAAATATATTCTGCTCCATGTCTTTGCTAAAAAAAAAAATCCCAATACGTGTAAATTAATTGGTTTACGTGAAAGTTATAGCGTCTACAAATGGCTGGATATATACTGGGATTTTTTTTTTATACTAGTAATGGTGGCGATCAGCGATTTATAGCGGGAGTGCGGCGGGCGTTCTGACACTGGGGGGAGGGACTGAATAACTGTCACTGACATCCCCAGTGACACTAATACAGTGATCAGTGCTAATAAAAAGCGCTCACCCTGTACTAAGGGAAGGGGTTAACATCTAGAACAAACAAGAGATCCCTGTGCTCAAATCCCAACAGCTAGTTCTAGCTGTTGGGATTTGAGCACAGGGATCTCTTGTTTGTTGTATTGTTGGGTCAGTAGCCAGTCCTGAACCTTGTAGCTCTCCCCATTGTGTCTTTTCCCCTATGCTAGCATTGCGTCCACAGTAGCATTTGCGTAGGCAGAGCAGAGTAGGACTGGCCATAGAGGGATTACTTTGACGCATTTGGCCAGCTTAAGCATGTATTGCAGTATGTGTGAACCAAATATCCCTATTTATTGCATAGTCTGCTTGAAAGGGTATATACCAGTGTGCAGAGGGTCCTCAAAATTTCTGGGGTTAACATCTAGGATGATCAAAGGGTTAACTGTGTGCTGTTTTACTAGGGAGGCATGCTGTTTTGTATTGCTCTGCAATACAAAGCAGCATGCTGGAGCTGACAGGGGAGAGATCTGTATTGTACAGACCTCTCCTCCTTCAGTGATACTCGGCGATTGCCAGGTGTCGGCGGGGACCTGGCGATCTACAGTTGAAGCCACCAATGGCGGCGTGGGTAGGGCGCGTGTGCCCCCTACCTGGAAATACAAAATCACATATATATACGTGATTTTGTGCAGCTCTGCCGCCCCGCAGCAGTAGTTCTGCTGTACAAGTGAAATAAAATAAGTGAGCGCTTCTCAAATAAAACAGCTAGGCACACAGGGTAACCAATAACAATCCTCACAAAAACATATGAAAAAAAGTGCAGCACTAAGATAAAAGCAAAATGAAAATAATAAATAAAATGCTAAAATAAAACATGTATAATAATGGAGATGAAATAAAGTGAGAAATGCGCACTAACCAGATGTGCACATTAAATGTGCAGTGTAGATATCCTACAGTTCAGCAAATGGTGGTAAAGATAGGTAGATTCCCTCGGGTAGAATGGATCCACGGATGGCAGAAAGATAGTTGAAAGGTTCCCTTTGAGGGTAAAACCAGGCACAACTCCATCAAAGGGTAAGACTCCTTCACTGGGTAGAGCGGGTTATGGTGTCTAAAAAAGAGATGCTCCCCGCAAAAAATTACAGTGTGCAGAAGGACTAACCGTCCTGAAAAAAGTAGTGGCCGCCGGAGCTCCATGATGCTCCGACGGCGTGACGTCACGGCGTACATAGGCTCCTCCTTACGCGTTACATGCCAAGCACATCCTCAGAGAAAGAACCAGTAGTTCTGCTATAGGGCGGTCGGAAAGGGGTTAAAGCTAAACTACAACAAAATACAGAATGTTTTAAACCCTTTTGGGTTTTGCTTTTGCTGCCTGAGTTTCAGTGTCCTTCTCACGTGGAGGTACAAGGGGAAGTCCTATGCTGCCCTGGATCTTTTGTTCTAAAAGGACAGTGCTGCTGCTAGTAAGAGATGTACTATGTGCGATCAATCTTAATAAACATGTATGCAGGGGCGGACTCACAACTCATGGGGCCCCCGGGCAATAGGGGATCATGGGGCCCCTGTGTCCTTACCTAAACTCAAAAAAGCCTATGAAAAAGGTACCAGGGGCATCTCATGGGGCCCCCTACTGACCCCGGGCCCTTGGGCAGTGCCCGAGTTTCCAAATGGTCAGTCCGCCCCTGCATGTATGACAATGCAATCTATCCACATACATATATGAAAGTGTCATGTGCATGTGAATTCCTCATATAATAAATATAAATAGTCTGTGCAGCAGATAGCAAAAGTTAAAAAAAAAAAATGTAACAAATGTTAATGCAATCAAAATGTGTTCAAAGTGTCCCAATATAAAAAATCAAAATCTTCCTTACTCCACCAAAATACCGGGTGTTCCACTACGTATACTAAGGCTAGGTTCACATCCAAATTAAATTAATACTTGTGAGCCACTAGAAGTTTTCTTACTGTTAAAGCAATTAATTCCGTGTGTAAAAAGTATTATAAATGATAAATATGTGAACTACTAATTAATTAATTACGTGCTTAACTAAATTATATAAAATATTAGATCGCCAGGTACTTATTACACCCTCTCCAGGTGTATGGATGTGAACTATATATATTAATATTGTACCGCGCTCCAATATATACAACTGTGAGTGCTATTATAAATTTATAGTGATATCATAAATAGCTAAGTGTATCGCCAATAATTCAATAATAATCTAAATCCATTATACTTAAATCCATAATTAACATATATATATAAATAAATTATAATGAAAATAAAAAAGAACCAATTAATATTTTTGAATAAAAAAAATTTTTTTTTGGTGCAAAAAGAATTAATAAAAAATGTGAATATATAAGTGGGAAGATAAACTGTATATATAGAAAAATAAAAATAAAATAAAAATAAAAAATGGGAATGACAGTTCAGTTCATACGAATTGAGATGGTGTTGTAGTTCAATCTAATCTGTGTGATAGGTCAGTGTTCACGGCATGAACCTCACTCTCCTTTCTCCTCTCCTCTCTCCTCAATACAGCCTTCTCAATAGGACTTTCTCCACTGGCTGCTTGACTTATTCCTCCATATACGATACATACAGAGAAGGGAAAAGAAACATAGTGTCTTATCCGGGATAACAATAGTTTATTGAGCTTCTGATCTCCCACTCACATGGTATAAATAAAAGTAGCGCTTTGTATAAAATGTGTCCAGATCCTACTACAAACAGCCTTGCAAGTGTGTTTGTCTTCACTGAATATACTCGTCGTTCCTCTGTGGATGCGTGATGACGTCACCGCCCCTCCCCTACGCGTTACGCTACAGGGACTCGTAGCTTCCTCTGGGGGATGTAGTTTTGTAGGTGTAGGTGGTGCGGCTGCGGATCTGCACGAAAATCCATGCAGTCGCACCACCAGCACAGAGAATTGCGGATCTGCGGGCGGGTGCCATTAGTTCTAATGGCACGCCTCCAGCACTGGAAAACGCAACCGTACTGGGAACCAAGGTTCCCATGCGGGTTGCGTTTTCAGAAGTAGTGCAGGGACTTCTTCCCTGCGTGTCATGAGGCACGGGAGTCCATTCAAATGAATCGGCTCTCGTGCCCGCTCAAGACACGGCACGCACGGCGGCATATATGTGAACCGGGGGTAAATGAACTCACCAGAGGTAAATGCTGGTAACATTATAAACCAGCTATCAGCACATTCCCCTGTAGGAGTAATGATCTGCAGCGCCACTACATACCACTTTAAGAAGCTCTCAAGACCGCCAATCAATACATTCCATTATATCATATCGAGAAGGAGGAGAAAGAACTTGCACTGTGTAAACCTATTAAAACACTTTTTGTTTCTTATTTTCTAAAATCAATCCAAAGCATTCACATTTGTATGTGTCTCCACTGACACATGTATAATTCGTAGAGTCATGTAACTGGACTGGCTACAGCCGCAATCCCTAGCCATGAGCCATGACGTCATGTCCAAGCCCCGCCGTACGCGTTTCGTGATTCAACGTCCTCCAGGGGACACTTTAAACACATTTTGAGTGCATGAACATTTTTTTTTTTTTTTGCTACATGCTGCACGGACTCTTTATATTTATTATATGAGGAATTCACATGACGCTTTGATATATGTTATATATTTATATATTTATGTGGATAGATTGCACTGTGATACATGTTTATTAGGATTGTTTGCACATAGTACATCTCTTTCTAGCAACAGAGCTGTCCTTTTAGAACAAAATATTTTGAGTTGATCTATATGTTTCAGTAGGATAGCAGCTGTGCTTCAATTAAGTTTGAAAATACTGTGGCGCAGTTCTGTAACTCTCTATGCTGTCCTTGAGACCAAACAGGAAGTGAGTGGAAATCTCTTCTTAGACAGCGGTCATTGGAATAGGTGTCTCCACTGGAAGATTTCCCCTCAGCTCTTGTTTTGGTGACAACTGTGAGTTTTGAATTCACCATCATTTTCAGTCCCAGTGACAATAGTCATCAGGAAAAATAGATAAAGTGACCCTCTTTAGACAGCAATAAAAGCTTAAAAGGGGTTCCAACCCCTCAACATTCTATCCAAGTATGAAGTTTTAGTTCATCCATTTACGGTGATGGTATGTATTGGTAATGTGCTAATAACTGGTTCGTTAATTTGCATACTAAATGTTTTAGCTTAATGTATTTCTTGCATTAAGGTAAAAAAAAATTTATGTTAAAGTATTGCCCCCTCAACTCCCCCCCCCCCCAATACTTACCTGAGCCCTCACTCGTGCCCATCTGCTGCAGCTCTGTCTTCTTCCCGCTTTTACAGGCTTTGCTGAGAGCAGCTGGAGCAATTGGTTCTCACTGCTGTCAGTCAAATCTTGTGACAGGGGGGGGGGGCAATCCTCACTATCTCTGTGCGTCAGTGAACACAGGCACCCGGGCTTGGGATTGAGTCCGCAGGTGTACCGCGATAGGAAGCGGTTTCCTGTGGTGGCACACAAAAAAGTTGAGTTGCCAGGAGTGCCAGGGAGGGGGACCCGAGAAGAGGAGGTTCATTGCACAGGGTAGCTTAGTATAAACCTACTTGTTATTTTTTAAAAAATGAAAAGTAAGATTTTAAAATCACTTGAATTTTTTTAAGGAAGCATAAGACTTTTATTTGGTATATTGGCTTAATAAATAAACATTTTGGTTTTGATATAGGCTGGAAAACATGCAAAAATAAATTAAAAAGTCAACATTTTTTAATTTATTATTTTAGTACTGCAATTGTATCTGAAAATTGCTGTATTAAAAATGACTCATCCTCCAAACTTTAGGCTGCAGTGACATCTGCAGGCTAAAGGCTTATTTGTCATAGTGATCACATGATCAGGAACCACTCTGTCTGGATCCAATTTCTTTATGGAAATCAGAGGTGATGGTGACGCCCAGGATCAAGAGCCACCAGCCAAGCAAAGTTTTTGGCTGGTGGCTTCGAAAGGGAGGATGTTTATTAGTGTATCCTCAACATTGGGGATTCATTTGCAAATTACGTAAATCAGTAACTAGAATTGTGCTTTGTCTGGACAGGTGCCAAGCTCATTTTACAAGGCCTTCGCTCAAACTCCGTGGTTAAGTACTTAGATATGAAGGTGAGTGTGAGCTTATTTATTTGATTTGTAATTGGATTTAAAATACAATCTAGAAAAGCTACAATTTCTGGGGAAATTGTGTGAAGTGTTCTTGCCTCCACCAGTAGTCTACAACTGGAGTGGGCGGAGTAGTAACTGGGTGGAGTGGCTGGAGTAACTGTTGTGTGGTTGGAGTGGCTGGAGTAACTGTTGTGTGGTTGGAGTGGCTGGAGTAACTGTTGTGTGGTTGGAGTGGCTGGAGTAACTGTTGTGTGGTTGGAGTGGCTGGAGTAACTCTTGTGTGGTTGGAGTGGCTGGAGTAACTGTTGTGTGGTTGGAGTGGCTTGAGTAACTGTTGTGTGGGTGGAGTGGCTGGAGTAACTGTTGTGTGGTTGGAGTGGCTGGAGTAACTCTTGTGTGGTTGGAGTGGCTGGAGTAACTCTTGTGTGGTTGGAGTGGCTGGAGTAACTCTTGTGTGGTTGGAGTAACTGTTGTGTGGTTGGAGTGGCTGGAGTAACTCTTGTTTGGTTGGAGTGGCTGGAGTAACTGTTGTGTGGTTGGAGTGGCTTGAGTAACTGTTGTGTGGTTGGAGTGACTTGAGTAACTGTTGTGTGGGTGGAGTGGATGGAGTAACTGTTGTGTGGGTGGAGTGGCTGGAGTAACTGTTGTGTGGGTGGAGTGGCTGGAGTAACTGTTGTGTGGTTGGAGTGGATGGAGTAACTGTTGTGTGGGTGGAGTGGCTGGAGTAACTCTTGTGTGGTTGGAGTGGCTTGAGTAACTGTTGTGTGGTTGGAGTGGGCGGAGTAACTCGGTGGAGTGGCTGGAGTAACTGTTGTGTGGTTGGAGTGGCTGGAGTAACTGTTGTGTGGTTGGAGTGGCTTGAGTAACTGTTGTGTGGTTGGAGTGGGCGGAGTAACTGGGTGGAGTGGCTGGAGTAACTGTTGTGTGGTTGGAGTGGCTTGAGTAACTGTTGTGTGGTTGAAGTGGCTTGAGTAACTGTTGTGTGGTTGGAGTGGCTGGAGTGGATGGAGTAACTGTTGTGTGGTTGGAGTAACTGTTGTGTGGTTGGAGTGGCTTGAGTAACTGTTGTGTGGTTGGAGTGGGCGGAGTAACTGGGTGGAGTGGCTGGAGTAACTGTTGTGTGGTTGGAGTGGCTGGAGTAACTGTTGTGTGGTTGGAGTGGCTTGAGTAACTGTTGTGTGGTTGGAGTGGCTTGAGTAACTGTTGTGTGGTTGGAGTGGCTGGAGTAACTGTTGTGTGGTTGGAGTGGCTTGAGTAACTGTTGTGTGGTTGGAGTGGCTGGAGTAACTGTTGTGTGGTTGGAGTGGCTGGAGTAACTGTTGTGTGGTTGGAGTGGCTGGAGTAACTGTTGTGTGGTTGAAGTGGCTTGAGTAACTGTTGTGTGGTTGGAGTGGCTGGAGTAACTGTTGTGTGGTTGGAGTGGCTGGAGTAACTGTTGTGTGGTTGGAGTGGCTGGAGTAACTGTTGTGTGGTTGGAGTGGCTGGAGTAACTGTGAAGAGGTTTTGTCAGCTCCCACTCTAGTTTTGAGCATTCCACCATTCATTCCTATGGGACCAATTTCACCACAAAACGACGATATTTCGTGAACTATTCGGCGAAACGTTCCACAAAGTAATAGCACACCAATCGGAACAATCCGCACGTTTCGGTATATTACTGTGTATGTAGTGTAAAAACTGTGGGAGGCGTTAGGGTGGTAAATTTGGCTATAATAATAAGAATATATATGTGTGATAACAGTATAGCATGTGATTGACTTCTCCTCTCCCATCTGACAGCTGTAGGTGAATTCTGATTGAACCAGAGCTGTCATTTGCAGGTCAAGGGCAGAATCCTTTAGAGCTGATTCACACATGATCCTGTCCTGAACCTGATGTAAACCTGAGAACAACTACTGTATCAATTATACAGTAGTTGTTTCAGGTTTACATCAGGTTCAGGACAGGATCAGGTCAGGACCTTTAGAGCTGATTCACACATGTGCGGTGCGGATTGAAGCGCAGGTTTCCCAGCTAATTGATACAGTACTTGTTCTCAGGTTTACATCAGGTTCAGGACAGGATCAGGTCAGGACCTTTGGAGCTGATTCACACATGTGCGGTGCGGATTGAAGCGCAGCTTTCCCAGCTAATTGATACAGTAGTTGTTCTCAGGTTTACATCAGGTTCAGGACAGGATCAGGTCAGGACCTTTGGAGCTGATTCACACATGTGCGGTGCGGATTGAAGCGCAGCTTTCCCAGCTAATTGATACAGTAGTTGTTCTCAGGTTTACATCAGGTTCAGGACAGGATCAGGTCAGGATCTTATCTTGTTCACACATATGCGGTTTAGAAACGGTTCCCATAGAAGTCAATAGCTTGTAATCTTTTTAAAACTGCACTGAATCCACACCGGCAGTGCACCGGACATATGTGAACAGGCATAAGAAGCAATGTCATGCAGATTGGATGCACTTCAAACATATGTGAACAGGCACTTAGCCTGCACAAACTCTGACAGATTGGTTTGGCGATAATTCAGGGTGTTATTTCCTGGGTCGTGGGGGTTAAATGGGGCAGCGTGAGAGTATGAAAAGGTAAGTATATATATTTATTTGTAAGGGGAGCTAAGTAAACCTTTTATGAACAAAGCAAAGGTTCACTTTTATTAGCGGCCAAGGGCTGGTTGGGATGAAACAACCTATCTGTAAGCAACAGCAGCTTGGCCCTGGAAATAGTGGCTAAATGGTTAGCACTTCTGCCTGGCAGTACTAGGGACGTTGGTTCGTATCCCAGTCACGGCACCACCTGCCTGGAGTTTGCATGTTCTCCCTGTGCCTGCGTGGGTTTCCTCCGGGTACTCCGGTTTCCTCCCACACTCCAAAGACATGCTGGTAGGTTAATTGGCTCCTGTCCAAATTGTCCCTAGTATGTGTATGTATGAATGTGAGTTAGGGACTTTAGATTGTACACCCCTTGAGGGTTAGGGACTGATGTGAATGTACAATATATATATGTGTAAAAGCGCTGCGTAAATTGACAGCACTATATAAGTACCTGAAATAAATAAATATCCATTCTTCATTTGTTGGGTTATCACAGTTGTAAAAATGTAACCTGGTTTATGTAATATTAGTTTTTTGAGCTGTTTGAGATGATCAGAGAGTACCTGTGTATGCGTTTGCAGGGTAACAATCTACGCGGTGATAGTGCGGAGGCCCTTGGGAAGCTCTTGAGACAAAATTCTTCAATCACCAGGTATGTAAACGTGGTACCGTAGATCACTGAGGGTTTTAATCGCTAACTCTAGCCAATTTAGTGCTTTTTTTTCTTAATTGAGTGGGTAAGAGTTCCAGTTTCTGCCATGTTTTCTTTCTTTCTGTCCTGTCATTCAAAACCCCTAAAAAAAAAAGAGGGGGGGAGCATAGTAAATCAGTCCTGGGACATTCTTCCCCAATAATAAGGGCCAATTTATACTATATACAGTGACAGACGTTTTACCGCATGGTAAAACGTCTGTTACCACAGGGACACACAGGAAAAGTGCACACCTTACGTGCAGAAAAACTGACGCGCAGATTTCACTTGCAGAGACATCAGTTTACATCAGTTTTCATGCGAGCCCCAATGAGTTTTATACAGGTTGCAGAATTCTGCGCAGAAAAAAATCTGCACGTCATGCTAGTGTTGTAATGTGAACAGCGCACATAGAGAACAATTGATTTTATTGTTCCCTTGCAGAATAAAATATGAAAAACTCTTCTAATAGTTCTATATAACGCAGCAACATCCACACATGTAGGACACCCAACATTAGAGGTGATTTATTCTTCCAAAGCAAATACACTTTTGCACCCTGGTACTGACTAGTATTCCAATGTTTCTCTTCTCCCTCAGTTGTTCTCCATCACTGAGCTAATGTGACCCCAACACTGATGGAAAGAGGTGGGGGAGGGTCAAACTAGGATGCTGTGCAGGCAGCCGACATCCTCCTTATCAACTGATGATGTCATTGGTTGTCAGGATGCCAGCAGCTAGAAGATTATAATGGTGCACAATGAAAACCTGTGGCTTTGTGCATCTAAAAGGCAGGCTTGTTCCACCCGATGGCTTGTATACAAGTTGTGGTCAATTTTGGACATTTTGCCTAGGCACCCCTGAAGAAACCCCAAGGCACCCCAGGGTGCCTGGGCACCCTGGTTGAGAAAGGCTGAGCTAAGCAACTGTTTCATGCCCTTGCTACTTGATACTGTGTTTTTCATTAGATCAGCGGTTCTCAACCTGGGGGTCGAACGACCATTTCCCAGGGGTCGCCTAAGACCATCGGAAAACATATTTCCGATGGTCTTAGGAACCGAGACACCGCTGCTCTGTCTCGCGATCTGTGGGCGGGATGATATGCTGCCCCTGTAACCTGGCCACACCTCCGGGATCACTCAACAGCTCCGCCTCCTCGCCGCTGATTGGCCACCGGAACTGTAGCACAGGAGAGGCACACAGGCGGCCAATCACCGGCGAGGAGGTGGAGCTTGGAGAGGAGGAGCCGAGCGGCAGAGCGCGCAGATCGAAGAAGATCGAGGGAGCTGCAGGACCGAGTGAAGAGGAGAGAGGCCAGAGAAGGAAGACAGCTGACAGGTAAGTGCAAATTTTGCTTCTGCAGGCTGTAGATGGGAGAGGGAGAGAGCGAGCCCAGGCTGGAGCAGGGGTCAGCAAGGTAAGTATCATTGGTGTCAGTGGGAGGAATAGTGCCCCATCATTTGTGTCACTAATACCAACGATGGGGCACTATTCCTCCCCCCACTGACACCAACGATGGGGCACTATTCCTCCCCCCACTGACACCAACGATGGGGCACTATTCCTCCCCCCACTGACACCAACGATGGGGCACTATTCCTCCCCCCACTGACACCAACGATGGGGCACTATTCCTCCCCCCACTGACACCAACGATGGGGCACTATTCCTCCCCCCACTGACACCAACGATGGGGCACTATTCCTCCCCCCACTGACACCAACGATGGGGCACTATTCCTCCCCCCACTGACACCAACGATGGGGCACTATTCCTCCCCCCACTGACACCAACGATGGGGCACTATTCCTCCCCCCACTGACACCAACGATGGGGCACTATTCCTCCCCCCACTGACACCAACGATGGGGCGCTATTCCTCCCCCCACTGACACCAACGATGGGGCGCTATTCCTCCCCCCACTGACACCAACGATGGGGCGCTATTCCTCCCCCCACTGACACCAACGATGGGGCGCTATTCCTCCCCCCACTGACACCAACGATGGGGCGCTATTTCCCCCCCACTGACACCAACGATGGGGCGCTATTCCTCCCCCCACTGACACCAACGATGGGGCGCTATTCCTCCCCCCACTGACACCAACGATGGGGCGCTATTCCTCCCCCCACTGACACCAACGATGGGGCGCTATTCCTCCCCCCACTGACACCAACGATGGGGCGCTATTCCTCCCCCCACTGACACCAACGATGGGGCGCTATTCCTCCCCCCACTGACACCAACGATGGGGCGCTATTCCTCCCCCCACTGACACCAACGATGGGGCGCTATTCCTCCCCCCACTGACACCAACGATGGGGCGCTATTCCTCCCCCCACTGACACCAACGATGGGGCGCTATTCCTCCCCCCACTGACACCAACGATGGGGCGCTATTCCTCCCCCCACTGACACCAACGATGGGGCGCTATTCCTCCCCCCACTGACACCAACGATGGGGCGCTATTCCTCCCCCCCACTGACACCAACGATGGGGCGCTATTCCTCCCCCCACTGACACCAACGATGGGGCGCTATTCCTCCCCCCACTGACACCAACGATGGGGCGCTATTCCTCCCCCCACTGACACCAACGATGGGGCGCTATTCCTCCCCCCACTGACACCAACGATGGGGCGCTATTCCTCCCCCCACTGACACCAACGATGGGGCGCTATTCCTCCCCCCACTGACACCAACGATGGGGCGCTATTCCTCCCCCCACTGACACCAACGATGGGGCGCTATTCCTCCCCCCACTGACACCAACGATGGGGCGCTATTCCTCCCCCCACTGACACCAACGATGGGGCGCTATTCCTCCCCCCACTGACACCAACGATGGGGCGCTATTCCTCCCCCCACTGACACCAACGGGGGCGCTATTCCTCCCACTGATACCAACGATGGGGCGCTATTCCTCCCACTGATACCAACGATGGGCCGCTATTCCTCCCACTGATACCAATGATGGGCCACTATTCCTCCCACTGATACCAATGATGGGGCACTATTCCTCCCACTGCAAAATTACAGTTCTGAAGTAGCAACGAAAATAATTTTATGGTTGGGGGTCACCACAACATGAGGAACTGTATTAAGGGGTCGCGGCGTTAGAAAGGCTGAGAACCACTGCATTAGATGTTAACACACAGAAAAGCTGATGGATTTTGTTTGGTTTTTGTTAGCCTGATTCTGGAGTGGAACAACCTGGGAATGTGGGAAGAAGGATTCTCTATGTTCTGTGATGGACTCAGCTGCAACCAGACTCTGCAGAAGCTGGATCTTCGCAACAATCAGATCAATCACAAAGGAGGAGAGGAACTGTCTACGGCTTTGAAACGGAACTTCACCCTCCAAGAAATAGGTATTAATCTGGAGGAAGCCACACTGGACCTCATGGCTAAAGGTGTCTGACGTTAAAGCAATCTTTACAGTCTGTAGCAACCAGGCTCATTCTTCTTTCCAGTGAAGTATGGAAGAATAAAAATGGTGATGAGCTTGGATGTCCACAGAAGGCATCTCTATCTCAGCTCAAAAGTATAACTAAAGGCAAATTTTATTTTTTTTTTAGTTTTGGATGGAGTGGAGAGGGGTTAGAACACCTGTCAGTTTTTATTGCTGTCTGCGGTCTCATTATGGAGATTCCTGCTCTCTATTTGTCCTGTTTACCAGTATTATTGAAATTGAAAGTAAAAGAAAATCCCAAATTTTGGCCTGTCCCAAGAAAACTAATAGAGGGGAAATCTTCCAACGGGGACACTGCTTGTGGTGATTGGGGGGTCCCCAAGGAATTCCCCTAATTTGTAGGGATGTCCTCTCACTTCCTGATTGGCTATGGGACAGGAAGTGAAGAGAAATCTCAACAATGGGACACTGATGGCAAATAAAAATCTGACGGGCTATAACCCTCCCTTGCTCTATCCAAAATGAAAATAAAACAGTTTTTCCTATAGTTCTAATTTAAAATCTCACTTTTTTTTTTCACTCCAGTCATCTGTGGGCCAAACATTGACTGAATATAGGCTTGTATAAGGACATCCCGACACTTGTTTTTATGTGTGCTGCAGATCGGGAATGACCCAACCTGCAGTTAACTGGAGTAAAAAAAGAAAAGTGCCAATTTATAGTTCAGCAGATGCTTAAAGCGGAGTTCCACCTGAAAAAAAACAAATAAAAGTCTAAGATATAGCCACTTACCGGTCCCTCGGTGTCCTCACCACTGCTGGTTTCACCAGCCATCTCCTCTCCCTGGCGCCAGCATCTTCAGTGTGGGCACCCGGCTGTGACAGCTTGCGGCTTCACAGCCAGGTGCGCACTGTGCATGCGCAAGAAGCGCTGCGCTTTGTGAATGGCCGTGTAGTCTTCTGGGACCTGTCACATGTCCCAGAAGACTACGGGGACGGAGGGGGGGAGGACAACTTCCGCTTCTGATCATCTAGGCGATCGCAGAAGTGGGAGAGGGTACCTGTCAAATTCGGGTTCCCGCACCCCCCCTCTCCCCAAAGGTGCCAATCCTTAATGGGGAGCTGGGGACAAAGGCTTAAAACGGATTTTCCCCTTTTGGGTGGAGCTCCGCTTTAAGCTCATGTTTAGTTGTAATGGACAGCTGCTACTTTTCTTTGCCACAGATACATTTAGGCATGAGCCAGTTCTGTGTCTCAGATCATCTGTAGGTCAAATGTCACACAGCGGCTGTTTAGTTGGTAGGCCATACTGTTTTAAGAAAAAAGCAGACCGCATGCTTAATTTAGTTTAATTTTCAAAATGATAAATATGTAACCTGGTCGGTGAAAGAATGGGCGGAGACTGTAAGAATGGGTATCAACATTTAAAGTAGAATTCCAGGATAAACCTAACTAGTCTTAATAATTCTCCCTCCCTTCTCCTAACACCTATGCTGACTAATAATAAATTAACCACCTCCTTAGTACTATAATTACCCTACAACACCATCAACACCTTCCCCTGAAAGTGTACAAAATTATATAAGTGACAGTGTATTTACAAGAACCTCCAAAAACAATAAATGTGAAATATAATCCTTCAATCACCTTAATCCCCAAAAATTTGCAAATAAAAATATATAAATCCACTACAAATATAAAGTCCACTAAAATTCCTTTTCAAGTCCACTAAAAAAATCCAATCAATTCTTCCAACGATATTCACAAAGTGTCCACCACATATAGTGCATTACCTTTTATAAAAATAAATATATTATAAAAAGCTTTCATATACTTCCTACAGTGAATATAGGTGAAAAATAGTGAAAAACGTGAACCAAACGTGAATCAGTGAAAAACAAATCAGTGTATATAACACTCTTTTAGTGCCACATCAAAACCAAGACAAATACAAATAGTGTGCACTTCTATTTGCAGTAAGGGTATCCTTACCAACCATCCCAATATAGTATGCTTATAATATTCCAGGAACTCCACAGGCTAGACCTCTTAGGGATCTTTCCTCTAATGCATCCTGTTGCCACGACACTCTCTGGACTCCTCAGACACTCTGCTCACAGTGTCTCCACAAAAACATATAGAACATAGTGTAATACCGCCAATCTAATTTACAATATGGACTTTATTCAGAACTGCTCACATTGTAAAAGCCTTTAAAATCGCATATTTAAGGAGTAAAGGAATCTCACGGTCATCCAGGAAAACGTCCAGGTGCACCTGCACGATCTTTCCCTAATCCAAAATGGCCGTCAGTCAACTTCCGGTTTCCGGGAAAACGTCTTGACGTCACTCCACCTTGACGCGTTTCGTCATCAACAGGATACATCAGAGGAAAGATCCTTAAGAGGTCTAGCCTGTGGAGTTCCTGGAATATTATAAGCCTACTATATTGGGATGGTTGGTAAGGGTACCCTTACTGCAAATAGAAGTGCACACTATTTGTATTTGTCTTGGTTTTGATGTGGCACTAAAAGAGTGTTATATACACTGATTTGTTTTTCACTGATTCACGTTTGGTTCACGTTTTTCACTATTTTTCACCTATATTCACTGTAGGAAGTATATGAAAGTTTTTTATAATATATGTATTTTTATAAAAGGTAATGCACTATATGAATTTTTTCTTTTTTTTGAGGTGGACACTTTGTGAATATCGTTGGAAGAATTGATTGGATTTTTTTTAGTGGACTTGAAAAGGAATTTTAGTGGACTTTATATTTGTAGTGGATTTATATATTTTTATATATATTTTTATCTTTAATTTTTGGGGATCAAGGTGATTGAAGGATTATATTTCACATTTATTGTTTTTTGGAGGATCTTGTAAATAACTGTCACTTATATAATAACCTATGCTGACTAACCTGTGTAAGAAAGATGTATATACTTACCTATTCTCAGCCCACTTCAGTCCAGTCACATGATCCTCTGTGTCAGCCAGCAGGCAGCTGCAGGGGAGAGGAGAGAGCACTCAACAACGTCTGGTAAAGCCTGGATTGGTGACATCACGCACAGGCTCCTAAGGCTCATCTGTTATCACCTGTCCCTCCTCTCCCCCACCATTGAGCCAGATCACTTGATTATACCAGAGCAGGCTGAGAAAATAAGCAAGTATATACCTCTTTCTTACACCGATTAGCCAACATATTAGGAGGGGGGAAGGGAGCATTTTAAGGCTAGTTAAGTTTATCCCAAAATTCTACTTCAAGTCTGCTTGTGTCAACATACAGTAGTTCCAGGTCTTTGGGCAGATGTTATTATTGTATGCAGGGTGGATTTGATTTAAATCACAATTTAAATCACTAGTCAGTAAGGCTTGATTTAAATCCTAGTTTTCTACATAAAGACTAATTCTTGCTGGTATAACTTTAATATACAAGTAGATGAAGATTTTTAGAATAACAACTTTTCAGATTAGTTTTTTTATCCCCAGTTTAATAGGTTAATCATTCATATTTGGACAACTTTTCTGTTGTACTTAGGAAGGAGAAAAATAATCATTACCTTACTAATAACAATTTAAATAGATTTATTCAACTGAAACAATAACATTCCAGCAGATGTGATTTGCTTAAACATCCATGTTTGGTAACTAATTTGGCTAAACAAAATCTATATATTTGAAGAAACTTAGACTGTCAGCCCCTTCCTCCTCACACTTAGTTTCACTTTCTTCTTGTGCAGATCTATTCCACTCCAAACAATCAGAAAAATATTGTTTCTATTCTATTCACTGAACTTCTTGAAACTTAGCAGTGAAGGGGTTGATTCTGTATTCATAGGTTTGTAGAAGTTAGGATGAAGGTCTTTTTCTGAACTCTGTTCATGTTATAACATTTTTGCTGTGAAGAAGAGGCATGTGATCTCCGCTGAGTCAAATTCAGTTTTGAGAACTGCAAAAGTAAACCAAACATCTGTGATAATATCTTGTAGGCAGAGAAACTGCCCAATAATCTTACAAAAACCTCTGGAAGAGCATGACATTGTGAATGGATTCATGGGATTTATTTACCAAAATAAATAAACATATACAGCCTTATTCTACATAATTAAAAAACTAATCTTTATTTCATGATGGAATAACCTTTGGATGGTAATATATTTTCCTCAAAAAGCATTTTATTTAAAAAATCCGATTTAAATCAAAAAAATCCGAGTTAAATCAAAAAAATCCGATTTAAATCAAAAAAAATCTGATTTAAATCAAAAGAATCCGATTTTAAATAAAAGAAATCCGATTTAAATAAAAAAAATCCAATTTAAATAAAAAAAATCAGATTTAAATCAAAAGAATCCGATTTTAAATAAAAGAAATCCGATTTTAAATAAAAGAAATCCGATTTTAAATAAAAGAAATCCGATTTAAATAAAAAAAATCCAATTTAAATAAAAAAAAATCAGATAAAAAAAATTTTTTTTTTGATTTTTTTTTTAAAAAATCATTGATTTTTATCCACCCTGATTGTATGGCATTGAATGGAATCATGATAATGCTCTTTTTCTTAAAGACTTGCGTTGGAATAATATTGGACTCCTTGGAGGCAGAGCCATCCTTAACTGTTTACAGAACAATCGGAGCATCATGAAGATGGAGTTGTCTGGCAACAATATCCCTAGTGACATCTTAAAGACTATCGGTAGGTGGAGCTTTTCAAGTCTTTCATATCTATGGAAACCAGAAGAGCTGTCTCACACTGGTTATGTAGATATTGCAGGATAGACAGTGGGTCGAATTTTCAGATTTGCCAGTTTATTGGGAGCACATTTGTGAGGTCAGACACTGATGTCGGGGGAGGAGGCCTGGCTCACAGTCTCCACTCTAATTCATCCCAAAGGTGTTCTATGACGTTGAGGTCAGGACTCTGTGCAGGCCAGTCAAGTTCCTCCACCCCAAACTGGCTCCTCCATGTCTTTATGGACCTTGCTTTGTGCACTGGTGTGCAGTCATGTTGGATCAGGAAGGGGCCATCCCCAAACTCTTCCCACAAAGTTGGGAGCATGAAATTGTCCAAAATGTCTTGGTATGCTGACGCCTTAAGAGTTTTTCCTTCACTGGAATTAGGGGGCCAAGTCCAACCCCTGAAAAACAACCACACACCATAATCCCCTTCCACCAAACTTTACACTTGGCACAATGCAGTCAGACCAGTACCATCCTCCCGGCAACCGCCAAACCCAGACATCGGCTTGCCAGACAGAGGAGCATGATTGGTCACTCCAGAGAACACGTCTCCACTGCTCCAGAGTCCAGTGGCGGCGTGCTTTACACCACTGCATCCAACGCTTTGCATTGCACTTGGTGATGGAAGGCTTGGATGCAGCTGCTTGGCCATGGAAAACCCATTCCATGAAGCTCTCTATGCACTGTTGTTGGGCTCATCTGAAGGCCACATGAAGTTTGGAGGTTTTTAGCTATTGACTCTGCAGACAGTTGACAACTTCTGCGCACTGTGCGCTTCAGCATGCACTGACCTCGCTCTGTCATGTGACGTGGCCTACCACTTCGTGGCTGAGTTGCTGTTGTTCCCAGTTGCTTCCACTTTGTTATAATCCCACTAACAGTTGAGCGTGGAATATTTAGTAGCCAGGAAATGTCACGGATGGACTTATTGCACAGGTGACAACCTATCACGGGACCACGCTTGGAGTCACTGAGCTCCTGAGAGCGAACTATTCCTTCACAAATGTTTGTAGAAGCAGTCTGCATGTCTAAATGATGATTTTATATCTCTGTGGCCATAGAGGTGATTGGAACACCTGAATCCAATGATTTGGAGGGCTGACTCAATACTTTTGGCAATATAGTGTAGTTTACATCTCTTTTACTTTTTTTTCACAAAAAATGTTTATTGAGAAAATGCATCAGCCAAATACAAACAATGGAGGACATTATCCCCATGGTATACAATAGGGGAGACATGAGTATAGGCCACCCTAATATCTACTTCAACTTTTATTGGTTATTCTAACAAATAGGTTACCCTCTGTATTTTTGTGTTTCAGAGCAGGGTGTCGATCACAACCAGGATCGACTGACAGTGAGGAAGGATCATGTGAACCAGAGACAGATCCTGACAAAGGAAGTCCAGAATCTGAAACAGGAGAAGAACAAGCAGGTAAGTGATGGACTCTCTGCAGTCCGTGGCCTGTGGACTGTTCTCTGTAACCTGTAACTGACTTCTTTTGCAGTTTCTGGACTTGATGGGAACCATTGACAAGCAGAAAGAGGAGATGTGTCGTAGCACCAGGTTGGTTTTGGAGAAGAAATTCTAGGGCTGGGTGGATATTTTCTTTACTTCTTTTCTTATGATTTCTTTTTTTACTTTTTAACCAGGACGACAACCTTACAAATCGGTAAACTCCAGGAAGCGCTAGAGGATAGGAAATCTGTTGTAAATTCACTGACAACCAAGTGAGGACCACTTTGTGTTGTATAGCAGCCCCTTACTGGAAAATTACTAAAGTGGCTTTGGTGGTACTTTTTTTTGGAGAACTGTTTATTCAAAAGTCTATGTATGGCAAGCTTGCCATTAGACATGTGCAGTTCGTTTTGTCCCGAATCGAAACTTGGATGAAATTTTCATTATTCAGAGATTCAGATGTATCCGAATTTCTGAATTACAATAGTAACGAATCCAAAATAACTAAACAAAATTTAATAAAAAACAATGAATTTGAATTGCATTCGAAATGTAATTTAAAAACTAAACAAATTTGAAATGTAAAATGTATTGCTGATCATTGCTAATTTCTTTAAAAGACTGTGTGTATTTGAGTACAGCTGTCTTCCAAAATTTGAATTTCGAAGAGACTAGAATAGACTAGAAAAGAATAGAAGAGAACATAGAGCAGAAAAGAATTGAAAAGAAAAGAAATAACAGAATAAAAAATAAAAGAATAGAATAGAAACAAGTAGAATAGATTGGAATAGAATAGAATACATCTAGCTGTCTTCCAAAATTCAAATTTAAAATACAATAGGTAATAAAAGAATAGCATAAAAAATAAAGGAATAGAATATAAAATAAAGGAATAGAAAAGAATAGAATATAAAATAAAGGAATAGAAAAGTATAGAGTAAAATAGAATAGAAAATAAGTAAATAGAAAAGAATAGGTAAGAATAGAATAGGATAGAAAAAAAAATAGAATAGAAAGAATATAGCTGTCTTCCCAATTTGAATTTCAAATAGAGTAAAATAAAATATAATATAGTCATCTTCCGAAATTTGAATTTGGAATATAATTGAATAAAACAGAGTAGAGTAGAAAATAAAAGAATAGAATAGAAAAAGGAATAGAATAGAAAATAACAGAACCGAATACACTAGAAAAAAATAGAATACAATAGAATAGAGTAAAACAGGATAGTTTAGAAAATAGAAGAATACAAAAGAAAATAAAGGAATGGAATAGAACAGAATAGAATATAAAAAAATAATAGAATAGAAAAGAAAAAATAGAATAGAAAGAACATAGCTCTCTTCCGAAATTCAAATAGAATAGAACCAGCTATTCTTCACAATGAATTTAGATTGATTCGATATTTTTGATTCGAATTCTATTTGAATACTTCGAATCCATTGGAAGAATCTGCATCCGGTCGAAAACGAATAAACAAAACGAATCTCCTTACGAATGCAGCAAAATTAGTAACTTGAGGAATCGATTTGAAATGTAACTAAACAAATTGTTTTCATTCTGCACATGTCTACTTGCTTGTTTGAACAGGCCCTAATACATTGGAGTCATGCTTTTGAACAAAATTATAACCACCAGGGGTGGACTGACAACTCATGGGGATCATGGGGCACCTGTGTCCTTGCCCAAACTCAAAAAAGCCTATGAAAAAGGTACCAGGGACATCTCATGGGGGCCCCCTACTGACCCCGGGCCCTCGGGCAGTGCCCGAGTTTCCAAATGGCCAGTCCGCCCCTGCTAACCACTATGTCCTAAACTCAGTGTACCCATTCCTACTGGGCGGGTGGGTGGTGCTTGTCAGAAAATGTATATGAAATGCCGCTTTCTGACGCTGGTTTGACCACAGTCCACATATTCTTCATTCTTCCAGGCTGCACATGGCCGACGCTGCTCTGACCCTTTCACAACAGAAAGCACAAGACCTGGAGCTGATTCTCACTCAGACAAAGCGGGACGGTGCCAACTTGCGGGAACAACTCGCTAAAGAGCTGCGAAAGGACAAGGAGGTATAAGGGGAATGTTGTACTGATCCTAGCAATGGCCAGAGGGGGATTGTACCAAGTTTGTGTTTATGGGGGGAGGAATGTATTATGCAGATCTTTGCACTAAAGATAATGCAGAATTTACTTTGTAATCCTATTAACCACTTTCAGTCCGGACACTTTTACCCCCTTCCTGACCAGGGCAATTTTCAGCTTTTAGCGCTATCACACTTTGAATGACAATTGTGCGGGTCATGCAACACTGTACCCAAATTAATTTTTTACCATTTTTTTTAGATAGATAAAGCTTTATTTTGGTGGTATTTATTCACCACTGGGATTTGTATTTTTTTCGCTATGTAAATGAAATGTCCAAAAAATTTTAAAAAAAGTGTTTTTTTTTTTATAAAATTTTGCAAATAAATAATATTTCATCATAAATCTTAGCCAAAATTTATTCCGTTTATCTTTTTAGTAAAAAAAAAAAAAAAAATCCAAATTAGTTTATAAGCAAAAATTATAATTTTTAACATTTTTTTTTTACATTTTTATTTATTTTTTTTATATTATTATTTTTTATTTATTTTTATTTTTTTTTACATACTGTCACCCTAGCAGTACAGTGTCACCATGGTGACACTGTACTAATTGTGAGGGGTGATAAAGATTTTTTTTTTTTTTTTTTTTACACTGATTGCTTTTACACCCATATAGGATGTAAAAGCAATCATTTCTCTTTCTCTCTGTGGGCATTCCTGCACTCATTGAGAAATACAGAGTGAGCTGTGATTGGTCACAGCTTGTCACATGGTACAAGGCTTTTGTGAATAGCCTTGTACCATGTGACCTCTGTGATCATTCACAGATTTCACACATAGTAAGCAATGATGTCACAAGTGACATCATGCTTACTACTTTGCATGTGATCACTGATTGGCCAATCAGTGATCACATGATCGGGACCTCGTACAGAGGTCCCGTCCGACGATCGGTGTTTCACTGTGTCCGGAGGACACAGCGGGCACCGGATCGCGGTGCTGCGCGCTCCCAGGGAGCGCGCACAAGCAGGGTGCGGGGAGGCCGTTTATAGACGGCCACCCGACCCTGCAGTGCCACCGTCCGGCCGTTTATATGCAACGGCCGGACGGGAGGTGGTTAAAAGATATTGTAATCAGCTTGAAATGGCAGATGACGTAAAGCTGGTGATTCTCCCTGTACTTGCGCACCTGCCCTCTCACATCCAATGTTCTGTGTGTGTGTCAGATGAACTGAAGAGAATATTTATTTCAGGTACTTATATAGCGCCGTCAATTTACACAGCACTTTACATATATATTGTACATTCACATCAGTCCCTAACCCTCAAGGGGCGTACAATCTAAGGTCCCTAACTCACATTCCTATACAAGGGACAATTTGGACAGGATCCAATTAACCTACCAGCATGTCTTTGGAGTGTGGGAGGAAACTGGAGTACCTGTAGGAAACCCACGCAGGCACAGGGAGAACATGCAAACTCCAGGCAGGAGGTGCCGTGGCTGGGATTTGAACCAATGACCCCAGTACTGCCAGGCGAAAGTGCTAACCATTCAGCCACTAAGGCTTTTAGTATGACCTCTGTGATCAAGCTTGTTTGGGTAACGGAAGGGAGACCTCGTGTAGACAATCATGGCTCCAGGGGAAAACAATAGTGTTTGGCCAGTGTTTTCCCAACATGCTTAAAGGCGAAGTATGCCCAAAGCTCTTTTTGGTCATGCTTCTTTTATGTAAAATCAATAAGTGCAGCACTAAAAAAATTAGTGATATACATAATGAAATAAATAAATACAAAATGTTAAGTCCTTCATTATAAGAAGCACAATATGTTGCGTGCAACTAAAAAAAGTCAATAAACAGAAAAAAGTTCATATAATGGTGAAAATCTGACAGCAGTCAGAAAATGGTGCTTTGTGAAGATCCTGTTGCCCAAGTGATATCAGAAGAATTTCATGTGATTATACTCCATTAAGACCGTGCAGGAGATATGGTAAAAAAATGCGCACTCACCAGATGCACATACTAAATGCGCAATTAGTAGAATTATATGATGGTTGTAAGATCTACCAGAAGCCCCCTTTAAAATGGACCAAGTGTGCAGCATGGAAAGAGACTCCCTCCTCTGGACCTGGGGCTGCCCTGCAGCCATTCTCCGGATAGGATCCTGAAAGTTATTTAGCTCACAGCTCCTTGGCCTTTTCCATCAGACCCTCATTGGGCTCCTCTACACTCTCCTGGCGCTTTAGCCTCCCGCACACGGCAATGTGATCCCAGCTCAGAATATAACATACTTCTTCTATGGGTCCCAAGAGTGCATTTAGTTCTGCGCTCCTGTGAACCAGATTCAGCCAACAGCAGGCTAAAGTCTGCTGTTGGCTGACATCACAGAGCTGGTCCAGGCTCTGCAGGGATCCTGACAATATTGTCAAGATCCACTCAGATGCCTGATCAGCAGCTGGCTCAGCCTCTCAGTGGAAACAAAAACACCTACTGCGCTCTATGACCCAGAGCAAGGGTGGATGGATGGAAAAAGAACTTGTAGAAATTCGTCCACCAATGCATAAAAGGTTTTGCGGTTCTAAACAAGGCTGGGGAAGCCCGATCAGTACCTCGCTTCTCAGGTCCACTCTGACCACTGAGACTGATAGTCATTGGCTCTCTGCTCTGCCCCTCCAGCACTCACTGGTGCGCAGGACTGAGCAGAGGGTGGGAGTGCCTGGCTCAGGCCCTCACCAGGGCACTGAGAGGCTGATAAGTGAAACAAAAAGAAAGCGCACCAACCTTGAGCATTACCTCAGTAAAATGTAATTTTATTGAATTAAGAAATATACTCACGAACAGAGAAGTATAACAAGCGTATAAGATCCTCAACGGAACTCTAGGAGTGTGAACCCAGTGCGAGTCTCATCACGAGGGCAGACTCTCAAAGTAAGGGAGTCGAAGGGAGTCCCACAACTCTGATGAAGAAGGGACTCCCTTCGAAATGCGTCAGTCCTACCTTGTGAGTCTTCCCTCGTGAAGAGACTTGCACAGGTTTCACACTCCTAGAGTTCCATTGAGGATCTTATAGGCTTGTTATACTTCTCTGTTTGTGAGTATATTTATTAATTCAATAAAATCACATTTTACTGAGGAATGCACAAGGTTGGTGCGCTTTCTTTTTGTTTCACTTCTCAGCTTCTCAGTGCCCTGGTGAGAGCCTGAACCAGCCACTCCCACCCTCTGCTCAGTCCTGCGCACCAGTGAGCGTTGGAGGGGCAGAGCAAAGAGCCGATGACTGTCAGTCTCAGTGGTCAGAGTGGATCCATGAAACGAGTGATCAGCGGTCTTTGATTGCTCAGTTCTAGGTGTAGAGCCAGCAGGGGAGAGCTGCAGTATCGAATTGATGCCACATCAACAAAGGTAAGTATAAAAAATTTTTTTTTTTGTTTTTTCTAAACCCACACTTCTCTCTTAGTTGTTTGGTTCCCCAAGAATGCTCATCTGGGTCCTTTGTGTGCTTGCCAGATTATATGACGGTCCTCTAATGTCTATTGACACCTTAAAGGTTTAGTTAAAAAAAAAAATACTCGTAGTTCACGAACACTACTTTATCATTTTACATTTGATTTTATAAATATCAATATTTGCTTCTCTTATACTTGTAGGCCATTTGTTCCTGCAGTGAAGCCTGTCCCAAACATTTTTGGTAATTTTCACAGCTTTGTCCTGTCCTCACTGTAGAACAGACCAGCCGTTTGGACCTCCTAGCAGTACAGGAAGGAATGCCGTCCTTCTTTCGAGCCCCACATATGTGCTCTCTGTTGAGCAGATGAGCTCAGCAGCTGTGAAAGGAGAGAGAGCACTGCAGCTGCTGAGGTCTTCTAACTTGACATGAGATAGCACTGGGCCTGTGCAGGGCTCAGGAGGATAGCGCTTGCTCCTGTACGTCTAGGGGGCGCTCATCCTAACGGCTGATTCTTCCTAGAGAAGAGGACCGGACGGAGTTGTGAAAAATATCCAAAGTGTCTACAGGTATGGGAAGGGTCTACAGGTATGGGAAGGGTCTACAAGTATGGGAAGGGTCTACAGGTATGGGAAGGGTCTACAGGTATGGGAAGGGTCTACAGGTATGGGAAGTGTCTACAGGTATGGGAAGTGTCTACAGGTATGGGAAGGGTCTACAGGTATGGGAAGTGTCTGCAGGTATGGGAAGTGTCTACAGGTATGGGAAGTGTCTACAGGTATGGGAAGTGTCTACAGGTATGGGAAGGGTCTACAGGTATGGGAAGGGTCTACAGGTATGGGAAGGGTCTACAGGTATGGGAAGGGTCTACAGGTATGGGAAGGGTCTACAGGTATGGGAAGGGTCTACAGGTATGGGAAGTGTCAACAAGTATGGGAAGTTTCTACAGGTATGGGAAGTTTCTACAGGTATGGGAAGTGTCTACAGGTATGGGAAGTGTCTACAGGTATGGGAAGTGTCTACAGGTATGGGAAGTGTCTACAGGTATGGGAAGGGTCTACAGGTATGGGAAGGGTCTACAGGTATGGGAAGGGTCTACAGGTATGGGAAGGGTCTACAGGTATGGGAAGGGTCTACAGGTATCTGAAGGGTCTACAGGTGTGGGAAGGGTCTACAGGTATCTGAAGGGTCTACAGGTATGGGAAGGGTCTACAGGTATGGGAAGGGTCTACAGGTATGAGAAGGGTCTACAGGTATGGAAAGGGTCTACAGGTATGGAAAGGGTCTACAGGTATGGGAAGGGTCTACAGGTATCTGAAGGGTCTACAGGTATGGGAAGAGCACAGTGGCTAAATGGTTAGCACTTCCACCTGTGCTAGCTACAACTGCAAGGCTGGGATTGTTTGATGCTGCCCATTGCTGTTTAATCTTGCGATGAAGGTGGAAAGAGATTGCATAAAGCAGAAGGCAACTGTAATCAGCAGAAGGTTAGATCAAATGTCAATAATGGGGTCTCATTTTTTTTTAGGAGTTTGCAACACGTGAGCTGAGACTTAGGCAGGAACTGGCAGCTGCCAATGAGAAAACCCTCGTCTACCGCAGCAAGGTAAGCCTCAGATCTATGCTGTATGATAACAGATTGCTAGGGAGAGTTTAGCATTTAAACATTTTAAATGGTTGATTATATACTGTATTCCTATATTGGTTTACATAATAGGGATTGCTGGTCTTCTGTATTAATAGGAAGCTTTCTGTTTCAATATGTTTATTGAAGTTTCGATTAACACCTTCCCACCCGGCCGATAGCAGATTGACGGCCTGGTGAGACACTCGCCGTTGTGACTGGGCGTCATATGACGTCCTGTCAAAAGGAGCCACTCACGGACCCTCGCAGCGGCGCGATCTGTCTGACATGTCACTACACCTGCCTGTTGCCAGTGTCATGTGACCGCTGTGACCAATCACAGCAGATCACATGTCAATTGTAAGCAATGGATGGCTTCCTGTCATGTCATCCATTGTATACAATTATGTTGTTAGCTGTGACTGGTCAAGGCAGTCACATGATACAGACAGGGCCAATCACAGCCCATCTGTATCATGTGATCAGCTTTGCCCAATCACAGCTAATTACAACAAAATACTCAGTTTCATTCAGTAACAATGATTGCAAATATCAATGAAATACATTGGTATTAGCAATCACGTGTTAAAAAAAAAAAATCCTGATCACTTGCCCAGAGTAGTTCAATGTTACTATGGTAACATTGTATTGCTTTGGTCACAGTGTTGAAAAATAAAAATTGTAAAAAAAAGAAAAAATTAATTAAAAAAAAAAAGAAACATTTGAAAAAAAAATACAAATTCAATTACTATTATTATTTTCAACAAAGACTTGTAGCAGAATACATTTTGACCTAAATTTATGAAGAAATTTTATTTATTTGTAAAATTTTTTATAACAGAAACGAAGAAAAGTGCATTTTTGTTTTTTTTTTTTCAAAAGTTTCAGGTTTTTTTTGTTTTATTTAGCAAAAAATAAAAAACTCAGTGGTGATTAAATCCCACCAAAAGAAAGCTCTAATTGTGTGAAAAAAAATTATACAAATTTCATATGGGTACAGTATTGCATGACCGCGCAATTGTCATTCAAAGTGCGACAGCGCTGAAAGCTGGAAATTGGCCTGGGCAGGAAGTGCCTGGTACTGACATGGTTAAGAGAAGAAAACGATCTTGATCATAAATTGAAATAAATCTCGCTACACAGGTGAGAGACATTCAATGTTAAGATATAGCGACTTATAAGGGTTGAAGTAAGCCAGCAAAGAGCAACCAGAAACTAACAAATATTGAATAATGAATAGTGAGCCGGGTCTAGGGGTACCAATCCTATACGCTGTGATTAGACATCCTCTCTATGCTGCTCAGGCAGAAAGCTGATACACAACCAACATGTTACAATACAACCCAGTGTGAATAGTAAAGAATCATTGTACCATCAAAAGGAAAAGGAGAAGAAAAGCAGAAAGAGCCTGAAAAAAAAGTTTGGAAAGAAGTACTGTCTACCCAAGCACCAAATCCACCCACACTACCAAAAAACTATTTAAGAAGGGAATTGTATATAGCCAGTCCACGGGTTCCAAATCCATTCATACCTTGTAGAAGTGTCACATAGGATGCTAACCTTTTTTTTTGTTGACCATTATCCACAAGCATTTACATTCCATCAGTGTTAAATCAACTTTTGGGCTCTTCCAAGCGGTCGCTATAGCAATTTTAGCCACTAGGATCATAAAATATATCAAGGCCTTAGTAGATCTGGAAACCCTATCTATGGGTTCACTAAGCAGCACCACTTTGGGGTTTTTGGCAACATTAATCACAGTCACCAAATAGGTCAAGGAATGACCTCGCATCCTTTGCCCCATCCCCCTTCCTCTTCCCTCCCCCCCCCCCCCTTCCTCTTCCCTCCCCCCCCCCTTCCTCTTCCCTCCCCCCCCTTCCTCTTCCCCCCCCTTCCTCTCCCCCCCCCTTCCTCTTCTCCCCATTGTCCTGCATGATGTCCCTGATGAGGACTAAGAGTTCCAAAAATTTTGTTTTTATAACAGTTTTTTTATTTTTCACACATACACATAGTTGTCTTCTTTTTTATTTTAACTTATTTGTACCTTATTCAGAATAAAGCTTAATTTTAGAGACTGATCCTTCACCCCCCCCCCTTTTTTTTCTTTCTTTTTTATTCACACTATATTTAATTTATTAATTTTCTTTCTTTTTGAGATATGTGTATATAATTTATTTTTTCCTTTGGATTTCAGCATTACTGTTCAATTTCTCTTGTCTTCTTCCTGTTTTCTATCATCACACATACACACCTGATTCCTTTTTCAAGGCTAATGATGCATATATATTTCCTGGCTTCTCACATCCTCACTACCTCTGTGACCAAGCCCCGGTGGGTGTGGGTTGAAATGTTTCAGAGGTGTAGCCAGAATGGTGGCTGAGACCATTCCTTAACATTTCTTAATATTGGACTCCTGGGGTCAGTTGAGTAGCATTCATCCCTTCGAATGTATTGGCTGACACTGGGAATCGATTGGACTCATGCCTCCCTCTTCTCACTTGCCGATGGAGTGATCGTTTTCCTTCCATCCACAGCTTGCGGCGCCATGGGGTATACTTTTGCTTGTAGCCAGAACTGTTTGACCTTAGGGCAAGTCCACTATACATGGCACATTGTAACCACTTCCCCACATCCCTGAAAACAGAGTGAGGAGAAGCCAGGGTACATTTTCGACAGGCATTCAGGAACAAAGTACCAACGAGGGAGTACCTTATATCCAGCTTCCGCTAGGAATACATTCATAATGCCTTTTTTGAATTCTCAAAAACCAGTTCTTCATGTTTATCTCAGATCTTATATCCATTACTCAAACTAACATGTAGGTGATTTTTTCAACAAAGGTAGCAACAAGCAACTTATACAGTTCAGAGGTGCACCCCTTCTGAGCTTCAACACAAAAATATCTGTTTTCAAATGATGTGGTAATATCAGTAGTAGAAATAAAAAATATATTAATGCCGTACTTCTCAAAACTCCATGAACCTTACACATACATTAATAAACACAAAAATCGACAAAATCTAACAGTGATTCAAAGTTCGTGAGTCCTCTATATTGTGATTGAGATATGATCAATGTTGTGACATCCTCTTCTCAAACCTATATCTGTATTCCTATGAAAACATACAAATCTTCATATTCCAAAGTCCGTGCTCCTGCACCAAACACCACATTTGTGCCCTCACCTGAATATTTTGACCTAACATATAATTCTTGGTCGTAATGCGCTTATGTCCATTTAACGGACTGGGGTGGCGATGAACCTCGAGGAGGAATCTTCTTTCTACATAAACAGATCACCTTCACCACATGCCTCTTACTACTCCTTTTCTCTTCTGATTGATATAAAAAATGAATGCCTAATAGTGTCTTATATTAATCCGCTTTATTTAAAACTTAAAATGGCCACTGACATACAAAGGTGCTGAATGGCACCACATATATTTAGCATAATATACAAAACATGGATCCATAAATCTCACTCATCTTGTGTTCCTCGATGTTCCAATGACTGCAAGCGTCGTGACCTCACAAGCCCCTCCCCTACACGTTGCACCACAGGGTCACGCAGCTTCGTCAGTGGGATATAATCAGTAGTATGCCATTGCAGAGAGCGGAGAAAATGGGGGCTTTACTGCAGGTGGTAACACTCAGTATCAGGCATGTCAAGCTGTTGCACAAAATATGTTACAGGCCATATCCCCATATGGTCTCTAAAGTGTCCTATAAGGTATAGACCTTTGTCTATCCACCATTTGAATTATAGCTAAGGCCAAAAGGAAAATCCAAGTTATTGAATAATGGTGTCACTGGAGTGCAGGGAGATTGGATCGCCACCAGCTTTCAGGGAGAGTCCCATAAGTGTAAAGAATGGGACAAGGCAGAACAAAGAATTGCCTTCCTACTCTTGGGGGATATCCAGATTGGGAGATCTATGGAGCGCAGGCTTGTGCCTCCAATGCTATCCAGTCAAATCTATAAAAATCAGAATATAATTGGGTCAGTTGAGTTAGTTTTGAGCGGCTTTGTAATATTCCTTGAGATCTGGAACCCCCAGTCCACCTGAGACTCTATAGCGTTCTGTGTTCTACTCTGTGGCCCCTGGGGCCCCAAATACATATTATGTCGTTCTGAAACTTGTGGAGATTGGTAGCTGGAACTGCCACAGGCAAAGTGTGAAAATAGAGGATTCTGGGTAGCGATACCATTTTAACTGCAGCAATCCTACCCATCCAGGATAAGGAGGTAAAGGATGATCCAGGGATTATCCGATTGCCCCCCCGGAGGATCAGGAAGGAATTTTTTTCCCCTGCAGGAGCAAATTGGATCATGCTTTGCTGGGGGTTTTTTTTTTTGCCTTCCTCTGGATGAAATGTGGGTATAGGATTATAACTTTTTTTTTTTAATGTTTGAACTGGATGGACTTTTGTCTTTTTTTCAGCCAGACTAACTATGTCACTGTGTAACTATGACCACATCTCCACATCCAGCAACGAAAAGCTGCATATAGTTTGTCTTATAGAGCATTGCTCAAATATGGTAAGGAACCTGTCTGCTAAATAGAAACCTTTCTAAAGATAAAATTTGATGCTGGCATGGGTGACTATGTTTTAAAGTTGGATTCCAGGCAAATATGAAAAGCACAACTTATTGCAGCTCTGTAGTCACCGATCAGTTCATGTGCTCACAGAAGGCATGCTGATAGAAGAGAAAGCAGAGAAAAGAGGGATGAGATCATCATTGTACTGCTTCTCCTTTCACTGTTCAGCTGGGAGCAGGGGCAGACTGACCATTTGGAAACTCGGGCACAGCCCGAGGGCCTGGGGTCAGTATGGGGCCCCTGAGATGCCCCTGGTACCTTTTCCATAGGCTTTTTTGAGTTTGGGCAAGGACACAGGGGCCCCATGATCGCCTATTGCCCGGGGGCCCCATAAGTTGTCAGTCCGCCCCTGGGTGGGAGCAGACTCATGGCAGCTGGGGTGAGAAAAAGTGGTTTGAATGATGCTGAATATCAGGTAAACTGTAAGAAAAGAATGAATCTTTAAGACATTTAGATGTAAATAGTTTTTATTAAAAGCTTGTAGCTAATGCAATGTTTCAGGAAGGAATTAAAACCAAAGCATTAGCTAGGAAATTGACATTCTCAAACGGAGAGGTCAGCAATGGCAGCCTACATAAGTCTGTCCTGACAAGTGTACCTTGAGTGATCCTAATGATGATTGTCCATTGTATGACTCCACAGGTGGAGGAGCTGGAGAGGAAGGGTTCAGGACAGCAGGAACAGCTTTTTGAGCTAAAGCAGGAACTGACCAACACAAGTGCAGAGCTCAAGCTTCGAGCAATTCAGGCAGAAGGTAGGTGCTGGTTGTTACAAGGCTTAAAGTGTTACTAAACCCCGGACCCTGCATTCACTATATCTGGTCTCCCCGGACCCTGCATTCACTATATCTGGTCTCCCCGGACCCTGCATTCACTATATCTGGTCTCCCCGGACCCTGCATTCACTATATCTGGTCTCCCCAGACCCTGCATTCACTATATCTGGTCTCCCAGGACCCTGCCTTCACTATATCTGGTCTCCCAGGACCCTGCATTCACTATATCTGGTCTCCCTGGACCCTGCATTCACTATATCTGGTCTCCCAGGACCCTGCATTCACTATATCCGGTCTCCCAGGACCCTGCATTCACTATATCTGGTCTCCCCGGACCCTGCATTCACTATATCTGGTCTCCCAGGACCCTGCCTTCACTATATCTGGTCTCCCAGGACCCTGCATTCACTATATCTATCTGGTCTCCCTGGACCCTGCATTCACTATATCTGGTCTCCCAGGACCCTGCATTCACTATATCCGGTCCCCCAGGACCCTGCATTCACTATATCTGGTCTCCCCAGACCCTGCATTCACTATATCTGGTCTCCCAGGACCCTGCCTTCACTATATCTGGTCTCCCTGGACCCTGCATTCACTATATCTGGTCTCACTGGACTCTGCATTCACTATATCTGGTCTCCCCGGACTCTGCATTCACTATATCTGGTCTCCCAGGACCCTGCATTCACTATATCTGTTCTCCTAGGACCCTGCATTCACTATATCTGGTCTCCCCGGACTCTGCATTCACTATATCTGGTCTCCCCGGACTCTGCATTCACTATATCTGGTCTCCCCGGACCCTGCATTCACTATATCTGGTCTCCCCGGACCCTGCCTTTACTATATCTGGTCTCCCTGGACCCTGCATTCACTATATATGGTCTCCCTGGACCCTGCATTCACTATATCTGGTCTCCCAGAACCCTGCATTCACTATATCCGGTCTCCCCGGACCCTGCATTCACTATATCCGGTGTCCCTGGATCCTGCATTCACTATATCTGGTCTCCCTGAACCCTGCATTCACTATTTCCGGTCTCCCCGGACCCTGCAATCACTATATCTGCTCTCCCAGGACCCCGCATTCACTATATTTTTTTTTCACGCTGTCACCAGTCAGTGTCCCTGATCACCGCCATGCCAGTTATATGATGACGCTGTACTGCACTGGTGACAGTATGTAAAAAAAAAAAATAGTGAAAATAATTTTTTTTTATTTTTTTATTTTCCGAAAAATTATGACAAAAAAAATATACAACTTCAAAAAACTTGCCATGCCTCTTATGAAGTACGTCGGACTGTCTACTCTGCAAAAAGGGGTCATTTGGGGGATATCTGTACTCTTCTGACATTCTTGGACCTCAAGAAATTAGATTGGCTGTCAGCACTTCAGGATCGATCAATATTCAGATCTATACCATAGTCTGTGAACTCTATAACTTTCCTACAAACTAAAAAATACATCCTAATTTGGGTTATTTTCACCAAAGACATGTAGCAGAATACATCTCGGCCTAAATTTATGAAGAACAATTATTTATTTGCAAACTTTTATAACAGAAACAAAGAAAAACGTGTTTTTTTTTCAAAATTTTCGGACTTTTTTGTTAATTTAGCAAAAAATAAAAACCCCAGCGGCGATTAAATACCACCAAAAGAAAGCTCTAGTTGTGTGAAGAAAATGATAAAATTTTAGTTTGGGTACAATGTTGTTTGACCGCGCAATTGTCATTCAAAGTGTGAGAGCGCTGAAACCTGAAAAATGGCCTGGGCAGGAAGGGGTAAAATTGCCCGGTATTGAAATGGTTAAAATATTTTTCTTTGTATAGTGCTATATAAATGCCTGTAATAAATATATAAAGTGATGCATCTGAAAAAGATCTGAAGAGGACTCGGGATTTAATTTGTATCCAGTTAGATGGGCCTTGGCACTACATAGTTTTTTGGGTTTTTTTTTTCCTTTTTTTTTTCTTTACAGAGCGTTTGGAAGCAGAAAAAAAGAGATTCCGACAGGCCCAGGATGATGCCAGTGTTCTGCGGCAGAAAGAAGTAAGCCTTTGTGGAATGTTTCTGCTTCAGCTGGATACCCCGTAACATGAAAGAGCGAGCCTAACTTTTATGTGATTACAGTCGGAGCACATGACCCGCCACCTGGAGGACAACGAAAGAGCGGCGCAAGAAAGAATTCAGCGGATTGAAGCCACAAAATTAGCGCTCGAGGAGGTGAGATCTGCTGGATTATTCAACATTGCTGTGTACGGTGAAAAAGCAAGACGCAGTAAACCTTAGCATACTACCACACTATTATCCTGCTAGAGTCATTGAAATAAAAATGGTGGTTGGTTGTTACGAGTCTTAAAATGGTTGTAAAGGCTCAAGGTTTTTTAGAATAAAAAAAACCTTCCGTGTGCAGCATCCCCCCCAGCCCCCCCAATACTCACCTAAGCCCCCTCTCGATCCAGCGATGTGCATGGGAGTCGCAGCTATCCTGGGACTCCCTCTCCTCATTGGCCGAGACAGAAGCAGGAGCTATTGGCTCCCACAGCTGTCAATCACAGTCAGTGAACCAATGAGAAGAAAGAGGGGGGGCCAAGCCGCAGCTCTGTGTGTGAATGGACACACGGAGCAGTAGGTGCCCCCATAGCAAGCTGCTTGCTGTGGCGGCACCCGACAGGAGGGATGGGCTAGGAGTGCCAGTGGGGGACCCGAGAAGCGGAGGATCTGAGCTGCTCTGTGCAAAACCATTACACACAGCAGGTAAGTATAGACATGTTTGTTATAATTTTTTATATATTTTTTGTTATATATTTTTTTTTTAACCCCCCTGGAGGTATTCCTGAGTGTAGCTCGGGGTAAAGTTTCAGTACCACAAGCGGTAACCCCGAGCTACACTCAGGAATACCATGCGGCGCTGCTCCACGATCCCTCGATCACTTACCTTGTCCTGCACTCCCGTGATGTCTCTCCTGCAGTGTCCTCTGTAATGTAATCCGGCCGATGCCGGCATCTGTCTTCCGGGTTCCGTCCCCTGCGAGCGTCGGGACGTACGGGGGACGGAAGTGGCGGGAAATTTGAAAATGACAAAAAGTGACATTCACTAAATACACTAAAATCACATAGTAAAACATTCCTGTATCAAACCATTTCACATACATTTTGTCCCGAGTGCTTTGTCCGGCGCCCTGCCTGCATTTTTACTGTTCTTATTGCCTGGAAACTGAGAAAAGTCCATGGCGTCCAAAAAGCGTCCCTTTAGTCAAAAGCGGTTTTAGACCGGCTAGAGAACAGCGATAGTAAATCAGAACCACTTGCAGAATTGAGTGATAATGATTCGTGGGGGAAATTCGTCATCAGACACTGAAAACGATTTTGCGACTTTGCTCAGTGATGTGCGAACTTGGCGCTATATTTCAAATTTCAGTGTTTTTGGTTTGATTATATTATTGAATTAAATTTATTATTATATTATTATTTTTTATGATTATTTATTAAATTATAATTTATGATTTCGTGTTTCAAGTTTTATCATATCCGGGATGTTTACTAGACTCTTGTTCGGACAGATTTCAGTGAGTTATTCCTAAAAATTACAGGCCTACAATATAAAACGCCAAATTTCCATGCAAAATAATGGTACCGCTTTCAGCACCAAAAATCTGAAATAATAATACCGCCGAGGAGGTTAAATAAGCCTTTAGAATCACTTTAATATTTTGTAGATTGCTGTTTGAAGAATAAGTTGGGAGCAGGGGTGGACTGACAACTCATTGGGCCCTCGGGCAATAGGGGTTCATGGGGCCCCTATGTCCTCGCCCACACCCAAACCACACCCAAAAAAGCATATGAAAGGTACCAGGGACATCTCATGGGGCCCCCTACTGACCCCAGGCCCTCGGGCAGTGCCCGAGTTCCCCAATGGTCAGTCCGCCCCTGGTTGGGAGCTATTTGTCAGGACAGGTTCGCTTGTATGTCGTCTCAATGATTTCTTTCAATATATAATAGGGCTTGCATACGGGACTTGCAAAAGTGATGGGAAATCCAGAATTTTACAGTTGTCTACAAAACCTAAAGTGATGGCAAATTTTCCAGTTCAGTGACAACTGTCCAGCTTTGTAGAAATTTCCTCTCCCTTCTTGTCTCTCTGCTAAAATCCCTCAGACAGAGGCAGCAAAAAACAAAAAAAAAAAAAACTGCAGTGGTTGTAACCATTCACTACTCGGGAACTCAGGAATAAGACCGCACCTAGAAATGGTTTGCTTTTACCATAAACCAAAACAATTGTTTGTACTTTTTTTTTATCTTTGACTTTTTATCTTTGCCTCTTTCATGTCCGCCCTCCCCATAGCAGGTGGTATGTCTACAGGACGCAGGCGGGCATAGTGTGACGTCACACATATGGATCCATACTCACTCACTGCAACCGCAGCACAGCAGGGCTGAGCAGGTGGAGCATGGCCACAAGACGGACTACAGGAGATACAGGCACAGCATGCTTGTATCTCCTAGCAGTGATCCCAGGGACGGAAACTGACCATGCCAGCAATGGATCTGCTTCTATGCTTGGCGTGATCAGTTTCATAGGGGAACCAAGGGAATTGGCAGGATCACCAGATATATAGCAACAAAAGATTCAATAGAGTTTTTACAGGGTATATTATTCAAGAACTGTAGGTATAAATTAACACATTTAAGACCACTTCTTCAGTTTTGAGGCTCTTTTGGCCATACTTCTCCTGTGGATCACAGGAGGCAATTTAGTTCTGCATTCTTGTGACCCAGATCTAGCCGCCAGCAAGCTAAAGCCCGCTGTCAGCTGTTGTCACAGATACGGTCCAGGCTTCTCAGGGATCCTGACAGCACAGTGGCTAAATAGTTAGCACTTCCGTCTGGCAGCAGTAGGGTTGCTGGTTCAAATCCCAACCATGGCACCACCTGCCTGGAGTTTGCATGTTCTCCCTGTGCCTGTGTGGGTTTCCTCCGGGTACTCTGGTTTCCTCCCACACTCCAAAAACATGCTGGTAGGTTAATTGGCTCCTGTGTAAATTGGCCCTAGTATGTGTATGTATGAATGCAGGTGGTGCTGTGGCTGGGATTCAAACCGACGACCCTAGTACTGCCAGGCGGAAGTGCTAACCATTTAGCCAATATAGTGTATCTATTTTCCACATCTTGATTTGTCAGTATGTTGATAGAAAACAGAGTCTTCGTTGCTTAAAGTGATACTAAAGTCTTTTTTTTCTCTTAAAAATAACAAACATGTCTATACTTACCTGCCCTGTGCAGAGGTTTTGCACAGAGCCGCCCAGATCCTCATCTTCTCAGGACCTGTATCGGCACTCCTTGCCCCTCTCACCTGTTGGGTGCCGCCATGGCAAACAGCTTGCTATGGGAGCACCCGAGCAGGCATGCTACCGAGCTGCGGCTCTGCGTGTCTTGATTGGCTCACTAGCTGATTGACAGCTGCCTCAGCCAATCAGGATTGAGAGTCCCCGGAGAACCGAAGCTTTCATGGAAATCACAGGATCAAGAGGGGGGCACAGGTAAGTGTTAGGGGGGCTGCTACACACAGAAGGTTTTTTTACCTCCATATCTGCCTCAGAGCCCATATCCTATAAAGCCCACTGCCTGACCTGGCAAATATTTTTAGTTCTCTCTCTTTACAGGAACTGAACAGGATGAAGATGACGCTGGCGAATGAGCGTGCTCAGACGGAAGAAGAGATCCAGAAGGCACGGAGTGCTGCTCAGCAGGAAGAGGTGAGAGTTATTCCTAATAGAAAAAGCCAGTCCACCCTATGAACGAACTGCCTTCAGTGAGAATCGGCCTATTCTAATTCATTTTTATTGAAGATTTGTAAAGGTTGTAAGGACAAACAATGGTTAAAGCTCAAAATACACATAATCAAGTCAAATAAAATACATCTCCAAGATACTGAGACACCAGGTTCAGGGCTATTCCGCCCTCATAGGGTGATAGGCACCAGGAGATGTGTGCTCTTGTCTGCATGCCATGGGCTTGGGTAGGTTTGTTGTAGATGTAGTTGGAACTTTTCTGAAGTCCAGTTAGTGGGATAAAAGAAAATGGATAATCTCTACTGTGTGATGTAGGTTTTTACTTGCAGGTTTGGTGGTTTATTACTGTCTGCATAGATCAGGTGGGGAGTTGTCCAGGAACCCATGGGCAGCTCCCGATGATTGTAAAGAAAAAAGACTGAAATTAGAGAAATTTTGACGGAGATGGGTGGTTCCACACCAACCCATGCAAACGTGAACTTGGACTTTAACATGTGGCCTGCATTAGATAAACAATATTGTTAAAGGATAAGTCCACCTGTCATAACATATTGCATGTTACACCCATTATCAGGGTGTAACATGTTACCATCAGACCAGCTCCCACTTCCCACTTTGACAGCTAACAGGAGATTTTCTTCCCCCTTTGCTAGATGTCAAATTTTTAAAAAACGTGGCCGCATGGGGCTCCGCCCACCAGGTCACGTCACTCATTCACAGAATGAATGAGAGACTACAAGTCCCAGCAGCCTTAGTGGCTGTGACGGGAGTGAATTTGGGTGGGGGGCCCATGGAACACAGCTCACTTTGGAGAGGTGGGGAGACCCCTGTCTCAGCTCCCCATATCCCTCTTATGTGTAAGTCACCCTGTGCCTCTTAGGGGTACAGGGTGATCTGTTCTCATATCGTGTAGACATGTCTCGGAGATAGGTGGGGTTTGTGGATTGTTTAATGCCATGTGGTTGCATCCCATTGTTCTATTGTGTGTCGTGCTTGGGAGCAAACTATTATGGGATGTATGTTTTTATGTGTATTGGCTTGGTGGGGGGTGTTTCCAACAGCCCTCCCTCCTGATGGGACTATCTGCTGGTGTGTGTTCTGTCCCCACATGAAGGCGAATGAAGGTATAACTGATAATGGCTGTGTAACTTCCTACCTTCGTATCCAAGCAGTGGAGCAGACCGGGCCGGCAGATGCTCAGGTTAGACGGATCCAAACGTATACACGGGAATTAAATCAGCGTGGGTTTATTTGGTCCAAATACAGCGACAAACAGTGATACAATACTGTAATGTAGTAGAGGTATTCATGCTGTCCTGTCATATCTTTCCTGAGGCTAACTGCTGGTCAAAAACTGATGCCTTCACAAGCCCAGGGTATTGAATGTCCTGTCACACAGTTATAAAGCACATAAAAATGGCTGCAGGAAGTGACCAGAACCAAGGCTTGCCTAAAACCACGCCCAGCAGAGAAAAAACTTACTAGCTATAACAGGGGCATGCAGCATGCAAATTCTGGCCAGCAGATGGCAGCAACAGATCAAGACATAGAAACAAACATGGTGAAATAAGAATTGGTGATACAATGCACAGTTAAATAACAAATATGAGGGGAACAGCACGGTGTGTCTCTTGTTACTAAAGGTAGATTGCCCCGCCCTCTGTCATTATGCAGGGGGGGGGTAGTTCCCTTGAATGTATATATCTTGTATTTGTGTTAAAATGAAGTAGTCTATTTCCTGATTTACTTCCAAGACTGGTGTCGTCTAGTCTTGTATGGTCTGCTGTGGTGTCTGTGGTCGGAGTTCGGACAGGGAAGCGGTAGTCTAACGGAAATACCCAAGTGCAGTCGGGGTCCGGTTCCGTTACAGTGGCAGTCAGCTTGTAGTCATCAATGAACTACTATGGTGATGTGGAGCACCGTGAAGTTCATTCATTCTTCCTGTCAGTATATCTGCTTGTCCGCATGGGATATAAGGGCAAGCAGATATACTGACAGGAGGAATATACTGAGAGATATGCAGGAGAGACATGCAAAAAAATGTGCATTTATTATTTTTATTAAAAGCTGAATTTATCCTTATAAAGCAGAACTCCTAGTGGTTGTGGCCGGAAATTACACCATAGAGGTAATGCCACTGGATCTACGATCTGATCACATTTTTAAAGTAACAATTACTAACCTAGCTTCCTAGAGTAGAAACCTTCTAAACGTATTCCTGTGTGGCCAGGGAGCCCCCAAACTCGGCCAAACACTGTACACATGACTTTAGCTATAATATAAAGCCTTTATTGTAGACCTCTTCCCCCATACACCGCCATGTTATGTAAATTCCTCTTTATTGGTTTTTGACTGTATAACTTGTTCATATCTTCCCAGATCAGAAATATAAATTTTTTTTTTTAAGTAGCAGGCCTTTAAATTTTCTATGAAATTGATAACCACATCAATAATAAATATCATTGGTAATTGTTTTCTTATTCCCTCTGAGCAGCACCAGCACTCCACTGTCCTGCAGGACAAGATCCGAACCCTGACCCAATCCCGAGACCAGTCTCAGGCTCAGGTCCTGCAGCAGAAGCAGCTGGCAGGGGAGCTACAGGCCCAGAACAACCAGCTCGGCTTAGAGATCGAAGGTTTGAAAAGACGCATTGATGGATTGCAGCAGGTACTGAACACTCTGATTCACTCATTTAGCTTTTTGTAGCACATGATTGTTATTATTATACAGCATTTATATAAGTACATAAATAGTGAGAGTGCAATTAAGTGCCTGGCCGAGAAAAAAAAAAAACTTTATATCTCTGCAATGCATGCACGCTTCCCAAAGTTTTCTCTCTGTTACCCCTTCACGCCTAAGGGTAAAACAAATTTTAATGCCTAAGCACAATTTTGCAACTTTGACATGTGTTAGTAAAACCGTACATATCATCACAACTACTTTGTACATCCAGGTGGATTATACCGCGTTTTTTTCAGGAGAAATTTGGCTTTCATTTGGTGGCAAATAGTAATGGATATCTCCTAATTTTTATTACCAAAGGAAAACTGGCCCGAAATAGTAAAAAAAAAAATTTTTTTAAATTTAGCTGTGGGTTTCTTGTTACTACCATAACCTACCACCAAAGAACAACCCAAAATAAATTCTCCAGCTCGACAATCGCAGCGATACCATATATGTTTATGTTGTTTGTACCCACAGTACAGCCCAGAAACAATAGTGCGCATTTTGTTTTCTTGTTTGTTTTTTGTTTTTGTTTACCTAAAAACACACTGATACTGATTACTAACTGACACTGATACCAATTTAAAAAAGGGAAAAAAAATCCTGACCTTTGACCCTGACCTTAACCCAAACACTAACCCTGGCACTCAGCTAGATTAAACCTTGATCTTGGTATTTTTCTTTATTTTTTTTTTATTTATTTTTTTTAATATTTATTTATTTAATTATTTTTTAAGCAAACAGTTTGTTTGTTTTTTCTCTATGCAAAGAGAGACAGAGAGAGATACAAAGTATCTCTCTCCTCCATTCAGAGAGAAAAAAAACAAAACAAGGGAGGCGGGCTGTACAGTGACGGATCACTGTGATAGCCAATCAGTGGCTATCACAGCGGTCATGTGAACCAGAATCGGGAGTCACGGTTAGAATGGGCCTCTCAGTGAAACCCCGGTCTTTATGCTGGGAGCGCACTGTGTGGTGCTCTCCTAGCACAAAGACAGGTACGCAAATATGAGGCCCCACGGAAAAAAGCCCAGTTCTGTGAGGCCTCATATTTGTGTGACTTCGGTGTGAAGGGTTTAAAAATGTAAGTACATAGAAATACCCGGTGATATTCCAACAAACAAGTGACTTCCCAACTTCCTCTAGAACAGTGGTTCTCAACCTTCCTAATCCCGTGACCCTTTAATACAGTTCCTCATGTTGTGGTAACCCCCAACCATAAAATTATTTACCCAGTAATTATAATTCATGAGTGTCATTTTACCTCCAATACTGCTGCTTTCAACACAGTAGCTGCTTTTAACAGAGTAGCTGCTTTCAACACAGCAGCTGCTTTCAACACAGTAGCTGCTCTTTACATATCGGAAATATGTGTTTTCTGATGGTCTTAGGGGACCCCTGTGAAAGGGTCATTCGACCCCCAAAGGGGTCGCGACCCACAGGTTGAGAAACACTGCTCTAGAGGGATGGAAACACTACCTCTGCTGCACTGAAATACCAAGCAGTGTTGTCAGCCCTTGCTGTTATAAAGATGGAGGTGCGGGGGAGGGGAGTTCTGTTGTCAAGCAGGGGAGGACGTAGGCAAGGCTGACCACTGCTTGGGATTTCAGTGTTGCAAAGGCAGCTTTATCAGCTCAAGCAGGAAGTTGGAAGTGTACTGGATTTCTGGAAGATTGACAGGTATACTTTTAAAGACAGGTCACCCAGGTGACTACTTACCTCTCCCTGATGGCTGCGATCTTCTGTTGTGTTTACAGCCTTGGTGTGGAAATCTTGTCCAGAGTGAGTACGCTGTAACTTTTCATAGACTTGAGAGGTTCGGGCCTTGCGATTGGCTGAAATAGAAACAACACCTCCTGCGCTCAGGGACCCAGATCAAGGATGGGTGGGTGGGTGGATGGACCACTTATGGAAATTCTTCCACCAATGGATCAAAGGTTGTGCAGCTCTTAACAAGGCTGGGGAAGCCCGACCAGTACTGCAAAGTGAAACAAAAAGCGCACCAACCTTGCGCATTACCTCAATACAAAACTTGATTTTATTAAAATGAGATATATACTCACAAATGAAGCAGTAAAACAAGCATGCAAGATCCTCAAAGGGGCATTAAAGTGCAAGACCAGTGTGAGTCACAGCAGTGGGGGGAGACTCTCAAAAGTTCAACTGATGCGTTTCGAAGGGGGTCCCCCTTCGGAGAAAGAAGGGACCCCCCTTCGAAACGCATCAGCAGAACTTTTGATTGTCTCCCCCCCCCCCCCAATGATGTGACTTACACTGGTTTTACACTTTAATGCTTGCGATTGGCTGTCCAGGGCAGAACGCTGTCACATGGAGGAGGTTAATTTTTTCCTAGAAGCAGAAGACTTCTCTGTGATAGCCTTGGGGTTAGAGCTGTGACAAAGTGTTTCGAAGGGGGTCCTAAACACAATGGGCACCGGATTGTGGTGCCGTGCGCTCCCAGGGAGAGCGCACAGTCCAAAATGGTGGGCGCCGTTTATGAACGGCAACCCGCTCCTGCACTGCCACCGTCCGACCGTTTATATACATGGGCCGGACGGAAAGTGGTTAAGCTTTCTAGTCAGTTTGTATCCAGTAGGACCCTTACACAGCACAATTCTTGTTAGGTTCTAAGGAGATTGTACAATCAGATTGTAAAGTTTATGATCTGCCTAGGGGCATTTTTTTTGCTTGTACATTTGCAGCAGCAGGTGTAGGTTGAGGCTACCAGTGTATGCAAATGAGAATTTTTTGGGTGATCTGAAGCCATTGACTTAATCGATATGTTGTACCTGCAGGAGATTTCTAAGAAGGATCAAGAGAGGCTCACCGAAGTCACAAAGGTTCGAGTGGAGTTACAGGAACAGATTGGACACCTGGAGGCTGAGCTCACCACCCAGGAAGGTTTTAAAGAAAAGATCTCGGCACTGGAGAGACAACAGAAAGGTATTACTTACTGTCAATGCTGCAAGAATACAATACACATATACTATACAGTTGTGTCCAAAATTATTCAACCCCCACTGAAATTGAGTGTTTTGGCCAGTTTGACATTGCTTTTGATCATTCAGTCATCTTGCTTACATTTACATTAAAGAGGCACTTGTAGGTCAGACAAATATAACATAACAGTTATAATGAAATAACCACAAATGTCTTTTCTGTGCTCACAGCATTATCAGTTTTATTCAACCCCCAAGTGACATTCAATCTTAGTACTTAGTACAGCATCCTTTTACAGTTATAACAGCTTTTAAACGTGAAGCATAGCTTGACACAAGTGTCTTGCAGCGATCTACGGGTATCTTCGCCCATTCTTCATGGGCAAAGGCCTCCAGTTCAGTCACATTCTTAGGCTTGCGCACTGCAACTGCTTTCTTTAAGTCCCACCAGAGGTTCTCAATCGGATTTAAGTCTGGTGACTGCGATGGCCACTCCAAAATGTTCCAGCCTTTCCTCTGCAACCATGCTCTAGTGGACTTGGAGGTATGCTTGGGATCATTGTCCTGTTGAAAGGTCCAACGTCTCCCAAGCCTCAGGTGTGTGACGGACTGCATCACGTTTCCATCCAATATCTCCTGGTACTGAAGAGAATTCATGGTACCTTGCACACGCTGAAGCTTCCCTGTACCTGCAGAAGCAAAACAGCCCCAAAGCATGATTGACCCTCCACCATGCTTCACAGTAGGCAAGGTGTTCTTTTCATCATAGGCCTTGTTCTTCCTCCTCCAAACATAGCGTTGATCCATGGGCCCAAACAGTTCTAATTTTGTTTCATCAGTCCACAGAACACTATCCCACAACTTTTGTGGTTTGTCCACATGGCTTTTGGCATACTGCAGTCGACTCTTCTTATTCTTTGGAGACAGCAAGGGGGTACGCCTGGGAGTTCTGGCACGGAGGCCTTCATTACGCAGTGTGCGTCTTATTGTCTGGGCTGAAACTTCTGTACCCACATCTGACAAATCTTTTCTCAGTTCCTCAGCAGTCACACGGGGACTTCTCTCCACTCTACGCTTCAGGTAGCGCACAGCAGTCGAAGTCAGCATCTTCTTTCTGCCACGACCAGGTAGCGTTTCAACAGTGCCCTTTGCCTTGAATTTGCGAATGATGCTTCCTAAGGTGTCTCTTGGTATGTTTAACATCTTTGCAATCTTCTTATAGCCATTGCCCTTCCTGTGAAGAGAAATCACCTCTTCTCTTGTCTTCCTGGACCATTCTCTTGCCTTCACCATGTTTGTAACCACACCAGTAAATGTCTAGAAGGAGCTGAGTATCACAGTCATTTTAAAGCTGCCTAATTGGTGCTTATTATGCTTGATTGCTGCTCGGTGACATCCACAGGTGTTTTCAATACCTGATGGAAAGCACCTGTATGAACCTCTGTTCTTCAGAGTGGTAGTCTTTAAGGGGTTGAATAATTGTGGCAATGAAGAAACCACATAAGAACCATTTACTACTGTATTACATAAACAATTGATGTCATTTTAGTTGCATTTGGGTAGTTACAACGTCCTTGTAGGATTTGATTCTGAATACAATTCCAAATGTACACTATAGTCCCTAAACCCCTTTACAGCATTGGGGGTTGAATAATTTTGGACACAACTGTATATAAAGGCAGAGTAAAGGGTCCGTTTGCCCAAAATTGCTTGGTAGATCCTAAAGAGATCACCCCCTGAAAGTCCCTTTTATCTGTTGGGGACTCAGTTATTGAGATCTCTGTACTGAGTTCCCCAGTCTACACACCCGCTCTTAGGGATTCCCATCATTCCTGATGGATTTTTTATATTATGGAGAAAGTAACAAGAACTGAAACACATAGGTACACACACAACAAAACCTCCAGGAGAACAAAAACAGAGTTGGTGAATTATCACAGGGAGATCTGTTGAGGTATCTAAGACCTCCTAAAAAGCCATGGGCTAATTCAGCCTCAACCTATAACTGAAATATCACTTGTGGATGGACATGGCCATTAAACAGGCTCAGGAGAGAAGTCGATAAATGTACAGGTGATCTAACATACCCATCTAACCACTTAGCTGCTCCTTTGTTCTAATGCAGTGGTCTCCAAACTGCAGCCCATGGCCCAATTTGGTCCTTTGTTTGCCTTTATCCAGCCCTTGGAGCACTATTCCTCCCACTGACACCAATGATGGAGCACTGTTCTACCTAATGATACCAAGTGATACCAATGATGGGGTACTGTTACTCCTACTGACACCAATGATGGGGCACTATTCTACCTACTGATACCAGTGATGGAGCACTGTTCTACCTAATGATACCAATGATGGGGCACTATTCCTCCCACTGATACCAATGATGGGGTACTGTTTCTCCCATTGACACCAATGATGGGACACTATTCTTTCCACTGACACCAACAATGGGGCACAATTCCTTCCACTGACACCAACGATGGGACACAATTCCTTCCACTGACACCAACGATGGGACACAATCCCTCCCACTGACACCAAAGATGCAGCACTATTATACCCTTTGATACCAATGATGGGGCACTATTATACCCTTTGATACCAAGGATGGGGCACTATTCCTCCCACTGTTACCAACAACGGGCACTATTCTACCTACCCATACCAACAATGGGGCACTATTCCTCCCACTGATACCAATGATGAGGCACTATTCTACCTACTGATACCAACAATGGGGTACTACACCTCCCACTGACACCAAAGATGGGTAACTATTCCTCCTACTGACATCAATAATGGGTCACTATTCTACGTACTGATACCAACAATTTGGTACTGTTCCTCCCACAAACACCAATGATGGGGCACTATTCTGTCTACTGACACCAACAATGGGGCACAAGTCCTTCCACTGACACCAACGATGGGTCATACTTCCTGGCACTGATTAAAACTATAGAACACAATTCCTCCCACTAATACCAATGATGGGGCACTATGCCTTCCACTGATACCAATGATGGGGCACTATTCCTTCCACTGATACCAATGATGGGGCACTATTCCTCCCACTGACACCAAAGATGTGGCAATATTCTACCCACTGATACCAATGATGGGACACTATTCCTTCCACTGATACCAATGATGGGGCACTATTCCTCCCACTGATACCAATGATGGGGCACTATTCCTCCCACTGATACCAATGATGGGGCACTATTCCTTCCACTGATACTAATGATGAGGCACTATTCCTTCCACTGATACCAATGATGGGGCACTATTCCTCCCACTGATACCAATGATGGGGCACTATTCCTCCCACTGATACCAATGATGGGGCACTATTCCTCCTACTGAAACCAATGATGGGGCGCTATTCCTTCCACTGACACCAATGATGGGGCACTATTCTACCTACTGATACCAACAGTGGGGTACTACACCTCCCACTGACACCAAAGATGGGTAACTATTCCTCCTCCTGACACCAATAATGGGTCACTGTTCTACGTACTGATACCAACAATTTGGTACTATTCCTCCCACAAACACCAATGATGGAGCACTATTCTATCTACTGACACCAACAATGGGGCACAAGTCCTTCCACTGACACCAATGATGGGTCATACTTCCTGGCACTGATTTTAACTATAGAACACAATTCCTCCCACTGATACCAATGATGGGGCACTATTCCTTCCACTGATACCAATGATGGGGCACTATTCCTTCCACTGATACCAATGATGGGGCACTATTCCTTCCACTGACACCAATGATGGGGCAATATTCCTTCTACTGATACCAATGATGGGGCACTATTCCTCCCACTGATACCAATGATGGGGCACTATTCCTCCCACTGATACCAATGATGGGGCACTATTCCTCCCACTGATACCAATGATGGGGCACTATTCCTCCCACTGATACCAATGATGGGGCACTATTCCTCCCACTGATACCAATGATGGGGCACTATTCCTTCCACTGATACCAATGATGGGGCACTATTCCTCCCACTGACACCAAAGATGTGGCAATATTCTACCCACTGATACCAATGATGGGGCACTATTCCTCCCACTGATACCAATGATGGGGCACTATTCCTCCCACTGATACCAATGATGGGGCACTATTCCTCCCACTGATACCAATGATGGGGCACTATTCCTCCCATTGATACCAATGATGGGGCGCTATTCCTCCCACTGATACCAATGATGGGGCACTATTCTACCTACTCATACCAACAATAGGGTACTCTTCCTTCCGCTTACACCAAAGATGGGGCACTATTCCTCCCACTGACACCAATGATGGGGTACCATTCCTCCCACTGATACCAACAATAGGGTACTCTTCTTTCCGCTTACACCAAAGATGGGGCGCTATTCCTTCCACTGATACCAAATATGGGGTGCTAGTCCTCCCACTGACACCGAATATGGGGCACTATACCGCCTTCTAATGAGCACAGGCACAATGTTATTTTCTGCTCCCACTGACCATCAAGCCTAAGACATTGTTTTTTCCCAGTGGCATTTCGGCCCCCCTAAAGTCTGAAGGACAGTAAACTGGCCCTTTTTCCAGAAAGTTTGGAGACCTCGCTCTAATGTCTAGAGTATTCGTGTAACAGTTCGACATTGGAATGAACAGCTTATGCTGAGTCTGGCTCTGTTACTCCTTTCCAGCACAGGCCAACACCCATCGTGAGACGTTACTGGACAAAGAAAGTGAGATCTCCTCTCTGATGGAGAAGCTGAGGCTGAAAGATGCTGAGATCCTGAGGATGAGAGATCAAGAGGCGCAGAGAGCGAGCCTCCTACAGAGCGCAGTCCTGAACTACATCAGTACTCCGCTTGGCTCACCTGGTGGAAGAACATGAACCAAATTCTCCATCTTTCCACACCTGTCCAGTGCCAGCTGTGGACGCAGACAATCCTGTCCTTTAAGGCCATGACATTATGCCATTTTCAATAATAAGCCATTTTCATAGTAATTTATTTTTCATTCTGTGTTTTATACATTTTTAATGACTTTGTAATTTTTTTGTATGTGTTTTATATGTATATTTTTACAACACAGTAATTTTAAATAAAATATTATTTGTACACACTTTTCAAAAAGATCAATTGTTCTGAAAATATAGTATTTTAAAATGTATGTGCGGGCATTTCTTTCTTTCTTTCTTTTCTTTTTTTTGCATAAAGGGTTATGTTAAACTGTTCTTATTGTCTATATTTCTGGTGGATAGGTTTACCTTCTTTATTTGTCCTCAAGACACAGAATGGGAGAAAATCCAATTATACTAGAGGGAAAACCATTCCATGGGGACACCTGTTCCTGTGACAACCAAGTAATACATTGTATTTCAGTAATACAAATTTGTACCATCCTAACAAAATGCTGTAAATGCAACATTTATTCATCAATTTGTATGTTTATAATGCGTTTCTCCCAGGGGACTCAAAGCACTAAGGGCCCATTTACACTTGCAGTTGGGGGACAGTAAAACCCTCCAGTTAGCCGCCCCAACCACTCCCTCTTTACGTGAAAAAGCAGTGGCTGGGGGTGTACACACAGGAATATATACAGGGGCGGACTGACAACTCATGGGGCCCCCGGGCAATAGGGGATCATGGGGCCCCTGTGTCCTTGCCCAAACTCAAAAAAGTCTATGAAAAAGGTACCAGGGGCATCTCATGGGGCCCCCTACTGACCCCAGGCCCTCGGGCAGTGCCTGAGTTTCCAAATGGTCAGTCCACCCCTGAATATATACCACCTATCACATTCACTGGGCACTACCATCTGACAAACACAACCCATTCAAATTAATGGAGCCACTCAGCAACCTCTCCACAATGGCGCAGTAGTGCCGCATTTAGGGGGTAAAACACATGGTGAAGAGGAAAGATATCTCCTCCTTACTGTCTGCCAAATGCCTCCGAAAGTGATCCAGGTGTGGATTGCTTTTCAAAGGAGCTTGTGAATGAGCCCTCATCAACTTGGCATTGGGGAAGATTGTTGGTGAGGAAGCCATCAGTAGAATATTAGAGCGGTTCCACTCTGCCCCGGTGTGGTTTCAGAAGCGCACCAAGCATGCAGTTTTAGTGTGCTTTCTGAAACCACAAGAGCTCATAGATGTCTATGGGAAAGTGCAGCCAACCCACATGAAAACTGTGCGTAGCTGTGCTTGACTCCCGCTTCACATACGTGCGGGCCGTGTTTTGCATGGGCACGAGAGCCAATTCATTTGAATGGACTCCCATGCCCGAGACACGCAGGGAAGAAGTCCCTGCACTACTTTGGAAAACGCAGCCCGCATGAGAACCTCGGTTCCCAGTACGGTTGCGGTTTCCAGTGCAGGTGGCGTGCCATTAGAACTAATAACACCCGCCCATGTGTCCGCATTTCTCTGTGCGGGTGGTGCGGCCGCACAGATTTTCGTGCGGATCCGCAGCGGCACCACCCGCACAGATGTGAACCTAGGGTTAGCATGGAGGTGTGAAGCTGCTCTTATACTGGGGCTATGCACATCTTTGGAGTGTGAGAGAAAGCTGGGGAACGCAGAGGTAAAAACACAAACTCCATGCAGATAGTGAGTGCCCTGATGGGGATTCGAGCCGATGACCCCAGTCCTGCAAGGCAGAAGTGATAACCATCATTAATTAAAAATGTATTAATGTGATGAGTTAGCCATCCATTTATTCTGTTCCCTCACCCACCCAATGAAGGCTAAATGTAAACCATGAAAATTGTGGCATGATGCCTCCGTTGATGGTGGGTATGCTGACAGGTGGGTGTTCCTAACAGTCGATGGGCTTTTGTTAGCTTCAGACTGATTTTGCATTCTCATACAAATCTTTGGATATGCTTGAAACAGGTCAGAAGGAGATCAGCTGCACCTGTCAATGAATTCTGAACAATTTCACAAGTGTCTCAAACTGATACCACCAAAATTAGGCCCCTTTTATACGGGTGTTCTGTTTTTCTCATCAAAAAAACACAATCAGTTGTACATCAGTTTTTACATTCGTTTTTCACATCCACTACCGATGCAAAATGGAGCGTTTGTCCATTTACATCCGTTTTTTGGAAATGCAGAATTCTTCCATTTAAAAAACAGACCTGGAAGACGGGACAAAAAACTGATATATATGGACAATGTCTGTTTTTCATCCATTTGCACATAGGAATGCATTGCTGTCCATTTTGCATCCATCAACAGATGGAACGCCCACGTGAAAGGACCTCAAGACCAAAGTCCATCATCAAGGGACCTTTAGGACATGGTTTATTGTGACACATTCTTCAACATGGATTTCCTTTGAGTTTCTCTGATACTGGGTCACATGACTTCCCAGAGCTACTGGGTCACATGACTTCCCAGAGCTACTGGGTCACATGACATCCCAGAGCTACTGGGTCACATGACATTCCAGAGCTGTAAAGCAAGTTGGTGTTGGAAGACTTCCCCCCTACTAGACGCTGTCATTATAGGGATGAATGGGAAAGAGTTAAATATAAAGCCCGGCATTTATCACTGACAGAGTTCATCACCAAAGAAATATCTCCACTTAGGACTATCAGCCCAACACACACTATATTGCCAAAAGTATTGGTCTCCTGCCAGGGGCAGACTGACAACTCATGGGGCCCTCGGGCAATAGGGGATCATGGGGCCCCTGTGTCCTTGCCCAAACTCAAAAAAGCCTATGAAAAAGGTACCAGGGGCATCTCATGGGGCCCCCTACTGACCCCGGGCCCTCAGGCAGTGCCCGAGTTTCCAAATGGTCAGTCCGCCCGTCTCCTGCCTTTCCACACACATGAACTTTAATGGCCCCCCCAGTCTTAGTCCGTAGGGTTCAATATTGAGTTGGCCCCGCCCTTTGCAGCTATAACAGCTTCAACTCTTCTGGGAAGGCCGTCCACAAGGTTTAGGAGGGTATCTATGGGAAGGTTGGACCATTCTTCCAGAAGAACATTTGTGAGGTCAGGCACTGATGTCGGGGGAGGAGGCCTGGCTCGCAGTCTCCGCTCTAATTCATCCCAAAGGTGTTCTATGGGGTTGAGGTCAGGACTCTGTGCAGGACAGTCAAGTTCCTCCACCCCAAACTGGCTCCTCCATGTCTTTATGGACCTTGCTTTGTGCACTGGTGGGCAGTCATGTTGGAATAGGAAGGGGCCATCCCCAAACTCTTCCCACAAAGTTGGGAGCATGAAATTGTCCAAAATGTCTTGGTATGCTGACGCCTTAAGAGTTCCCTTCACTGGAACTAGGGGGCCAAGCCCAACCCCTGAGAAACAACCCCACACCATAATCCCTCCTCCACCCAAACTTTACACTCGGCACAATGCAGTCAGGCAAGTACCGATCTCTTGGCAACTGCCAAACCCAGACATGTCCATCGGATTGCCAGACAGAGAAGTGTGATTGGTCACTCCAGAGAACATGTCTCCACTGCTCTAGAGTCCAGTGGCGGCGTGCTTTACACCACTACATCTGACACTTTGCATTGCACTTGGTGATGTAAGGCTTGGATGCAGCTGCTCGGCCATGGAAACCCATTCCATGAAGCTCTCTATGCACTGTTGTTGTGCTAATCTGAAGGCCACACCAAGTTTGGAGGTCTTTAGCTATTGACTCTGCAGACAGTTGGTGACTTCTGCGCACTGTGCGCTTCAGCATGCGCTGACCCCACCCTGTCATGTGACGTGGCCTACCACTTGGTGGCTGAGTTGCTGCTGTTCCCAGTTGCTTCCACTTTGTTATAATCCCACTAACAGTTGAGCGTGGAATATTTAGTAGCCAGGAAATGTCACGGATGGACTTATTGCACAGGTGACAACCTATCACGGGACCACGCTTGGAGTCACTGAGCTCCTGAGAGTGACCCATTCTTTCACCAATGTTTGTAGAAGCAGTCTGCATGTCTAGGTGATGATTGTATACACCTGTGTCCATGGAGGGGATTGGAACACCTGAATCACATGATTGAGGGCGGGACCAATACTTTGGGCAATATAGTGTAGAATTCAGGAGGAACATTCGGGGTGCAGGAAGCAGACATGGTCCTCGTGCACTCCTCTCCTCCGATCCCCCCATCTCCCAGCACTCTCGGACTGATGTGATGTATTCCCTGCACCCTGCCATGTGACCCGTCACGTGCCCCGCCTGTCGGCTCCTCCCATGTCACCGCCCCCTCCGCAGTGTGTCAGTCCTCTCCCCTCCTCCTGTCTGCTTTCCCGGCTGAGCCTGGTCTCCTCCGCCGTCCGCCTCCTCCGGTCCTGTCTGTGCCATGCAGGCCATCAAATGTGTGGTGGTGGGAGATGGGTGAGTGGCCCGGGCTGGAGCCGGGTGTGTGGCCCCCAGGGGGGTCTATGGTGATGCAGAGGCGGAGCCCCGGGGGTGATGAGCTGTATGGTTCGGTGCTGTCTCCGTACGGTGATGTCCGTGCCATGATGTGTGATCAGCATCTTCCCATCCAGCCACATTGTGTGCATCCATGACATCATCCCCCATAGACTGCCTGCATCCCTGTACACCCGCCGCATGCATCCCTGTATACCCGCCGCATGCATCCCTGTATACCCGCCGCATGCATCCCTGTACACCACTACACCCACCGCATGCATCCCTGTATACCCACCGCATGCATCCCTGTACACCCGCCGCATGCATCCCTGTACACCACTACACCCACCGCATGCATCCCTGTATACCCACCGCATGCATCCCTGTACACCTGCCGCATGCATCCCTGTACACCGCTACACCCGCCGCGTGCATCCCTGTACACCGCTACACCCGCCGCATGCATCCCTGTACAACCGCCGCATGCATCCCTGCACACCACTACACCCACCGCATGCATCCCTGCACACCACTACACCCGCCGCATGCATCCCTGCACACCACTACACCCGCCGCATGCATCCCTGCACACCGCTACACCCGCCGCATACATCCCTGTACACTGCTAAACCCGCCGCATGCATCCCTGTACACCTGCCGCATGCATCCTTGTACACCGCTACACCCGCCGCATGTATCCCTGTACACCCACCGCATGCATCCCTGTACACCGCATACATCCCTGTACACCCACCGCATACATCCCTGTACACCCACCGCATGCATCTGTACACCCGCCGCATGCATCCCTGTACACCGCTACACCCACCGCATGCATCCCTGTACACCGCTACACCCACCGCATGCATCCCTGTACACCCACCGCATGCATCCCTGTACACCCGCCGCATGCATCCCTGTACACCGCAACACCCACCGCATGCATCCCTGTACACCCACCGCATGCATCCCTGTACACCCACCGCATGCATCCCTGTACACCCACCGCATGCATCCCTGTACACCGCTACACCCATCGCATGCATCCCTGTACACCGCTACACCCGCCGCATGCATCCCTGTACACCCGCCGCATGCATCCCTGTACACCGCTACACCCACCGCATGCATCCCTGTACACCGCTACACCCACCGCATGCATCCCTGTACACCGCTACACCCACTGCATGCATCCCTGGTACCACATATGGTACAATCTATATGACGCAAATAATCCAATCTATAACCGCTCCTTTCCAGTCCCCTCCGATTTTTACCCCAAAAAAAAAGATCAAACATTTTAGAAAAATGCACGTTCAAGTGGCTTGATTGTAAAGTCAAAATTGTAGTCCGCTTTTATTTCCAGTTATTTATTGATTATTCCATTTATTTTCAATATTTTTTTTATTAATTACTATTATTAAATAGTATTTTTTTATTCAGTTTTTTTATTATGCACTATTATTTTTTATTAATAATTTCCTAATTATTTTTTTCCCTTTTTTTTGTTTTTTTATTGTAGTATTATTGTTATTCAGTTTTTTTAATACTTTATGTATTTTTTCATTATTCAGTTTATTTTATATTCTGTTTCATTTTTTATTTTAAAATACTGTATTTGTGTATTGTTTATTGAGTTTATTAATATTCTGTCTGTTTTAATTAATATTTGATATTTTTAATAATTTTTCGTTTTATGTATTTTAACCCTATTCTTCTATATTTATTTTGGTTGATCATTGGTCCACAGGGCTGAATCTCAAAACCAGAGCAAGATTTCTATGCTCCCCAATTGGATTTTCATGGTTAGAGAAAGAAAGCTGGAATATGATTGGCTGCTGTTTAGAAATCTGGACTGAATTGTAGTTGTCAGACACAGCATGGGGTGATTTATAGAATCTGGAGTTAAAGGTGGACTGTTATCCAATCAGATTGCTTCTTTCATTAGAAAGATGTTGCTGGATTGGTTGCTAGGGGCAACAGTTCCATTTTGTTTAAATGAAGTAGCACCTACAGGTGGAACTGTTGCCCCTAGCAACCAGATCCCTGCCAGAAAGATTAAACCTGATTTGTTACTAAGGGCAACGGCATCTTTTTTTGTTAGTCGGCACAAACTGTTGCCTTTAGCAACCAGATCCCTGCCAAAAAGATTTGTTACTAAGGGCAACAGCTTTTTTTGTTTTGTTCAAATGAGCATCCTTAAAAAAGCACTGTTGCTCCTAGCAACCAAATCCCTGCCAAATGATTTGTTGCTAATGGCAACAGCTTCTTTTTTTTTTGTTTTGTTCATGTCGGCACCCTTAGGAACTGTTGCCCCTAGCAACCAGATCCCTGCTAAGAAGATTTGTTACTAAGGGCAACAGCTTTTTTTGTTCACATCAGCATCCTTAAAAAGCGCTGTTGCTCCTAGCAACCAGATCCCTGCCAAATGATTTGTTGCTAAGGGCAACAGCTTTTTTGTTTTGTTCATGTCCGCACCTTTAGGAACTGTTGCCCCTAGCAACCAGATCCCTGCCAAGAGGATTTGTTACTAAGGGCAACAGCTTTTTTTTTTTTTTTTGTTCACATCAACATCTTTAAAAAGCACTGTTGCTCCTAGCACCGAGATCCCTACCAAATGATTTGTTGCTAAGGGCAACAGTTTTTTTTTGTTCATGTTGGAACCATTAAGAAATGTTGCCCGCAGAAACCAGATCCCTGCCAAGAAGATTTGTTACTAAGGGCAACAGCTTTTTTTGTTCACATCAGCATCCTTAAAAAGCGCTGTTGCTCCTAGCAACCAGATCCCTGCCAAATTATTTGTTGCTAAGGGCAACAGCCTGCTTTTTTTGTTTTGTTGATGTTGGCACCCTTAGGAACTGTTGCTCCTAGCAACCAGATCCCTGCCAAATTATTTGTTGCTAAGGGCAATGCTTTTTTTTTTTTTTTTGGATGTTGGCACCCTTAGGAACTGTTGCTCCTAGCAACCAGATCCCTGCCAAATGATTTGTTACTAAGGGCAACAGCTTGCTTTTTTTTTTTTTTGTCGGCACCCTTAAAGGGAACTGTTGCTCCTAGCAACCAGATCCCTACCAAATGATTTGTTGCTAAGGGCAACAGCTTTTTTTGTTTTGTTCACGTTAGCATCTTTATAAAGCACTGTTGCTCCTAGCAACCAGATCCCTACCAAATGATTTGTTGCTAAGGGCAACAGCTTTTTTTTTTTTTTTGTTGGCACCCTTAAAGGGAACTGATGCTCCTAGCAACCAGATCCCTGCCAAGAGGATTTGTAACTAAGGGCAACAGCTATTTTTGTTTTGTTCACGTCAGCATCTTTATAAAGCACTCTACCTTAACAGCTGCTGTCACTCTACCTTAACCTGTACATATTTGATTACTTAATGGTTAAGGTAGAGTGACAGCAGCTGTTGAGATAGGGACTTTGCCTGTATTGAGCGCAGGAGGATACTTTTAATATTGTTTATAAAGCACTGTTGCTCCTAGCAACCAGATCCCTACCAAATGATTTGTTGCTAAGGGCAACAGGTTATTTTTTTGTTTTGTTCACATCAGCATCCTTAAAGGACGCTGTTGCCCTTAGCAACCACATTCCCCATCTCACTTTATAGACAAAAACCTGACCGTTCGCTACGGGCATCTGCCGTTCTTTGGGTTTGGATTGCACTGCTCGGGTTTCTGTGGATTCGCTGAGACGCCTCGCCAACGTTTGTTTTGGAATGTTGCATAATGATCCTTCGCTAATTACCAGACACGAGTGATTCATCCATCATCCTTGAAATAACTGAAATGCAAAATATTCCTTAATTACGCGGCACTTTCCAGCCTGTGTGATGATGTCGTTCTCTCATTTCTCCTTCAGAGCTGTCGGGAAGACCTGCCTCCTCATCAGTTACACGACCAATGCCTTCCCTGGCGAGTACATCCCCACCGTGTGAGTACACAGAATATTGATTGCCATTTCGAGGAATCTTCCACTACAAATGTTTCCGTTAGGGGCGGATGGCGGTGAGCTGGAACACTTGCCGGCTTGTATCTCCTGTGTGCCTCAGCAGTAATATCGTTCCTCCGCAGACTCACTCCTCTTGTTGAAGCCTCCCCTACAATGGCTGCACCAAAGTGGGCGGAGTTGGGAACTTGGGGGCACGGTTCCCAGTAGACATGTACACGCTGGAAAATTTTGTTTCGTTTAGTTTTCAGATCCATTCCTTGGATCCCAATGGACCTATTCATTTTTAGAATTCGTTTCCTATCTTCGGCATTCTGTTTAATTCAGAATAGTGTTGGTTGTTAAGGAGCGGGCAGCCACTGCGTCCCTGACAACCGTGACTCATCTGCTGTTAGCAGAATATAAACAAAAAAAAGTGCCAGTTAAAGTGTAAAAAAAAAAATAGCGTAGGAGTTTCGCCCAAAATCCATACCAGGATTCGGGTCTGGTATGGATTTTGAGGGGAACCCTGTGCCCAAATTAATTAAAAAAGAAAAAAAATGCTGTGGGGTAACGTTCCCTCAAAATCCATGCCAAAACCTTACCCAAGCATACAGGCCAGGAAAGAAAGGGGGATGAGCGTGCGGTAGCAGGGTCCCCAAAGGTCCTGGAATGGAGTGGGGGCAGGGTCCCCAAAGGTCCTGGAATGGAGTGGGGGAGGGGTCCCCAAAGGTCCTGGAAAGGAGTGGGGGAGGGGTCCTGGAATGGAGTGGGGGAGGAGTCCCCAAAGGTCCTGGTATGGAGTGGGGGAGGGGTCCCCAAAGGTCCTGGTATGGAGTGGGGGAGGAGTCCCCAAAGGTCCTGGTATGGAGTGGGGGAGGAGTCCCCAAAGGTCCTGGTATGGAGTGGGGGAGGAGTCCCCAAAGGTCCTGGTATGGAGTGGGGGAGGGGTCTCCAAAGGTCGTGGTATGGAGTGGGGGTGGAACCCCTACGTTGTTTTTTTTTTTTTTTTTAATTTAACCGGCTGAATGACAAGTAAATGTGGGGGCAGGATGGCCCGGTGACGTCACTGGGTGACCCTGCCCCCATGTCTACTTGTCATTTGGCAAATGACATGTCCCGTGGAGAGACGTTTGCCCTCCCGGGCTGCATGCTCGGATAAGGGTCTGGTTTAAATTTTGTGGGGGGACACCTTACCATTTCTTCTTTAAATTTTGGCATGGGGTTCCCCTCGAAATCCATACCAGACCTGAAGGGGGGGGGGGAGATCACCATGCTGTTTATTTATTTTTTTTTTATCTGACAGGTGGGGGGGGGACCCCCCATCCTGGTTGTATTTTTTTCTGGGGGGGGGGCCGTGCTTTTTATTTTTTTTTCTGACAGGTGGGGGGACCCCCATGCTGTTTTTTTTTTTCTGACAGGTGGGGGGGGGGGACCCCCATGCTGTTTATTTTTATTTTTATTTTTTTTTTCTGACAGGTGGGGGGACCCCCATGCTGGTTTTTATTTTTTTCTGACGGGGGGGGCCCATGCTGTTTATTTTTATTTTTTTTTTCTGACAGGTGGGGGGACCCCCATGCTGTTTTTTATTTTTTTCTGACAGGTCGGGGGGGGCCCATGCTGTTTATTTTTATTTTTTTTTCTGACAGGTGAGGGGACCCCCATGCTGTTTTTTATTTTTTTCTGACAGGTCGGGGGGGGGCCCATGCTGTTTATTTTTATTTTTTTTTCTGACAGGTGGGGGGACCCCCATGCTGTTTTTTTTATTTTTATCCGACAGGTTGGGGGGGGGCCCATGCTGTTTATTTTAATTTTTTTTCTGACAGGTTTGGGCCCCCATGCTGTTTATTTATTTTTTTTTTCTGACGTTCGGGGGGATCCCCATGCTGTTTATTTATTTTAATTGTTCTAACTGCACTTCTTTTGCTTACATTCTGCTGACAGGGGGAATCCCACTGACAGCAGATGAGTGATGGTTGTTAAGGATGCGACGGCCACTTGCTCCTTAACAACCAGCTCTTCTCATTGAATCTGAAAACTTTGTTATAACTTTTCTGGATTCCTTCAGATTCGTCACTTTGCCCATTCAGAAACTCAGATACATCTGAATCTCCGAAAACAACAAAATTTTCATCCAAAAAACGAATCTGAACAAACTGCATCGCACATGTCTAGTTCCCACATCTGGAGTCACCGAGAGATGCAAGAACATGATGATTCAGCTTACTGGCCTGCACTCAAAACTGAAATCTAGAATGATTCATTTCATTTATTTTATTAATCTCTTGGTATGATAATGCAGTTGACAGTAAATGTGGTTGCATCATGTGACCAATAGGATGATAGAATAATGAAGGGATTATTTATAAAGATGGCATATCGGAGAAGATTGTGTTTGGGCTATTTTTCATGTCTTGCTGTTAATGGGTGCACATATCAGGACAGAGGAGTGGAGATTAGTGGTGCACCGAAATAAAAATTCTGGTACGAAACCGAAAAAGAAAATTCAATATGCACTTGCCCGAAAACCGAAATGTGCAATTGTTAAAAATGAATATGTATTTTTGGGAAACAAAATACACTGATTAAAAAAAAAACAATATGTACCCCATTTTTTTAGTAAAATATGAAAGGGGATGTTACGGCGAGTAAATAGATACCCAACACGTAACGCTTTAAAATTGTGCACGCTCGTGGAATGGTGTGAAACTGCAGTACTTAAAAATCTCCATGGGTGATGCTTTAAAAATTTCTACAGATTAGCAATGTAAAGTTACAGAGGAGGTCTAGTGCGAAAATTATTGCTCTTGCTGTGAAGTTCGTGGCAATACCTCACGTGTGTGGTTTGAACACCGTTTACATATGTGGGCATGGCCTACATATGCTTTCGTCACTACGTGCGAGGACGAGGGCACTTTTTTTTTAATTTTATCTATTTAATGTGTTTTTGGAGGTTTTTTTGCACTGTCCCTTTAAAAAAAATTTTTTGATCACTTTTATTCTTATCACAATAAATGCATTCATCCCCTGTGATAGAAATAATTAGTGACAGGTCCTCTTTATGGAGAGATATGGGGTTAATCAGACCCCATATCTCTCCTCTGCAATCTAAAGCATTGGATCAAAAAAAAAAAGCATTACAGGAAAAAATAATAGCTGGAATGGGAAGTGACATTGATCTGGTCTTCCAAGGGCATAGAGATGAGTGGCGGCCATCTTTCCTGCACTCATCTCTATCGCCAGCGCCGGGATCGATGGTTTCGCAGGTAAGACTAAGAACTACCGGGCGGCGGCAAGGGGCGGGGTTTTTTCTGCACATGTATTGTTTTTTTTTTTTTTTTTCGGCCAACGGCTGAAAGGGGTGTTTTCAGCCAAAATGTTTCGGCCACCGAAATTTCGGTGCATCCCTAGTGGAGATGTATATAAATATATATAACGCACTTTGTCTTTTTATTCATTATAAACTATGGACTTTGCTGACTGTACTCCCACAGATTTGACAACTATTCAGCCAATGTCATGGTGGATGGGAAGCCCGTAAACCTGGGACTCTGGGATACTGCTGGTCAAGAAGACTACGATAGACTGAGACCTCTCTCCTACCCTCAGACGGTGAGTGGGGCGCATATATATATATAGAGAGAGAGAGAGAGAGAGAGAGAGAGAGAGAGATAGATAGAGAGATTGATTGTGTGGCACAGCGGTGATGAAGGCATTGGAGGAGCCATATTGGAATGCCCAGCTGATGTTGGCATATTGCTGGCATTGGACTGTTGGATGTCAGTTTATACAAGTTTGTTTCATGTGTTTATTATTCCACTTTTATGTACAGTGTATGCTTTCCATTCATTTTCTATTCATTTTTATTTATTTGCGGTGAAGCGCGGCACTTATTTAGAGGTATATTTTAGCTGTGTGTCTAGAGTTCAGATTTAACCTGTACAGGTAACTCATATCTTCTTTTTTTTTTTTCCAGGATGTTTTCCTGATTTGCTTCTCCCTTGTCAGTCCAGCGTCATTCGAAAACGTCAGAGCAAAGGTAACAAGGCCAGCCTTCCCATTGGACACCTTATATACTGCAAGGCTCAGTGGTGAAATGGTTAATGCAACCAGCTGCTTGTCATTGTTTTGAACAGGCTGCCGGCACAGGACTACATGGAACATAGTTGCATAGTTAGTCTGCCTGAAAAAAGACAAAAGTCCATCCAGCTCAACCGTTAAAAAAAAAAAGTTATAATCCTATACCCACAGTTGATCCAGAGGAAGGCAAAAAAACCCAGCAAAGCATGATCCAATTTGCTCCTGCAGGAAAAAAATTCCTTCTTGATCCCCCGAGAGGCAATCAGATATTCCCTGGATCAACTTTACCTCTAAATGTTAGTATCCAGTTATATTCTGTGTATCCAAGAAAGAATCCAGGACTTTCCTACAGCAATCCACTGAGCTGGCCACAACCAACTCTTGAGGGAGTCTATTCCACATTTTCACAGCTCTCACTGTGAAGAAACCTTTCCATGTTTGGAGATTAAATTTCTTTTTCTCCAGACGTAAAGAGTGCCCCCTTGTCCTCTGTGATGACCTCAGGGTGAATAACTCTACACCGAGTTCACTATATGAACCACTGATGTATTTATACATGGAGATCATATCCCCCCCTTATGTATTATACATGGAGATCATATCCCCCTTATGTATTTTACATGGTGATCATATCCCCCCCTTATGTATTATACATGGAGATCATATCCCCCTTATGTATATTATACATGGAGATCATATCCCCCCCTTATGTATTATACATGGAGATCATATCCCCCCCTTATGTATTATACATGGAGATCATATCCCCCCTTATGTAATATACATGGAGATCATATCCCCCCCTTATGTATTATACATGGAGATCATATCCCCCCCTTATGTATTATACATGGTGATCATATCCCCCCTTATGTATTATACATGGAGATCATATCCCCCCCCGTATGTATTATACATGGTGATCATATCCCCCTTATGTATTATACATGGAGATCATATCCCCCTTATGTATTATACAAGGAGATCATATCCCCCTTATTATACATGGAGATCATATCCCCCTTATGTATTATACATGGAGATCATATCCCCCCTTATGTATTTATACATGGAGATCATATCCCCCCTTATTATACATGGTGATCATATCCCCCTTATGTATTATACATGGAGATCATATCCCCCTTATGTATTATACATGGAGATCATATCCCCCCTTATGTATTATACATGGAGATCATATCCCCCCCTTATGTATTATACATGGAGATCATATCCCCCCCTTATGTATTATACATGGAGATCATATCCCCCTTATGTATTATACATGGAGATCATATCCCCCTTATGTATTATACATGGAGATCATATCCCCCCCTTATGTATTATACATGGAGATCATATCCCCCTTATGTATTATACATGGAGATCATATCCCCCCCTTATGTATTATACATGGAGATCATATCCCCCCTTATGTAATATACATGGAGATCATATCCCCCTTATGTATTATACATGGAGATCATATCCCCCCCTTATGTATTATACATGGTGATCATATCCCCCTTATGTATTATACATGGAGATCATATCCCCCCCCCCGTATGTATTATACATGGTGATCATATCCCCCTTATGTATTATACATGGAGATCATATCCCCCTTATGTATTATACAAGGAGATCATATCCCCCTTATGTATTATACAAGGAGATCATATCCCCCTTATTATACAAGGAGATCATATCCCCCTTATGTATTATACATGGAGATCATATCCCCCCTTATGTATTATACATGGAGATCATATCCCCCCTTATGTATTATACATGGAGATCATATCCCCCCTTATTATACATGGTGATCATATCCCCCCTTATGTATTATACATGGAGATCATATCCCCCTTATGTATTATACATGGAGATCATATCCCCCTTATGTATTATACATGGAGATCATATCCCCCCTTATGTATTATACATGGAGATCATATCCCCCCTTATGTATTATACATGGAGATCATATCCCCCCTTATGTATTATACATGGAGATCATATCCCCCCTTATGTATTATACATGGAGATCATATCCCCCCTTATGTATTATACATGGAGATCATATCCCCCCTTATGTATTACACATGGAGATCATATCCCTCTTATGTATTATACATGGAGATCATATCCCCCCTTATGTATTACACATGGAGATCATATCCCCCCTTATGTATTACACATGGAGATCATATCCCCTCCTTATGTATTATACGGAGATCATATCCCCCCCTTATGTATTATACGGAGATCATATCCCCCCTTATGTATTATACGGAGATCATATCCCCCCTTATGTATTCTACATGGTGATCATATCCCCCTTATGTATTATACATGGAGATCATATCCCCCCTTATGTATTACACATGGAGATCATATCCCCCCTTATGTATTATACATGGAGATCATATCCCCCTTATGTATTATACATGGAGATCATATCCCCCCTTATGTATTATACATGGTGATCATATCCCCCCCCTTATGTATTATACAAGGAGATCATATCCCCCCTTATGTATTATACATGGAGATCATATCCCCCCTTATGTATTATACATGGCGATCATATCCCCCCTTGGAACATAGTTGCATAGTTAGTCTGGCTGAAAAAAAACAAAAGTCCATCCAGCTCAACCATTAAAAAAAAAGTTATAATCCTATACCCACAGTTGATCCAGAGGAAGGCAAAAAAACCCAGCAAAGCATGATTCAATTTGCTCCTGCAGGGAAAAAATTCCTTCTTGATCCCCTGAGAGGCAATCAGATATTCCCTGGATCAACTTTACCTCTAAATGTTAGTATCCAGTTATATTCTGTGTATCCAAGAAAGAATCCAGGACTTTCCTACAGCAATCCACTGAGCTGGCCACAACCAACTCTTGAGGGAGTCTATTCCACATTTTCACAGCTCTCACTGTGAAGAAACCTTTCCGTGTTTGGAGATTAAATTTCTTTTTCTCCAGACGTAAAGAGTGCCCCCTTGTCCTCTGTGATGACCTCAGGGGGAATAACTCTACACCGAGTTCACTATATGAACCACTGATGTATTTATACATGGAGATCATATCCCCCCTTATGTATTATACATGGAGATCATATCCCCCCTTATGTATTATACATGGAGATCATATCCCCCCCTTATGTATTATACATGGTGATCATATCCCCTCTTATGTATTATACATGGAGATCATATCCCCCTTATGTATTATACATGGAGATCATATCCCCCCTTATGTATTATACATGATGATCGTATCCCCCCTTATGTATTATACATGGAGATCATATCCCCCCCTTATGTATTATACATGGAGATCATATCCCTCCTTATGTATTATACATGGAGATCATATCCCCCCTTATGTATTATACATGGAGATCATATCCCCCTTATGTATTATACATGGAGATCATATCCCCCTTATGTATTATACGGAGATCATATCCCCCCTTATGTATTATACATGGAGATCATATCCCCCCTTATGTATTATACATGGAGATCATATCCCCCCTTATGTATTATACATGGAGATCATATCCCCCCTTATGTATTACACATGGAGATCATATCCCCCCTTATGTATTATACATGGAGATCATATCCCCCCCTTATGTATTATATGGAGATCATATCCCCCTTATGTATTATACATGGAGATCATATCCCCCCTTATGTATTATACATGGAGATCATATCCCCCCTTATGTATTATACATGGAGATCATATCCCCCCTTATGTATTACACATGGAGATCATATCCCCCCTTATGTATTATACATGGAGACCATATCCCCCTTATGTATTATACATGGAGATCATATCCCCCCTTATGTATTACACATGGAGATCATATCCCCCTTATGTATTATACATGGAGATCATATCCCCCCTTATGTATTATACATGGAGATCATATCCCCCCTTATGTATTACACATGGAGATCATATCCCCCCTTATGTATTATACATGGAGATCATATCCCCCCTTATGTATTACACATGGAGATTATATCCCCCCTTATGTGTTATACATATTGATCGTATCCCCCCTTTATCTCCTCTTCTGAAGAGAGAATAAATTCAGTCCCTCTAATTTTTCCTCATAGCTGATCTCCTCCATGCCTCTTCTCAGTTTGGTTGCCCTTCTCTGTACTTTCTCCAGTTCCCCAATGTTCTGTTTGTGAATTGGTGCCCAAAACTGAACTGCATATTCCAGATGAGGTCTTACTAATGATTTGTATCGGGGAAATGATATCTCTCTCTCTGGAGTCTATACCTAGGATTTTGCTCGGTTCAGAAACCGCAGCTTCGCATTGCTGCCATTATTAAGCTCACATTGCAAGTATGACTTGTGTAACAAATGTAAATGCTATGTTTCCCACGAAAGTGGATTTACCCCGTAAATAACCAGAAGCTCCCTTTTCATTTGTTGCTGGCTCTTGAGTCGTGAACTATAGTGTCCAGTAGCTTTAAATCTAACTCAACCTATTTGGTTTTGGCTAGTGTGGGAAAATTTGTTTTAAAAAGTGGGCAAACTTAGAAAGCTACATAATGGTAAATAGCCCGTATTCCTCCTGATGCAAGCAGAGGGCTGGCCCTTGGGAGAAGTTATGCAAACACCTTGATAGGTGTCAGTCTGGAGGAGTGGGGATTCCTAGGCAGGCTGTATGTGGACGATACTGAGCATCTACCATTAAATGAACTGAAATCCAATGAATGAAAAGGGGTGGGCCGGGGACAAGCAGGCTTGGGAGAAAAGTGCTACATGATGCCGGATGTCCACCAGCCAGGAAATAAGGCAGGCTCTATCTGACTTGCACCAGACAAAGTCACTTAGATCCCGCAAGGTCCTTATCTGACTGTTGGTTGAGCAATAGCTGAAGCTCTTCACCATGTCTGTGTGTTTTGGGCACGAACTACAACCACATGGTTTGCCATTTGTGCTAACTAGCAGGTGCGCTTATAGTGAATGCAGGGTCCTGGGTTTAGTAACACTTTATCTGGTCTCCCCTGGACCCTGCATTTACTATATCCGGTCTCCCCGGACCCTGAATTTACTATATCCGGTCTCCCCGGACCCTGAATTTACTATATCCGGTCTCCCCTGGACCCTGCATTTACTATATCCGGTCTCCCCGGACCCTGCATTCACTATATCCGGTCTCCCCGGACCCTGCATTCACTATATCCGGTCTCCCCGGACCCTGCATTCACTATATCCGGTCTCCCCGGACCCTGCATTCACTATATCCGGTCTCCCCGGACCCTGCATTCACTATATAGGGTCTCCCCGGACCCGCATTCACTATATAGGGTCTCCCCAGGCCCCGCACTCACTATATCCGGTCTCCCCGGACCCCGCACTCACTATATCCGGTCTCCCCGGACCCCGCACTCACTATATCCGGTCTCCCCGGACCCCGCACTCACTATATCCGGTCTCCCCGGACCCCGCACTCACTATATCCGGTCTCCCCGGACCCCCGCACTCACTATATCCGGTCTCCCCGAACCCCGCACTCACCGGTCTCCCCGGACCCCGCACTCACTATATCCGGTCTCCCCGGACCCCGCACTCACTATATCCGGTCTCCCCGGACCCCGCACTCACTATATCCGGTCTCCCCGGACCCCGCACTCACTATATCCGGTCTCCCCGGACCCCGCACTCACTATATCCGGTCTCCCCGGACCCCGCACTCACTATATCCGGTCTCCCCGGACCCCGCACTCACTATATCCGGTCTCCCCGGACCCCGCACTCACTATATCCGGTCTCCCCGGACCCCGCACTCACTATATCCGGTCTCCCCGGACCCCGCACTCACTATATCCGGTCTCCCCGGACCCCGCACTCACTATATCCGGTCTCCCCGGACCCCGCACTCACTATATCCGGTCTCCCCGGACCCCGCACTCACTATATCCGGTCTCCCCGGACCCCGCACTCACTATATCTTGTCTCCCCGGACCCCGCACTCACTATATCTTGTCTCCCCGGACCCCGCACTCACTATATCTTGTCTCCCCGGACCCAGCATTCACTATATCCGGTCCCCCAGGACCCTGCATTCACTATATCCGGTCCCCCAGGACCCTGCATTCACTATATCCGGTCCCCCAGGACCCTGCATTCACTATATCCGGTCCCCCAGGACCCTGCATTCACTATATCCGGTCCCCCAGGACCCTGCATTCACTATATCCGGTCTCCCCGGACCCTGCATTCACTATATCTGGTCTCCCCGGACCCTGCATTCACTATATCCGGTCTCCCCGGACCCTGCATTCACTATATCTGGTCTCCCCGGACCCTGCATTCACTATATCTGGTCTCCCCGGACCCTGCATTCACTATATCTGGTCTCCCACAGTACACACAACATGGAAATGTAATTATTTTAGTAAATATAAACTGCTAAATACCTTTTCTCATCAGTTAGAGCAGTCTTGTGACTTATATCAGTGCCTGGATGAGCACTAGTTAATCTTGTAGGAGGAGCTTTCATTCTCCCGATTATCCTATGAGGCTGCAGGACCCCTGACCTTCTGTCTGGACAGCGCTGATTGGCCCTGTGCTGATCACATGCACTCTCCCAAAAAAAAAAACTCTAGCAATACACACCATTCTGAGTATGTGCAGAGTGTCTTCTAGAGCTCTGCCCTGTCAGCAGATGGATTGGGGACAGTAGAAGGGGAGGATCAGAGGAGACAGGATCAAACAGCCTTTTTTACACAATGCTGAGGATTAACCCCTTAGGTTCCACAGTGAGTATAACAAGCATGCTTTACTGCATACACAGACTGATTGTACTATTGTGAGTTTAGTAACAGTTTCATTAAACAGCCATTGGTAAGAAATGTGAAAAAGGAAGTTCAACGCAATATGTTTTGTATTTAGTGGTACCCAGAAGTACGACACCACTGCCCCAACACCCCCATCATATTAGTGGGCACAAAACTGGACTTGAGAGATGACAAGGACACCATTGAACGGCTGAGGGACAAGAGGTTGTCACCAATTACATATCCTCAGGGTCTGGCTATGGCCCGAGAAATAGGTAAGACAGAGCACAACTCCTTCCCTTTATATAAACTGCTAGATTCTTAGCGGATCAGATGTGTTTTAGTGTCTTTACTATTCGTATTGTTTTCATTGGCTTTGCCTGCAGTATATGTCGTTATCTTGCCTCTTGTGATAGGCCTGCTTTAGTTACTTCTCAACGGGTGGACCTCTTAGGATGTCCCGGGAGGGAAGTGGTTATATTGGGATTATGTCTGCATCTGCAGGCATCATCCCGGTGTCTGAATTTTTAGTTGGCGATTTCCTCATAAGCAGAAGTGATTTGAGTGGCTGAACACTTCTGCAGACGGAGGAAGGGGGGTGCGCAGTCATGTTGGGACAGGAAGGGGCCATCACCAAACTCTTCCCACAAAGTTGGGAGCATGAAATTGTCCAACATGTCTTGGTATGCTGACATCTTAAGAGTCCCTTCACTGGAACTAGGGGGCCAAGCCCAACCCCTGAAAAACAACCCAACACCATAATCCCCCCTTCACCAAACTTTACACTTGGTGCAATGCAGTCAGGCAAGTACCGTTCTCCTGGCAACCGCCAAACCCAGACACGTCCATCGGATTGCCAGACAGAGAAGAATGATTGGTCACTCCAGAGAACACATCTCCAGTGCTCTAGAGTCCAGTGGCGGCGTGCTTTACACCACAGCATCCGACGCTTTGCATTGCACTTGGTGATGTAAAGCTTGGATGCAGCTGCTCGGCCATGGAAACCCATTCCCTGAAGCTCTCTACGCCCTGTTGTTGTGCTAATCTGAAGGCCACACCAAGTTTGGAGGTCTTTAGCTATTGACTCTGCAGACAGTTGGTGACTTCTGCGCACTGTGCGCTTCAGCATGCGCTGACCCCGCTCTGTCATGTGACGTGGCCTACCACTTGGTGGCTGAGTTGCTGTTGTTCCCAGTTGCTTCCACTTTGTTATAATCCCACTAACAGTTGAGCGTGGAATATTTAGTATCCAGGAAATGTCACGGATGGACTTATTGCACAGGTGACCACCTATCACGGGACCACGCTTGGAGTCACTGAGCTCCTGAGAGCGACCCATTCTTTCACCAATGTTTGTAGAAGCAGTCTGCATGCCTAGGGGGTGATTTTATACACCTGTGTCCATGGATGTGATTGGAACACCTGAATCACATGATTTGGAGGGCGGGCCCAATACTTTTGGCAATATAGTGTAAGTAAAGCACTGTGTAAATTGACGGAGCTATACAAGTACCTATAAAAATAAAACATTTAGAAAAAAAGTATTAAATAATAAAAATTTTAAATTTGAAGTGCCCCCCCCCCCCATGCTTATGCATAAATGTAAATGAATACTTACATAAACTGTGATCATACCACACTTGTGAGGTATCATTACAAACATCAGAGTGAGAGCAATAATTTTTGCTCCAGATCTCCTGTGTAACTCTCAAGTGGTAACCTCTGAAGGCTTTTGAAGCTTCACCTATAGAGATTTTTAGGTGCCTTAATTTGGTGTTCTTCCGCAGGCATATTCATTTTTAAAGCAGGACATATTGGGTATCTATTTACTCGATGTAACATCATCTTTTATAGTATAAACAATTTGGTATTATATAGTGTTTGAGTGAAATATTGAAAAACCCCTGCCCATATACCGTGAGACATCGGGAATTGCAACACCCTCCATTTTATTTTCTAGGGCCTCTAAGTAGTTATGTAGCAAAAAGAATTATGATTTTTTTTTTTTTTTTAACATGTAGGAGAGATTTGTCAGAATTGGCCTGGTAGGCAAGTAGTTGGACAATGGGGTTGATTTATTTAAAGGCAAATAGACTTACAAGTGCAGTTGCTCCAGAGCTTAGTAAATGGGAAGCTTTCATCCAATCATGTGCAAGCAAAAATGCTGTTTTTGTTTTTTAATATTCCTTGCATGTGATTGGGTATTGTTTGCAAAGTGAAACTTTACCTCATTTACTAAGCTCTGAGAGCAACTGAACTTGCAAAGTGTATTGTCTCTTTAACCTCCCTGGCGGTATTTCCGAGTGTAGCTCCGGGTTAACTTTCAGTACCAGAGTTGGTAACCCCGAGCTACACTCAGAAATACTCTGCAGCGCTTCTCCGGTGATCCCTGTTTAACTTACCTTGTCCTGCACTCCCGCAATGTCCCCCCTGCAGCGTCCCCAGCAATGTCCTCCGGCCGATGCCGGCATCCGTCTTCTGGGTTCCGTTCCCTGCGAGCGTCGGGACGTACGGGGGGCGAAACTGGCGGGAAATTCAAAAATGTCAAAAAGTGACATTCACTCAATACACTAAAATCTGATAGTATTCCATTACTGTATCAAACCATTTCACATACATTGTGTCCCGAGTGCTTTGTCCGGCGCCCTGCCTGCATTTTTACTGTTCTTTCTGCCTGGAAACTGAGAAACGTCCATGGCGTCCAAAAAGTGTCCCTTTAGGTCAAAATAGGTTTTAGACCGGCTAGAGAACAGCGATAGTAAATCAGAACCACTTGCAGAATTGAGTGATAATGATTTGTGGGGGAAATTCATCATCAGACACTGAAAACGATTTTGCGACTGAGCTCAGCGATGTGTGAACTTGGCGCTATATTTCAAATTTCAGTGTTTTTGGTTTGATTATATTATTGAATTAAATGTATTATTTTTTATGATTAATTATTATAGTATAATTTATAATTTTGTGTTTCAAATTTTATCATACCCGGGATGTTTACTAGACTTTTGTTCAGACAGATTTCAGTGAGTTGTTCCTAAGAATTACAGGCCTACAGTAAAAAAAAACAACATATTTCCATTGAAAATAATGTACCGCTTTGAGCGCAGAAATACTGACATAATCAGACCGCTAGGGAGGCTACAGAAATACTGAGTACTGTGAGAAATAGGGAGGTTGACCATTGCTGACGTTTTTCTGAAAATGCCGGTTACCTGGCTCTTGTATTGTCCCTCTGGGAAGTCCCTGACCCAGCAAAAGAAGGCAGAGCAGAACAGTTGGAGGAAGATCGGAGGTCCATATATATGTACTTGTTCCTGCTCAGTACAGTATGGAAACCAGAGAGCTGGCATTTTCAGTAGGCTTGGCAATGGTCGCTTCCATATTTATCTTCAGCTAATGAGCCCCACTGCCCTTCATACATATATGTATATAGCAGTCCCGTGTTGTGTTTCTCACCGAGGTCTAATGAGCTTTCCTCTTTTTTGCACAAGGCTCTGTCAAGTACCTGGAGTGTTCGGCTCTCACCCAACGTGGCTTGAAGACCGTCTTTGACGAGGCCATCCGTGCCGTTCTCTGCCCTCCACCCGTCAAGCGGCCCGGCAAGAAATGCACTGTGTTCTGAGCCCCCGCACCGGTCGGAGAGCTGGACCAAACTCATACCATCTCTTTTCCAAAGACGTGAAGCCCCACCAAAAGGGCGGTGTGGGGCGGACGGAGACCCCGCAGATGTTTTCCGTGGTTTAGTGTTTTGTGAATGTACGGAGCATGGGGTGGGAGGGGGTTGGGTGACGCAGCAAAACGCACGGGCGGAGGGCAAGTGCTTCCTCTGCACTGAGAAGACCGCACCTCCTGGCAAGGAGCGATGGGTCTAGACTCGTGTGTGACCCCTCCGCATGAGTACGTGTTAATGCTAACAGCGATAACCGACACTGTGTGTGCGCATGTGGCACAGCGGTCCCAGTCCTGGGGAAGATCTTACAAGGACTGGTCCACCACCCAAAACTGAACTACTGCTATTATGGGTGGAGGGTAGACTTGCCTGTGTTATGGTGCTTTAATAATCGCTGGCCATCTTACCTTTCTATTGCATGGGGATCGTGTCTGGTTTTCATGTCCTGTGTCCTGGTTTCCAACATTTTTGTGAACTCTGTAGTTGATGTTTTAATATTCGGTATTAACGTGTTAAGTATCTTTAACGCCTTTGTTGAGTTTTTGGTGCTTTAAGACGCTGACGGAGGAGAACGTGAAAGAGAACAGCTGTTCCCATAGGAGGGGCGCGCTTTAATAACCAGAGGTGTATTTCAAATAACATTTTGTTTTAAAAAAAAAAAAAAAAAGTGTCTTTTTGATTTTACCGTCGCTTTGCCTGTAATCATGTGTGAAGTTTACACCATCTGCCATACGATTGGTGGATTGATACCGACTTCAGCCTAAGAGTGGAAAAGGAGAGGAATCTTTGTCAGGTGGGTTTGTGTCCCCAGTGGGGCGATTTATTGATTTTCTATTATGTCACCAGGACAGGAAGTGTGGGGAGGAAATGTAAAAGGACCCCAAGGCTGGTGACTGACAGACATTGAGATCAAGAGCCGCAGTGCTAAAAGGTTATGAAATATGAAAATTGCCATCATGCAAAGCAATTAAACTGCATCCGGAATTGTTTTCTATTCTGAATAGCATTAAAACCCGTCAGGTTTTTTCTGCTGTCTGTATCCCAAAGTGGGGGGGTTTCTTGACTTCTTAAGTGGGGAGAATCCAGGGACTGACTGACCATTTGGAAACGTGGGCACTGCCCGAGGGCCCAGGTTCAGTAGGGGGCCCCATGAGATGCCCCTGGTACCTTTTTCATAGGCTTTTTTGAGTTTGAACAAGGACACATAGGCCCCATGACCCCCTATTGCCCGGGGGCCCCATGAGTTGCCAGTCCACCCTGGGAGAATCTCTCCAGTTAGGACACAAATTTAATGTACCTTTTTAAAGTGGTTGAAAATCCTCTGACATGAAATATGAACAAAGCATGTCCCCTTTATAATGTGTAATTGTCTCAGTTAAGAGCACTAAGTGTCATTCCTGTCTACTGGCAGCATGAATCACTTCTGACAAGTTTTCCTGACACCAAGAGAAAAAAAGTGACGGGAGGGATCTCCAGCACACAGCCTGTGATTGATAGCCTCAGTTCTGTTCCTGTGGGAAGAGGGGTGTGTCCCTTCTCTCCAATCAGCTCTCAGAGCTCTCCTTACTGAGCACTGCAGTGTGTAACTATAGCTCTCCGTCCCCCTTTTTTTTTTTCTGAATGCTCAAGCAAGCTTTATAAGTTCAGCACTTTGAATAGATGAAAAAAATGTAGATAAACAGGTACAACTTATGTAGGAAGATAGGTTTAAGCTCTGTGTATCACCTGAAGCCAGTCATTGGGTATATGTAAGGGTTCACAACCACTTGCTCTCCTGAGGATTTACCCCTCCCCCCTCGACCAGGCCATTTTTTGCATTATGGCGCTACCTAACCACTTGGCGCCTAGCCTATAGTCAAATGATGGCCGGGCGTCATATGACGTCCGTCCCGGATCGCGCTTTGCCTGTAGGGCCGCACTGTGGCGGGATCTTTCACCGGCCGTGTACCTCGGACACTAATACCATAGATGGGGCATTGTTCACTTCCACTGACACCACAACATTTTCTACTTCCACTGGCCAAAGTCTGGCCCCCTTAAAGTCTGAAGGACAGAAAACTGGCCCTTTGGTTAGAACGTTTGGAGAGCCCTGCTATATACAGTACATCTGAAATGTTACAGCTGTAAGGTCTCTTCCATGATGAGATATATATTATTGATGTACAGAATGATAATGAATAGCTGCAAATGGGCTTCATCGCCAAATGTACTTTACACTTTCAGCTCTGGGGTCAGACTTCCATAGGTGATGAGTAACCAAAGTTAATATTCATACTTAGACTAACACCAGAAAAGATTTTTTTGGATTGAGGGGGAAGAGTTGAAGCTGAAGATTGACCTGCTTATATTTTGCCTTCCCTAGTTCTTTCTAATGATAAAGAAAAAAATATATATATACTCTGTGTGCGTATTTATATATACATATAAAAAAAAAAATATATAAACTTTTTTTTTTTGTTTTGATAAAATCTTTTCGATTTTCACAACATATCATTTTAGACCTTGTGACGGCATCACTGGGTCTCTGTGGCTTTCTATGCAATGCAGGTGGGAGGGGCTGTACATAGCTTCCAGAAAACATCACCAAACCCTGCCTCAGAATCTCAAGAGTCCTGCTGCAAGCAGTGGGAGCAACATCAAAATGCCTTAGGTGCAGGGGCGGACTGACCATTTGGAAACTCGGGCACTGCCCGAGGGCTGGGGTCAGTAGGGGGCCCCATGAGATGCCCCTGGTACCTTTTTCATAGGCTTTTTTTAGTTTGGGCAAGGACACAGGGGCCCCATGATCCCCTATTGCCCGGGGACCTCATGAGTTGTCAGTCCGCCCTGCTTAGGTGCATGCCAATCTTCAGAATTGGGTGTTTCTGCATTTGCTAGATAACACCCACCTACACAGCTGAGTCCCCAGGATGGAAAGAACTGAAAACCAATGCGTTAAAGGGCAAGCTAAGGACATATAGGCTGGGGAGAAAAGGGCTAGCTAATGCAGGGCATCCTCAAGCCAGGAACTGAGGCGGGCTCTATTTTACTTGCTGCAGCTTCTGATGCACATTGTGAGAAGCTCACAGTGTGCAGTGAAATCAGATTAAGCACTTGCAGTACAGGAGGTGAGCTGGTACAACTGTGCAAGACTGAAGGGAAGGCCGGAGTTCAACATAACTTTTTTTTTTCTTTTTAATTGTGGATGGTGGAGAAGAGTCAGGTTATTTGTCTGTGACTCCCTCTGGGGAGATTTTCCTTTTTCTTCAGTCCCTATAGCATTTGTATAAGAAATGAGGGGTAAAGTTGTCACCACGACAAGATGGCATAGCCAACAATGAAAGCATTGGCAGTTCTGCCTGACCTTGCTGTACCCGGAATGTGTTTTGTGTTCTTCCTGTTATGATAGGAAGTAAGCAGAAATCTATCCAAGACGGGCACAAGTGGCAATAAAATCTGACAAAGGCTTAAAACTTATCTCCACATTGAATATCCCTTTAAGTAGATTGTTTGGGCCAAGCTGGGTGTCTTGTACACAGCGCTGTGTTCCAGCAGTGAGAGGAGGACTTCCCATCCCACATCAGGCTACGTGCAGCCCAGCCATTCACAGGAATCAAACACAAGATATACGGTGCAATCCCAGAAAATACCAAAGCAATGGCCTCTCTAGTAAAAATGGGCTAAATGAGTTCATAATTGTCCATAATGAGGTTAGCACTTCCACCGGGCCGTACTATGGGCGTTGGTTTGAATCCCAACCACGGCACCACCTGCCTGGAGTTTGCATGTTCTCCCTGTGCCTGTGTGGGTTTCCTTCCACACTCCAAAGACATGCTGATATGTATGAATGTGAGTTAGGGACCTTAGATTGTACGCCCCTTGAGGGTTAGGGACTGATGTGAATGTATAATATATAGAACATGTTTCAGGTTTATATTGCTGCCCGTGTCCTTCTTTGGGAGATATTTGTCCTGTTTACCATTATCATCAAAAGTAAAATTTGTGTTGACATCAAAACACAAATATAATAGAGGGGAAATGTTCCAATGGGGACACTAGTTCAGGTGGTTGTTTTTTCTTTGGATAGTGCATGTGCTCAGCACATGACCAATCAGTGCTGTCCAGACATAGGGTCAGGGGGCCTGCAGCCTCATAGGACAATTGGGAGAATGAAAACTCCTCCTACAAGCTTTAACCAATGCTCTGCTGGACACTGATAGAAGTCACAAGACTGCTATATACTGCTAATGAAAAAAGATATTTAGCAGATTATATTTACTAAAATATTTGCATTTCCGTGTACTGTGGGATACCAGATATAGGGAATGCGGGGTCCGGGGAGACCGGCTATAGTGAATGCGGGGTCCGGGGAGACCGGCTATAGTGAATGCGGGGTCCTGGGGAGACCGGCTATAGTGAATGCGGGGTCCGGGGAGACCGGCTATAGTGAATGCGGGGTCCTGGGGAGACCGGCTATAGTGAATGCGGGGTCCTGGGGAGACCGGCTATAGTGAATGCGGGGTCCTGGGGAGACCGGCTATAGTGAATGCGGGGTCCTGGGGAGACCGGCTATAGTGAATGCGGGGTCCTGGGGAGACCGGCTATAGTGAATGCGGGGTCCTGGGGAGACCGGATATAGTGAATGCGGGGTCCTGGGGAGACCGGATATAGTGAATGCAGGGTCCTGGGATTAATAATACATTAAGAAATGAGTTCGGCCATCAGTGCATCAGGATTGATAACTTATTCAAATATATACTGCTCAAATAAATGAAAGGAACACTTTGAAAACACATCAGATCTCAATGGGGAAACATTTCACGCTGGATATCTATACTGATATGGACGGGGTTATGTGTTAGGAATGTAAGGATGTCCCATCATTTGATGGAAATGAAAATTAGCCACCTACAGAGGACTGAATTCAAAGACACCCCGAAAATCAAGTGAAAAAATGATGCAGCAGGCTAGTCCATTCTGCTGAAATTTCAGCGCAGCAACTCAGAATGGTGCTCAGTAGTTTAAAAAACCCAGTGATGATTAAATACCACCAAAAGAAAGCTCTATATGTGTGAAAGAATTATAAAAATTTAATTTGGGTACAGGAACGGACTGACAACTCATGGGGCACCCGGGCAATAGGGGATCATGGGGCCCCTGTGTCCTTGCCCACACTCAAAGCACACCCCAAAAAAAAGCCTATAAAAAGGTACCAGGGGCATTTCATAAGGCCCCCTGCTGACCCCAGGCAGTGCCCAAGTGCTCGAATGGTCAGTCCGCCCCTGTTTGGGTACAGTGTTGCCTGACCGTGCTAGTTAAAGTAGCTCAGTTCTGAATAGCTAAATATGGCCTGGTCATGAAGGGGGTAAAACCATCCGGAGGTCAAATGGCTAAAGGCTGTTTTAAATAAAAGGGGATGAGAAAATGAATCTTCTGATCACAAGCCTGGATTGGACATCCTATTCAGAATGAGTGAGAAATGGAAGAAAGAGAAGGGAAAAGGACTGAAATGCATCTGGACCTCTCATTACCGGCAGCAAATGGACAGTCAAAACAAATATTTTTAAAAAGTGACAGGTCCTCTTTCAAGTGCACCTTTGTTATTCCTAAGCGCTCCGAGCCAGCAAACCGCGTGTAATAATGCAGGCTCAAGCATGTTCACAGTAATGGTTTATTGATTTACCTCTAAGGCAGCCAGCGATGAACACACCAGGTTTACAGATCGTCTCATTATACACTCCTGCCATGAGTCTAATCACTAATCCGCACACCTTCAGGGACTGAATGGAAGAATGAGCACGCTCTAGTGAAAGCCTTGCAGCTGCAGACCTCGGTGACCTACGGCTTCACGGCCAATTAAAAAGTCGAGATGTTGCAGGCCGTCTACCTGTCAACGTGTTGGAACCCTCTTGAGCCTTTCAGCTGATAAGGTAGCCTCCATCCACGGGGAGACATGCACCGGTAGTCATCCCACTCTTGTCACTGAGCAGGAAGAGGATGCTATTGACCACATCTTCCACCTCTGAAAATGAAGAGGTGAAATTTAACATTAGCTGCATACAAGGCAAGGACATTTCCCACAGTTCAAACTATCGTATTTTTCGCTCCATAAGACGCACCTGGGTTTTAGAGGAGGAAAACAAGAAAAAAAATATTCTGAACCAATGGACTGCAGACATAGTACAGGAAAAGACCAAAGACTGGAGACACGGCACAGGAGATGACCAGAGACTGCGGACACAGCACAGGAGATGACCAGAGACTGCGGACACAGCACAGGAGATGACCAGAGACTGCGGACACAGCACAGGAGATGACCAGAGACTGCGGACACAGCACAGGAGATGACCAGAGACTGCGGACACAGCACAGGAGATGACCAGAGACTGCGGACACAGCACAGGAGATGACCAGAGACTGCGGACACAGCACAGGAGATGACCAGAGACTGCGGACACAGCACAGGAGATGACCAGAGACTGCGGACACAGCACAGGAGATGACCAGAGACTGGGGACACAGCACAGGAGATGACCAGAGACTGGGGACACAGCACAGGAGATGACCAGAGACTGGGGACACAGCACAGGGGATGACCGGGGACTGCAGACACAGTACAGGGGATGACCGGGGACTGCAGACACAGTACAGGGGATGACCGGGGACTGCAGACACAGTACAGGGGATGACCGGGGACTGCAGACACAGTACAGGGGATGACCGGGGACTGCAGACACAGTACAGGGGATGACCGGGGACTGCAGACACAGTACAGGGGATGACCGGGGACTGCAGACACAGTACAGGGGATGACCGGGGACTGCAGACACAGTACAGGGGATGACCGGGGACTGCAGACACAGTACAGGGGATGACCAGAGACTGCAGACACAGTACAGGGGATGACCAGAGACTGCAGACACAGTACAGGGGATCACCGGGGACTGCAGACACAGTACAGGGGATGACTAGAGACTGCAGACACAGTACAGGGGATGACCAGAGACTGCGGTCAGTACAGGGGATGACCAGGAGACTGCGGACAGTACAGGGGATGACCAAGAGACTGCGGACAGTACAGGGGATGACCAGGAGACTGCGGACAGTACAGGGGATAACCAGGAGACTGCGGACAGTACAGGGGATGGCCAAGAGACTGCGGACAGTGCAGGGGATGACCAGAGACTGCGGACCTTTGGGGAGGGAGGGGGGGAGCGGGTACCTGAATTTGACAGGTACATAACAGCATCTGCTCTGCCAGGGAAGAGGTGTAACAGCGGGGATTACATTATATCCTCTCCTCCCTCTCTGCAGTAAAAGGAAACTACAGTTCCCATCAACCACAGGGAATTGTAGTGAATGTGGGTGGGTATGCTAGGTCTGTACATGTTGAATATATCGGAGAGTCTCCGTCCGCACACTGCTGTAAGAAGGTCTGAATGACAGCACTGCTTCCTGGAAAAAAAAAATACAGATGGGATGTGCCGAGACCCATGGCTGGGGGAATAGGAATCTTAGCAGCCACCGGTCTTACAAACAGGAAACCAAAGAGAATTAACGGTTTGATTTGAAAATGAATAGACTATGTCAGAGCAACTACTCAGTGAACCAGAAGATGGATGACCTATTCAGTAAAGGTAGGAAATCAGCAACAAGCACATATAAAGAAGTTTTTTCCCCCAGAGTTCTTTCTTGTTCACACACAGCCATCCCACTAGTCACGCCTCCCAGGAATATAATAAAAAATTTGCCAGGCCCCATCAGTTCAGCAGCAGGGGCCAGAAATAGAGAGTGGGCGATATATTCATTTTTGAGAGCAGATGGAGTAATCCTCCATGCGGTGGCTCTCGACAATTACGTTCTGGCCTACTCCAGTGGATTGAAATAGAAGAGGTTAGAACCTTAATTATGAGGATCTGCAGCACAGAGCATTACTCTGCCTGCTCCCCCCAAAAACAGTCCCCCATCTGTGGCCCCTGCTGCTGAACGGATAGGGTCCAGGGAACTCTTTATTTAATCACTGGGAGCCACAGCCTGTGGGATTAATGTGCATGTGCCCAAGTCCCCTCTCTGTCCCTGGGCCCCCTGCTAAACTGGTGGGGCCTAGGCCCAGTACAGGAGGATCAGCTCCACCAACCTTCTCTCAGGCCTGCAAGTGCCCAGTTTTTTGACCGGTGCACTGCATCCTGGGAGTAGGGAAAGAAGGTCACATGCTCCCAAATACCTGGAAGTACCAGGTATTTCCCCAGAACTTAAGCAGGGCAGCATGGTAAAGGGGACAAGGGTAGGTTAGAGTGGTTGTAAAGGATCAAGGTTTTCTTTTTATCTTCATGCATTCTATGCATAAAAGGTAAAAAACCTTCTGTGTACAGCTCCCTCCAGCCCCCTCTAATACTTACCTGAGCTCAATTTCGATCCAGCGATGTGCATGAGAGCCTTGGCTCTCCAGGGACTCTCCCTTCTCATTGGCTGAGACAGCAAAGGGACCCACTGGCTACCGCTGTTGTCAATCACAGCCACTGGGCCAATGAGGAGAGAGGGGTGGGGCCGAACCACGGCTCCATGTGTGAATGGACACACAGAGCTGTGGCTTTGATCCAGTAATGTGCATGAAAGCCTTGGCTGAGACAGCAGAGGGACCCATTTGCTCCAAGGGTATATTTACCACAAGGCAAACAAGGCACTTGCCTAGGGCGGCATTTTTCAGGGGGGCAGCACCTCCTCCAAGAAGAAGGGATGAAAGAAGGGACATGTGTGCCATGGGAACCAGATGGGATCTGGGAGAAACTGCGGGCTGCTTGATGGTGTATGTAGAGCCTGACTCTCATTCCTGGGGATGTCTGGTGCTGTGAAGATGGGTGTCTCTCTCTTTTGCCGGGGGGCAGGGGTGTTGTTGGTCCAGGGGCGGACTGACCATTTGGAAACTCGGGCACTGCCCGAGGGCCCGGGGTCAGTAGGGGGCTTCATGAGATGCCCCTGGTACCTTTTTTATAGACTTTTTTGAGTTTGGGCAAGAACACAGGGGTCCCATGATCCCCTATTGCCCGGGGGCCCCATGAATTGTCAGTCCGCCCCTGTGTTGCTCAATGTCAGGCTCTTCCCAGGTGGGGGGCAGGGGTGTTGTTGGTCAATGTCAGGCTCTTCCCAGGTGGGGGGCAGGGGTGTTGTTGGTCAATGTCAGGCTCTTTCCGTGGGAGGGAGTGGAGGGGGGTGCTGGTTGGTGTCTGTGGGGGCAGATGATTTTTGTGTTGCCTAGGGCAGCACAAAACCTAAATACACCACTGATTGGCTCCCGATATTGTCAGTCACAGCGACTAAGCCCAATGGGGAGAGAGGGGTGGGGCCGAAACACAGCTCACTGTGTGAATGGACACACAGAGCTGTGGCTTCGATCCACTGATGTGCATGAAAGCCTTGGCTCTCTGGGGACTCTCCCTCATTGGCTGAAACAGCAGAGGGACCCATTGGCTCCTGCCGTTTTCAATCACAGCCATTGAGCCAATGAGAAGAGAGGGGTGAGGCTGAACCACAGCTCAGTGTGTGAATAGACACGCACAGCATTGGCTTGGCAGCTAGCCTGCTTGGGTGCCCCCATAGCAAGCTGCTTGCTCTGGGGGCATTCGGCAGGAGGGGGGCCAGGAGTGCCAACAGGGGACCCGAGAAGTGGAGGATCGGGGCTGCTATGTGCAATACTATTACACAGAGCAAATATAATGTTTTTTTTTTTCAATTACCTTTATTATCACTTTAAGAGGTAATCTTTTACCAGACTCCCCCCTGCCTTTGAATTAGGAAAATAAGCAAGCCTGTGTGTAGACCAAATCCAGACAAAACTTTTTATTTTTTAATTTAGTAGAAGTATGTAATATCTATCTCTGTCAGGTTCTTATTCCCATCTGTGTCCCCATTAGAGAGATTTACTCTTACTTCCTGTCCACAGAGACAGAGTGTCATAAGGACGGGAGATGATGGGATACTTTTCAGCTACAGACAGACAACAACAAAAGCACATTTATAAAGCAGAGAGCGGAAGGGATAAAACATCAATCAGATTTGCATTGCTGTCAGTCTTGCCCATCCCAGTGACAACCTCCCCTTCTCATCACTTGCCCTGTTGTCACCTGGGACAGAATTGATTAGAAACCTCCCCAAGAAGAGCACGGACACCAATAAGAACCTGATAGAGATTCTGGCTTTTGCACAGTCACTTGAAAAACTAAAAAATGGCTAAAGCTGATTTTTGGCCAACATTAGGATCATCCACTCACCTGCAAAGCGACCCATGGGAATCCGATTTAGCATTGGCTCAGCCTTCTGGGAATCGCTCCAGTTGGCGCGTCCCATATCAGTCATTACCACTGTGGGGTTCACACAATTTACACGAATCTAAAAAACACAGAACTATTCATCACCCACCCGGAGCTGACCACTGATTTTTCAACAGTGTTTGAATCATCAGAAAATGTCTACATCCATCTGAATCAACAATGACATCAGCTTTAGCATACATCCATAGCCAATCCTTTTTCTTTAGTCAAAATCCCTGATTTTATTTATTATTATTTCAGGTACTTATATATAGCGCAGTCAATTTACACAGCACTTTACATCTATAATGTACCTTCACATCAGTCCCTAACCCTCAAGGGGTGTACAATCTAAGGTCCCTAACTCACATTCATACATACACATACTAGGGACAATTTACACAGGAGCCAATTCACCTACCAGCATGTCTTTGGAGTGTGGGAGGAAACCAGAGTACCCGGTGGAAACAAATGCAGGCACAGGGAGAACATGCAAACTCCAGGCAGGAGGTGCCGTGGCTGGGATTCGAACCAATGACCCTAGTACTGCCAGGCGGAAGTGCTAACCATTTAGCCACTGTGCTGCCCATTTAGCCACTGTGCTGCCTATGATCCCATTCTATCCAAAATGGTGTCCTGTAGCGACATAGTGGGGGGAACCAGCAAGGACCAGGCATTTAACATGGCCACAGGGGTGTACGTTTTTATTATCATCATTACAGGTAGTTACTGTATAGAGCCCAAAAGCTGAAAAAGCTTAACAGACTATACATTCATATCAGTCTCTGCCCTCCTGGCTTCAAAGAGCTTACATTCTAAGGTCCTTGTCTCACATACAGTGGGGATCAAAAGTTTGGGCACCCCAGCTAAAAATTTGTATTAATGTGCATAAAGAAGCCAAGGAAAGATGGAAAAATCTCCAAAAGGCATCAAATTACAGATTAGACATTCTTATAATATGTCAACAAAAGTTAGATTTTATTTCCATCATTTACACTTTCAAAAAAATAACAGAAAAAACAAAAAAATGGCGTCTGCAAAAGTTTGGGCACCCCGCAGAATTTATAGCATGCACTGCCCCCTTTGCAAAGCTGAGACCTGCCAGTGTCATGGATTGTTCTCAATCATCGTCTGGGAAGACCAGGTGATGTCAATCTCAAAGGTTTTAAATGCCCAGACTCATCTGACCTTGCCCCAACAATCAGCACCATGGGTTCTTCTAAGCAGTTGTCCAGAAAACTGAAACTGAAAATAGTTGACGCTCACAAAGCTGGAGAAGGCTATAAGAAGACAGCAAAGCGTTTTCAGATGTCAATATCCTCTGTTCGGAATGTAATTAAGAAATGGCAGTCATCAGGAACAGTGGAAGTTAAAGCAAGATCTGGAAGACCAAGAAAAATATCAGACAGAACAGCTCGCAGGATTGTGAGAAAAACAATTCAAAACCCACGTTTGACTGCACGATCCCTCCAGAAAGATCTGCCAGACACTGGAGTTGTGGTACACTATTCCACTATAAAGAGATACTTGTACAAATATGGTCTTCATGGAAGAGTCATCAGAAGAAAACCTCTTCTACGCCCTCACCACAAAAATCATCGTTTGGACTTTGCAAATGAACATATAGACAAGCCTGATGCATTTTGGAAACATGTTCTGTGGACCGATGAGGTTAAAATTGAACTTTTTGGCTGGAATGAGAAAGGTACGTTTGGAGAAGAAGGGGCACAGAATTTAATGAAAAGAACCTCTGTCCAACTGTTAAGCATGGGTTGGTTGGATCAATCATGCTTTGGGGTTGTGTTGCAGCCAGTGGCACAGGGAACATCTCACGAGTAGAAGGAAAAATGGATGCAATAAAATTTCAGCAAATTTTGGATGATAACTTGATGCCATCTGTGAAAAAGCTGAAGTTAAAGAGAGGATGGCTTCTACAAATGGATAATGATCCTAAACACACCTCAAAATCCACGGGGGATTACATCAAGAGGCGTAAACTGAAGGTTTTGCCATGGCCTTCACAATCTCCTGACCTCAACATAATTGAAAATCTATGGATAGACCTTAAAAGAGCAGTGCGTGACAGACAGCCCAGAAATCTCAAAGAACTGGAAGACTTTTGTAAGGAAGAATGGGCAAAGATACCTCAAACAAGAATTGAAAGGCTCTTGGCTGGCTACAAAAAGGTTTACAAGCTGTGATACTTGCCAAAGGGGGCAGTACAAGATATTAACTCTGCAGGGTGCCCAAACTTTTGCAAACGCCATTTTTTTGTTTTCTGTTATTTTGAGAGTGTAAATGATGGAAATAAAATCTAACTTTTGTTGACATATTATAAGAATGTCTAATCTGTAATTTGATGCCTTTTGGAGATTTTTCCATCTTTCCTTGGCTTCTTTATGCACATTAATACAAATTTTTAGCTGGGGTGCCCAAACTTTCGATCCCCACTGTACATATACCCACATACAAGGTCACAGGAGCAAATTAATAGACAGTACCAGGGGAAAAAGCCCATGCAAACACAGAACCAACATGCAAATTCCATGACCAGGACTTGAACTGAGGCCCCCCGTGTTGCAAGGCAGAGGTGCAAACCACGAAGCCACTGTAGTGCCCAACAGCACAGTGCCTGCCATCTCTTTAAGGCTAGGTTCAAACCTATGCAGTTTGTGTTTGATCCGTTTCTGCAGTGGCTTCTTGCGCTGCATTTTGCACATGTATTTTTGATGCGTTGTGTTTATTTTCCAACTTGTTGCTAGGCAGATTAAAACGCATCAAAAACGTGTAAAAAATACATTAAAAAAGCACATACATGCTTTTTTGCAGCATCTCCGTTGAAGTCTATTGAACCAAAAAGCGTTTTAAAAAAGTCCCTGACCCTTTCCAAAAACCGCACCGGGTGAAAACGCAATGTGAACCTGTCCCATAAGAAATCATGTTAACTGGATGGCTGTGCATTTCTGCAAAACACAATGAAAAACGCATAGGTGTGAACCTAGACTAAGGCTTCATTTGGACCTGCATGAAAGAGCTGCATTTTTGCCACCTGCCAACCTCCCATCATTTCTATCAAACAATGGGGAATTCTTACATTCCTAACACGTTACCCCGTCAATATCAGTATAGAGATCCAGCAGGAGATGTTTTTACCATTAAAATCCGGTGTTTTCAAAGTGTTCCTTTCATTTTTTTGAGTGGTATATATTCAAATAATTTATCAATCCTGATGTACTGATGGCTGATCTCATTTCGCAATGTGTTGCATTCCCTATATATCCGCTCTCCCCGGACCCTGCATTCACTATATCCGGTCTCCCCGGACCCTGCATTCACTATATCCGGTCTCCCCGGACCCTGCATTCCCTATATCCGGTCTCCCCGGACCCTGCATTCACTATATCCGGTCTCCCCGGACCCTGCATTCACTATATCCGGTCTCCCCGGACCCTGCATTCACTATATCCGGTCTCCCCGGACCCTGCATTCACTATATCCGGTCTCCCCGGACCCTGCATTCCCTATATCCGCTCTCCCCGGACCCTGCATTCCCTATATCCGCTCTCCCCGGACCCTGCATTCCCTATATCCACTCTCCCCGGACCCTGCATTCCCTATATCCGCTCTCCCCGGACCCCGCATTCCCTATATCCAGGCTCCGCGGACCCCGCATTCACTATATCCGCTCTCCCCGGACCCCGCATTCACTATATCCGCTCTCCCCGGACCCCGCATTCACTGTATCCGCTCTCCCCGGACCCCGCATTCACTATATCCGCTCTCCCCGGACCCCGCATTCACTATATCCGCTCTCCCCGGACCCCGCATTCACTATATCCGCTCTCCCCGGACCCCGCATTCACTATATCCGCTCTCCCCGGACCCCGCATTCACTATATCCGCTCTCCCCGGACCCCGCATTCACTATATCCGCTCTCCCCGGACCCCGCATTCACTATATCCGCTCTCCCCGGACCCCGCATTCACTATATCCGCCCCCCCCGGACCCTGCATTCACTATAGCCGCTCTCCCCAGACCCTGCATTCACTATATCCCCTCTCCCCGGACCCTGCATTCGCTATATCCCCTCTCCCCGAACCCTGCATTCGCTATATCCGGTCTCCCCGGACCCTGCATTCACTATATCCGGTCTCCCCGGACCCTGCATTCACTATATTTCCGGTCTCCCCGGACCCTGCATTCACTATATATTTCCGGTCTCCCCGGACCCTGCATTCACTATATCTGGTCTCCCCAGACCCTGCATTCACTATATCCGGTCTCCTCAGACCCCGCATTCACTATATCCGTCCCCCCGGACCCTGCATTCACTATATCCGGTCTCCCCGGACCCTGCATTCACTATATCTGGTCTCCCCGGACCCTGCATTCGCTATATCCAGTCTCCCCGGACCCTGCATTCCCTATATCTGGTCTCCCCGGACCCTGCATTCACTATATCTGGTCTCCCCGGACCCTGCATTCACTATATCTGGTCTCCCCGGACCCTGCATTCACTATATCTGGTCTCCCCGGACCCTGCATTCACTATATCCGGTCTCCCCGGACCCTGCAATTCACTATATCCGGTCTCCCCAGACCCTGCATTCACTATATCCGGTCTCCCCAGACCCTGCATTCACTATATCCGGTCTCCCCAGACCCTGCATTCACTATATCCGGTCTCCCCAGACCCTGCATTCACTATATCCGGTCTCCCCAGACCCCGCATTCACTATATCCGCCCCCCCCGGACCCTGCATTCACTATATCCGCCCCCCCGGACCCTGCATTCACTATATCCGGTCTCCCCAGACCCTGCATTCACTATATCTGGTCTCCCCAGACCCTGCATTCACTATATCCAGTCTCCCCGGACCCTGCATTCGCTATATCCGGTCTCCCCGGACCCTGCATTCACTATATCTGGTCTCCCCGGACCCTGCCTTCACTATATCTGGTCTCCCCGGACCCTGCATTCACTATATCCGGTCTCCCTGGACCTTGCATTCACTATATCTGGTCTCCCCGGACCCAGCATTCACTATATCCGGTCTCCCCGGACCCAGCATTCACTATATCCGGTCTCCCCGGACCCAGCATTCACTATATCCGGTCTCCCCGGACCCTGCATTCACTATATCTGGTCGCCCACAGTACACACAACATGGAAATGCAATTATTTTAGTAGATATAAACTGCTAAATACCTTTTCTCATCAGCAGTTAGAGCAGTCTTGTAGGAGGAGTTTTCATTTTCCTTTGACTGTCCTATGAGGCTGCAAACCCCTGACGACCCTCTGTCTGGACAGTGCCGATTGGCCCTGTGCTGATCACATGCACTCTCCCAAAGAGAAAAAAGCTCTCTAGCCATACACATTAAACTGAGCATGTTCAGGGCGACTCCTAGAGCTCTGTACTATGAGTAGATTGTAAGCTCGAAAGAGCAAGGCCCTTGACCCCCTCGTGTATTGTATTGTTACTGTAATGTCTCATGTACTGTCCCCCCTATAATGTACAGCGCTGAGCAAACCTTTTAGCGCTATATAAATACTGTATAATAATAATAATAGATGGATTGGGGACTTCAGAAAGGGAGGATCAGAGAAGACAGTATCAAACAGCGTTTTTACACAATGCAGAGGTTTAACCCCTTAGGTTCCACAGTGAGTATAACCAGCATGCTTTACTGCATCTACAGACTGATTGTACTGTTGGGGGTTTAGTAACACTTTAAGCTGCAATGGATGGAAGGGTTTACATGCCTCGCGCCCACAGCAAAGTTTACCCAACATGTAGCGATCAGCGGCTGGCAAGCCCGCTGAGAACTATACACTGAAGCAAATGGGGAAGCATTGGAAACACCCTGCAACCACATGCACTGCAAGCACGTTGGGTTTAAAACAGCTGAGGAGGCATCACATCGCTTCCTCACCACCTGTCAGAAGCCTCTGAAGTGCAATCCAAATGCGGATTGGGCTTCAGAAGAAAGATGCATGTCTAAATCTACCCTTAGAACTACCGATGTAGCTCCAAAGAGACAGTGGTACAGGTACAGATTAGTCTTCCTTTACAGTAACCATTTGTTTTTTGTGGTTGTAAAAAAACAAACAAAAAAAGCGCTACCTTTTTTGGACCCAGTTCAAGTGCCATCACCTTTGTGAGCATGTCAAGAGCTCCTTTTGTGGCACCTATAAAAAGAGAAATAAAAAGAAAATAAAGTATAAAAAAAAAAAAAATTGGATTGCTCTTAATGTTAAAGTTGACCCCTGAGCAAATCTAAAGGGACAGAATAATGCAGATTTGTAATTATTAATTGAATAAATGTATTTTTTTTTTTTAATACAAGAAGTTTAACCAATTCAATACCGGGCACTTTTAACCCCTTCCTGCCCAGACCATTTTTCAGGTTTCAGCGCTCTCACACTTTGAATGACAATTGTGCAGTCATACAACATTGAAGAAAATGATAACATTTTAGTTTGGGTACACACAACTAGAGCTTTCTTTTGGTGGTATTTAATCATCGCTGGGGTTTTTATTTTTTGCTAAATTAACAAAAAAGGCCGAAAATTTGGAAAAACAAAAACACGTTTTTCTTTGTTTCTGTTGTAAAAGTTTGCAAATAAATAATTGTTCTTCATAAATTTAGGCAGAGATGTATTCTGCTACATGTCTTTGGTGAAAATAACCCAAATTAGGATGTATTTTTTAGTTTGTAGGAAAGTTATAGAGTTCACAAACTATGGTATAGATCTGAATATTCATCAATCCTGAAGTACTGACGGCCAATCTAATTTCTTGAGGTCCAAGAATGTCAGAACAGGACAGATATCCCCCAAATGACCCCTTTTTGCAGAGTAGACAGTCCGACGTACTTCATAAGAGGCATGGCGAGTTTTTTGAAGTTGTATTTTATTTGGTCATAATTTTTCAGAAAATGAAAAAATAAAAATTATTTTCACTATTTTTTTTTTTTTACATACTGTCACCAGTGCAGTACAGCGTCATCATATAACTGGCATGGCGGTGATCAGGGACACTGACTGGTCACAGTGTGAAAAAAAAAAATAATTTTTTTTTTATTTTAAATTTTTTATTAAATTTTGGGGTTTTTTTTAAGATTTTTTTTCATATTTCACTATGTCCAAAGTAGTACAATGTTACCATAGTAAAATTGTACTACTTTGGGGAAGTGATCAGTATTTTGTTTTTTTACACAATTTGCTTATAGCAAAGAATTACTTTGCTATAAGCAAGCATTTACCTGAATGACATCGATTCATTCAGTTTTGTTTTTTTTTTGTGCTTAGCTGTGATTTGGCCACAGCTAATCACATGACATGTGCATGTGATTAGCTGTGACCATTTACAGCTAGACACTAGTATACAATGGATGGCATAAATGAAGCCATCCATTGTATACAACTGTCATGTGACCTGCTGTGATTGGTCACAGCACGTCACATGGTACTGGCAACGGGGGCCGGTACTCAGATCTGTCATCGGCCGTGTCCGAGGTACACGGCCGGTGACAGATCGTGCGCTGCGCGGCTCTGCAAGCGTGCGAACTGCGCATGTGCGGGAGGACGCCATATGGCGGCCTCCCGGAAAGGTAATACACTTTTGCGGATGCCATTTGGCCATAGGCCGGGTGTCAAATGGTTAAGTATCTCAATTTGACAAAATCAGCCTCTAGCAGTTTACTGTACAGCAGAGCTCATAGAGAGGGAAGGAGAAGCAGAACAAAGAGTATGCCAATAGAAGGTGAGGGCAGAGTTACACAGATATGAATTCAAATGTTTCTGCTTCTCCTCTCACTGTCCATTTACAGAGTCTTCTCACCTCGGAAAATTGGGCAATAGCCTCCAGAGGCCATTTGGAGCATTGATTGTGCAGCTTACAGCCATTGAGAGGGCTAAGCACAGGAAAGACCTCACCAATGTACTGCTAATCCTTCAATTGGCTGGTTGGGTCTTGTTCTTGACTGAGCTGTGTTGGGAGGATATGCCAGGATCACAAAACTGGCTGAACTGTATAACAAATCCTTTGGCATGTAAACCAGTTCACACGTTATATGCTGTATATTTCAATTGTTCATCTATAGTGCTTACAGTATACTGCATGATCTTGTAGGGCCACCTGAGAGGCCTGGCTGGACACGTTGACAATGGCCCCAGGTATGCCACGCTCAACCATCTGACGTGCCACAATCTGACGAATAAAAGAAGAATGTCATTGGATTTATTTTTAATTCTTTATTTCCATCAGTAGATTTTTCGGCAGGGGTAAAGACTGGCGCAGGATACAAATGATTCGAGGCAACAGTGCTTCAATCTCAGCATGTATGGAGTCCTAATGAACTCAGAGGAGCATAGGAGAGTCTTGTTGTTTTCACAGGGGAGTGGGAAAGTTTCTTTTAATTCCTTCTTTTTTCTTGATTTGACACTGCATGGTACATGGTTGGATCGTAAAGAGGAGATTGCCTGACAGCACTGAGTTCCGGCACCTCCAGCATTGAATGTATGTAATAGGAAGGGGTGCTGGAGGGTCTATTGTTGATGGCTGCTGGTGGATCTATTGTCACTGAAGGGGATCTATTTTTGAGTGGTGCTCTATTGTTTCTAGGGAGGTCTAGTATTGCTGGTGGGGGATATATTGTTGATGGCGGTCAATTGTTGGATTTACTGTTGAGGGAGGGGTCTGTTGTCGATTGTTGCTGGCTGCTAGAGAGCCTATTAATGCTGGCTATTGGGAGATCTCTTGTAGCTGTTGGGAGTCTATTGTTGCTGGGATGGTATTTTATTTTGGGGGTCCATTGTTGCTGGAGGAATCTATTGTTGCTGGGGGAGGGGGGGGGTGTTTATCGCTCCTAGTTGCGGGGGATCTATTTTTCTGCTTTTCTTGTTATAACTAACAAATTCCATACAAATTATTTAGCACCACAAAATGATACTTGGCTCTGTATTCTCCAAAAGGAGAAACACTGGGTGATGGTTATGGGGTGGAACCAAATGAAGGTACTCAGAGGTGGGTAGGGGGCGGAACCAAGTGAAGGTGCTCGAAGGTGGGTAGGGGGCAGAACCAAGTAACGGTGCTCAGAGGTGGGTAGGGGGCGGAACCAAGTGACGGTGCTCGGAGGTGGGTAGGGGGTGGAACCAAGTGAAGGTGCTCTGAGGTGGGTAGGGGGCAGAACCAAGTGAAGGTGCTCTGAGGTGGGTAGGGGGCGGAACCAAGTGATGGTGCTCGGAGGTGGGTAGGGGGCAGAACCAAGTGACGGTGCTCGGAGGTGGGGGTAGGGGGCAGAACCACGTGAAGGTGCTCAGAGGTGGGTAGGGGGCAGAACCAAGTGAAGGTGCTCTGAGGTGGGTAGGGGGTGGAACCAAGTGAAGGTGCTTGCAGGTGGGTAGGGGGGCTGAGACAAGAAGTGACTTAGAAGGGGGGAGTTCCTGCCCTTATTTTTTGAGGAATAAAAAGCCCTGCATATATTGAAGTATACTTCCACCTGGCAGTACTAGGGTCATCAGTTTGAATTCCATCCATGCCACCACCTGCCTGGAGTTTGCATGTTCTCCCTGTGCCTGCATGGGTTTCCTCCGGGTACTCCGGTTTCCTCCCACACTCCAAAGACATGCTGGTAGGTTAATTGGCTCCTGTCTAAATTGTCCCTAGTATGTGTCTGTATGAATGTGAGTTAGAGACCTTAGATTGTACGCCCCTTGAGGGTTAGGGACTGAGGTGAATGTACAATATGTATGTAAAGCGCTGAGTAAATTGATGGCGCTATATAAGTACTAATAATAATAATAAGTATAATTTGAGTGTCTGATCACTTTTTTTTTTTTTTGTACAGATTAGCATGGCTAAGAGCGTACTTAGGACTTACCTGAGATACAAGAATTGCAGCTCTCACATTCACTGAAAAGCTCCTAAACAAAAAGCAAATGTCAGGTAAAATACAAAACAGTGATAGCAGATATTCAGGGACAGACAAATTTAAGAATCATTTCTTTCACAAAGAGGCATTTACATTCTGATCATGGGCATTATAGCTGCAAGAGACTTTGCATCCCTATGTTACTTTCTCAAAAAAAAAAAAAAAAAAAATTCTTCCTCTGGATCAACTGTGGGTATAGGATTATAACTTTTTTTTTTCCTATGGTTTAACTGAATGGACTTTTGTCTTTTTTTCAGCCAAACTAACTATGTAATATGTTACTATGTAAACAGGTGAGTAATGTCAGAATAGAGTAGCTCTCCCCCAGAAAACAGCTAGTGAGCTAGTCAAGCACAGATAACAATTGTTAAAGTCCACCTCTGGGCAAAAGAAAAAAAGACACCTATGAAGTGACTCATCCCCCCACCACATTGCAAAGGTTAAATGCCGAGTTTTGCCTAGGATAAAAGGAGTAAGGTGTAAAACTAACTTTTTTTTTTTTTTTTTTTAAAGAGGTTTTATCGCCATATGTACAAAATGTACAGCATAAAAGTACATGAAACATGTTGCCTAATATATGAATCTCAGTACAAAGCTACATCTACAATCAATATCCATTTACAATTTGACATTGCACAATGCAGCTTAACTAGATTCCCAGAGAGATGGAGTCAGCAGAACTACTTCATATATGTAGCATTAAAGGCCAATACAAGTACATACAGCATTTTATGTTATGGAAGGAAAAAAAAAAAAAAAAGGGGACTATGCTTAACAGTACATATGTTCCTCATAGCGGATCTCCTCCATGCCTCATCAGTTTGGTTGCCCTTCTCTGTACTTTCTCCAGTTCCCCAATGTTCTTTTTTGTGAATTGGTGCCCAAAACTGAACTGCATATTCCATATATTAGTTAGTACCCAAGTGTACCTACCTAAGGTTCCAGCACGATCAATCTACTACAAATCTTGGAAGCAGTTGCCCAATGCCTAAAAGCCCAAGAAGCCCTCACAGATCACGTAGAGTACGCTTTGACAGGAAAGGTGGGAACCTTGCCTTTAAAAACCAAAGCTTGAACAATGACCTGTCTGAGTCACTGGGAAATGGTGGATCAAGAGGCTGGTTCCTTTTTACCGAAACCAATGACTGAAAGGTAAACCCATGTGGTACAAACTACATCCAGGGAGTGAAGGAAATTCCCTTCTGATGTACTGGAGCCAGAAGGAGAGATGGAAGAACAATGTCCTAGTTCAGGTGAAAGGCCAACATTACTTTAAGGAGGGATATTACCTTGTCCTTGTGCAAGACCAAATACATGTCGTGTAGAGGTGATGGCGAAAAGGAACACAGTCTTGTGAGTGAGCGTGGAAAGGGGAATATCCCTTAGACTGCTTGAAGCTCGGGCTCCAAAAATGTTCAAACTTAAAAAAATCAATTGTTCTCTATGGTGCCTGTTCATGTGATTAGGTGTGAACAGGCACCATGGAGAACAACTGAGCTTCGAGATACAAATCGCTCAAGTGTAAATGCTTTGAAGAGCCAACATAACCAAATTTAAATCCATACAGCAAGGGCGGACTGACAACTCATGGGTCCCCCCGGGCAATAGGGGATCATGGGGCCCCTGTGTCCTTGCCCACACTCAAAAAAAAGCCTATTAAAGGTACCAGGGGCATTTCATGGAGCCCCCTACTGACCCCGGGCCCTCAGGCAGTGCCCGAGTGCTCGAATGGTCAGTCCGCCCCTGCCTTAGAGTCACAGGAGGTTTGTACATGAGGAGCCACGTGAGAGGCACTCTGTGCAAAAATCATATCCAAAGAGGCTAGCAATCTTTGAAATAAGATCACAAGGGCCAAGATTTGACCTTTTCATGGTACTTAAGACCAAACACTGATCTAGATGCTTGATTTGATTGTAAAAAAGTCAAGATTCATGCCACAGAGTATTTTTGGGGAGACTTTCTTTAAACAGTACAACATGTTAAATCCTAAGCACAGAAGGATTAGCACCGCTGCACTGGGTGACTTGGACCCATGATCCAGTAACAGTTCCCAAGCAGCTTGCAGTGTCCCTCCTAAAAGGACCAGACATTGACAGTTTGGATCATTGTTGTTAATGAATGATAAAGAAATAAGAACAAAACTATGAAAACTAAAATGGAAAACTATACTGCTAGGAATATACACATACCTATCAAATGCTTCTTGTGTGATGTCAAGAAAAGGCTGCAGGTGAGCCACTCCTGCATTATTCACAAGAAGGTCCACCAGCCCGATTGATTCCATGGCAGCCTCAGTCGCCGACCATTCCCCTAAATCCACACAGACCGTCTCCACTCCAGGACACTGAAAAATTAGAAAATTATCTATTACTTCCAAATTACACCGCATCTTTACTTTTTGTTCTTTAGATATACTGTTGATCACTCTATTCTGCTTGTTCTTTTCTGTGCATGGAATGCAGATTGTCTGATCTGTAGAACTTTCCAAATTCAATAAAAATATTGAAATAGAAAATTATAAATTCTTTTCAAAATTTACACAATATAAAAAAAATACACACACACATACTGTGTGTGTGTGTGAGATATATATATATATATATACACACACACTATATTACTAAAAGTATTGGGCCAGCCCTCCAAATCACTGGATTTGGGTGTTCCGATCACCTCCATGGACACAGGTGTATACAATCACCCCCTAGGCATGCAGACTGCTTCTACAAACATTGGTGAAAGAATGGGTCGCTCTCAGGAGCTCAGTGACTCCAAGCGTGGTCCCGTGATAGGTTGTCACCTGTGCAATAAGTCCATCCGTGACATTTCCTGGATACTAAATATTCCACGCTCAACTGTTAGTGGGATTATAACAAAGTGGAAGCAACTGGGAACAGCAGCAACTCAGCCACCAAGTGGTAGGCCACATAAAATGACAGAGCGGGGTCAGCGCATGCTGAAGCACACAGTGCGCAGAAGTCGCCAACTGTCTGCAGAGTCAATAGCTAAAGAACTCCAAACTTGGTGTGGCCTTCAGATTAGCACAACAGTGGGTAGAGAGCTTCAGGGAATGGGTTTCCATGGCCGAGCAGCTGCATCCAAGCCTTACATCACCAAGTGCAATGCAAAGCATCGGATGTCGTGGTGTAAAGCACGCCACCATTGGACTCTAGAGCAGTGGAGACATGTTCTCTGGAATGACCAATCACGGCAATCCAATGGACGTGTCTGGGTTTGGCGGTTGCCAGGAGAACGTATTTGCCTGACTGCATTGTGCCAAGTGTAAAGTTTGGTGGAGGGGAGATTATGGTGTGGGGTTGTTTTTCAGGGGTTGGGCTCGGCCCCCTAGTTCCAGTGAACTCTTAAGGCTGGCGTCAGCATACCAAGACATTTTGGACAATTTCATGCTCCCAACCTTTTGGGAAGAGTTTGGGGATGACCCCTTCCTATTCTAACATGACTACGCACCAGTGCACAAAGCAAGATCCATAAAGACATGGAGGAGTGAGTTTGGGGTGGAGGAACTTGACTGGCCTGCACAGAGTCCTGACCTCAACCCCACAGAACACCTTTGGGATGAATTAGAGCGGAGACTGTGATCCAGGCCTCCTCCCCCGACATCAGTGCCTGACCTGACAAATGTGCTTCTGGAAGAATGGTCCAACCTTCCCATAGACACCCTCCTAAACCTTGTGGACGGCCTTCCCGGAAGAGTTGAAGCTGTTATAGCTGCAAAGGGCGGGGCCAACTCAATATTGAACCCTACGGACTAAGACTGGGGGGCCATTAAAGTTCATGTGCGTGTAAAGGGAGGCCGACCAATACGTTTGGCAATATAGTGTGTGTGTGTATATATATATACACATACATATATCCTGTATAATAATAATATATATACATACACACATACATATATATCCTGTATAATAATAATAATTATATATACATACACACATATACTTTTAACATCTTAAAAACCTATATAACCCAGTCTACTGTAATACTGAAATTCAGCCGTTAGATGGCGGTATGGTAGCGCTCACCTCCCTGGCCAGGCTCTCCAGGTCCTCTGCAGTCCGGCTCACAGCGATCACAGCCGCCCCGGCAGCCCGCAGAGCCTTCACCGTACTCCGGCCGATCCCTGCACAGAGCAGACGTTATCTATACACCGCTCCGACCGATCTCTCCTCCCCCTGCTCCCCCATACTCACCCTTCCCTGCCCCGGTGACCAGAGCCCGGCGCCCAGCGAAGCTGATCTCCATGGCAGAGCTCTGAGCGGACTGACAGCGGAGGGGGAGGGGAGGGGATTTAAAGGGGGAGGGGCCCTGAAGTTCAAGATGAAACTTGCTGAAACTTATACCTTTTTTTTTTGTTTTGTTCAGAGCTGATCTGGATGTCAACAGGAAACTAACTACTGACCTGGAACATCCACAGAGATCCCTCTGATCCCAGAGCGGTGTGTACAGGGAGGGCAGGCACCATGCTTTGGTGAAGATTTTTAACTCTTTCTCTAGCAGAGAGCCTGGAGAATGAAATGGTGATTGTTCCAAGTTTTTATGTCACACAATATTAGAGCATCAGTTTATCAGATGCAAACTTTCAATTAAAACAAAATACACTAAAAGCAATATATTATCCTATTGTTTGGTAAAATATAAAACATCGTGTTACATCCAAGCACACGGCTCAAAAATGTAAAGGAACACTATGAAAACACATCAGATCTCAATGGGGGAAATCTCCTGCTGGATCTCTATACTGATAAGGACGGGGTAATGTGTTAGGAAGGTAAGGATGCCCCATTGTTTGATGGAAATGAAAATGATTGACTTACAGAGGACTGAATTCAAAGACACCCCGAAAATCAAAGTGAAAAAATGATGCAGCAGGCGAGTCCATTTTGCTGAATTTTCATTGCAGCAACTCAGAATGGTCCTCTGTAGTTTGTATGGCCCCCACGTGCTTGTATGCATGCCTGACAACGTTGGGGGAGGCTATTAATGAGACCACGGATGGTGTCCTTGGGGATTTCCTCTCAGATCTGGACCAGGGCATCACTGAGCTCCTGGACAGTCTGAGGTGCAACCTGGTGGCGTCAGATGGAAAGAAACAAGATATCCCAGAGGGGTTCTATTGGATTTAGGTCAGGTGAGCGTGGGGACCATTCAATGGTATCAATTCCTTCATCCTCCAGGAACTGCCTGCATACTCTCACCATGAGGCCAGCATTGTAGTGCACCAGGAGGAACTCAGGACCCACTGCACCAGTGTAGGGTCTGACAATGGGTCCAAGGATTTCATCCCGATACCTAATGGCAGTCAGGGTGCCATTGTCTAGCCTGTAGAGGTCTGTGTGTCCCTCCATGGATATGCCTCCCCAGACCATCACTGACCCACCACCAAAACAGTCATGCTGAACGATGTTACAGGCAGCATAACGTTCTCCACGGCTTCTCCAGACCCTTCCACGTCTGTCACATGTGCTCAGGGTGAACCTGCTCTCATCTGTGAAAAGGACGGGATGCCAGTGGTGGACCTGTCAATTCTGGTATTCAATGGAATATGCCAATCAAGCTCTATGCTGCCAAGTAGTGAGCACAGGGCCCACTCGAGGACATCGGGCCCTCAGGCCATCCTTATGAAGTCTGTTTCTGAGACATTCACACCAGTGGCCTGCTGGAGGTCATTTTGTAGGGCTCTGGCAGTGCTCATCCTGTTCTGCGCACAAAGGAGCAGATACCGGTCCTGCTGATGGGTTAAGCACCTTCTACAACCCTGTCCAGCTCTCCTAGAGTAACTGCCTGTCTCCTGGAATCTCCATGCAACTGGGTAGCTTCCACCTTACAGCCAGCAATGTCAGATTCACCACTATCCCCTGCTGTGTACAACGCAATGCTAACAAATGCCTTATGACAGCAAAAAGGATATATTTCAGCCAACCACATAGAGCATATGTGCGTTAACTATGTACATTACAGAGGGTGGACTTCATTGCCCACATGCCGCACATGTATATGTCCACAGGCAGCAAAGCTTTCTGTGCTGACAGTGCCCTCACAGCTGTCAGTCTCTACTAATGATTGGGAGCTGACCGGATCAACTCCTGCTCATGTGACTACTCTGACAGCCAATGACAGTGGTCACGTGATTTACTGGTCCTTCCCGGTCACCCAGGCTAAAGACCCTGGGAAAGAACACCAGGACCAGACAGGAAGGGGCTAAATCACCCTTCAGCTCTAGTTTTGGAATGTTAAACACTGATCTTAATAAGGGTGCAAACTATCACTTTAAACAAGCTGCTAGCAGGCTTCAAAAACTACTTGAAGCCGATTCAGAGACTGATGTAGCCTGCTAGCAGCCTATTTAAAGTGGCAATCAGCATTCCCATTAGGATCTGTGTTTAAAGAACCCTCACTGCAATTTTTTTTTTGTGTGTTATGTCCCTCTGGAGACAAAGTCTATGTAGTACATTGTCCCATTGTAAGCTTAGTGGTGAGCACCCCTCCTCCCCAACCGTCCAATAATCTAGCTAGCAAGAAGGCGGCTGCTTGATAACCAGTGTGTTCCCAGGCTCCAAACAACTGTAAGGGGGGTGTCAGACTCTTCATCCTGCATTGCTCTTGCTGCTGCTTTTCTTGAGCAAGCGTTTGGACTCTAGACAACCGCTGGTCATCAAGCAGCTGTCTCTTTGCTAGCTATGTTGTTGGCCGGCCTCGTGGAGGGAGAGGTGCCCTGTCCGACCTAGGAGCTAGTCTTATAGAGCAGGAACTTGGGATAAAAGCACTACATATACTTTATCCACTGAGGGACAGAACACTGAGAAAAAAAATAAAATAGAAATGGGAGTTCTTCCTTGTCATTTCCACACTGGAGATGGTGTTTTGTTTAACCCTTTTAGCTCCCAGATATGTTTTTATTTACTTTTTGCCCATATGTTAAAATACACATTTTAGGCCTTGAGTATAGTTAAAACCCCCCCAAAAAACACATTTTCTGAAAATAGAGCCCCGGAGAATAAAATTATGGCAGTTGCAATTTCTTGTAGGCCACATATTAGTGTAATGCTTCATCAAATCTATATTTTCAGAAAAAAAATAAAATTTTATATATACATATATATTTATATTCTATGAGGCTGCATAACCCCTGGCCCTGTCTGGACACTGCTGATTGGCCCTCTGCTGATCACATGCACGCTCCCCAGATACAAAAAAACAAAAACCACACTCTAGCAATACACACCAAACTGAACATGTGCAACTTTCCTCAAGGCTCTGTTCTATCAGCAGATGGATTGGGGATGGTAAAAGAAGGGGAGGATCAGAGAAGTCCAGATCAAAAAGCCTCTTTACACAATGCGGAGGATTATGCCCTTAGGTTCCACAGTGAGTATAACAAGCATGCTTTACTGTATATACAGACTGATTGTACTGCTGTGGGTTTAGTTACACTTTAATACGGTTTAAAAAGGGGACAGACCTTTCTATGAAGACTATGGTTGCTTTAGAAATAAAACAGACTGTAAGACAATGAACACCTCGTTTTAATGCACCGGAAATGTTTAAACTGAGGGTTCAGTTGGGTTTTGATATATTTTACTGGATGGTTTTCCTTAACAGTTGTGGGTTGTTTCTCAACAGGCAAGTCCAATCAGAGCAAACAGCACATATACCCAATCCACAAAATGTTCACATAGCAATTCAACTGAGAAAAAAAAAATTCAAACTTTATTTACATTTATCAACAACAACTGTACAGATCATTCACTGAATATTTGTGCAATTTAAATAAATTATAATCTCGCATGGCACTGTCCATGTAAGGAGAGTACAATAGGAATACAGACATTATATTACATAAAACAGAGGGGATCATCTGGAATGTGGGGAAAGGCCGTCATGAACACACCTTAAAGTGGACCTGTGCTGGACCCATAAATGTTTACCCCATTGCCCACCAGGGTGGGGAGAATTGCCCGGTACCATCCAGTTATGGGGAGCATGACTCTTTCCATGTTTCTCCCACAGTGCACCACAAGCGTCCAGACACCAAGCCAAGAATGACTTGCAGATTATGCAGGACAAGGCAGTGAGAGCGAATGGAAGGTGCAACTGTCCACCAAGTGGGGGGACATGATGAAAGCACAGAATCCTATCAATTTTTAGTACCTTGTGGTTGTATTTACATCTAGTACCTGTATGAGAGGATTATATTTGTAAAGAGGTTTTCCCCCTTTCTTTATAAAAAGGATAAATAAAATATTCAGCTTAAAGAGACACCAACTAGATGCAAAACGTGTGTCTGGTTTGGTTCTGATAGAAAAAGGTATTCCGGTACACGTGCTGTCTGCTGACTCCAAAGCAGTGACTTGGTGTGCACGCTCAGCACTCGAGCTGAGCGTGCACACTGAGTCACTGCTTTAGACTCAAGTATCAAGCAGTGACTCATTTGGCACGCTCAGTTCGAGTCCAAGGCATTGACTCTGTGTATATGCTCAGCTCTCAAGTCCAAAGCTGTGACTTTGTGTGCACACTCCGCTCTCCCAAGTGCAAGGCAGTGGACTCAGGGTGCACAATCAGCTCAAACCTAAAGCAGTGACTCAGTGTGCACGCTCAGTTCTAGTCCAAGGCAATGTGTACGTTCAGCTCTCAAGTCCAAAGCAGAGACTTATTGTGCAACCTCAACTTGTGAGTCCAAGACAGTGATTCAGTGTGCACACTCAGCTCGCGAGTCCAAGGCAGAGACTTATTGTGCAACCTCAACTTGTGAGTCCAAGACAGTGATTCAGTGTGCACACTCAGCTCGCGAGTCCAAGGCAGAGACTCACTGCGCATGCTCAGCTTGTGAGTCCAAGACAGTGATTCAGTGTGCACACTCAGCTCGCGAGTCGAAGGCAGAGACTCACTGCGCATGCTCAGCTTGTGAGTCCAAGACAGTGATTCAGTGTGCACACTCAGCTCGCGAGTCCAAGGCAGAGACTCACTGCGCATGCTCAGCTTGTGAGTCCAAGACAGTGAGATTCAGTGTGCACACTCAGCTCACGAGTCCAAGGCAGAGACTCACTGTGCATGCTCAGCTTGTGGTTAGCATGCACACTCAGCCACAAACACACATTGCATGCATCAGGGTATGACTGCCCCATCTTAACCAAATCCTACATGTGATTTGTTTTGTGGTAAGCTCTCTTTAAAGTGGAGTTCCAGCCATTTTTGTGTTTATTAAAAGTCGGCAGCTACAGTTTTTGTAGCTGCTGACTTTTAATAAACACACACTCACCTGTCCCAGGGTCCAGCAACGTTCGCACCAGTGCGGTCCCTTCTCTCTTCTAGGGTGCATCTCAAATGTGGGCACCAGGCTGTGACAGCATGCGGCTTCACAGGCTTCACAGCCTGGTGCTCATTGCACTGCGCCTTCTAATTGGTCCAGCAGTCTCCTGGGACCTGTGGAAGTTCCCAGGAGACTGTGGGAGAGAGGAAGGGGCCGAAATTCCGGCTCACTTCGCCGCAGCGAACTGAGTAGGAAGAGGGAGCAGGTACCTGTCAAAAACAGGAATCCACTCCCCCCTAAAAGGTGCCAAATATGGCAGTAGAGGGGGGGGTGGCAAATAAGCAGAGCTTCCACTTTTGAGTGGAACTTTGCTTTAAGCGTGCTTTGCACTGTTATGTGTCAGAAACAAACATGCGCCCCAGTCTTTTGTCAGGAAGCAAAAATACAAACAAGATGCACCCCTGTGCATTACATAGGTTAAAAAAACACTTCAAGTATGAAAAACATGTTAGAAAAAAAAAACAGCACTGTGAAGAAACCCCAAGTCCTGATATGCCATTATCCTTTTTTGGGAAAAAAAAAAAAATCAAATTGGAAACAGAAAAAAAAAAAAAGAACAAAAAAAAAACCTGCAGTCATTGTGTCGAAAACGATCAGATTTTTCTGCCATGTTTGGCCGGGTAATTCTGATGTCATAGGCGGCTGATGCCAACGTCTTATGTTTTCGATTGCATTGCAAATGGCCACTTCTATAGCCAGCTGTAGGATTAGAATACACAGGCACGATATGGCATTTGCAAGGGGTTGGAAGGACTAATAGACACTCCTTGATATCTTACGCTCTGACAGGCAGACAGTTCCGTCTGGTGAATGGAAGCCGTCATGCTAAAATAATTCACGTTTGCAACACAATGGACTGTAAAGGAACTCCGCAGGGAGAGGCAACCTTGTGTCTGCCAAATCTTGTTCTACGTGAGGACAACTTTAAAGGCTTAGCTCACCTTTTGTAGCATAACTTACATTTTGTTAAGGAATTGAAGCCTTTGAGATCTGCTTTCGTGGCCCAGTCATTTTTTATTTTGTTAGTTCTTACTACACCTTATCCCTGACCGTGGGGAATTTGCCTCTACTCAGGCAGCGATTTTAAAAGATGCACTCCCATCTCTGAGCTTCGTGTTGCATCCACCTGACTATACTTTGTAACTTTGGTGCAACAGTGCTTCTTGACCCTGTCCAACAAAGAAAGCATGAAAATTACCTGAGAGATGGGGAACCGATTGCTCTGGCTAAACTGCTTTTGAAATGTAGCAATTGGCTGCTGGTGCACAGGGTGTTTTAGTAGATACCAGAGGTAGGTATTGGATATAAAAAGCTACTGCTGGTTGCTCCAGCTCTTAGCGATGACTGTAAAATTCCATAGAAATGGATACTACATTGTTTTACTGGATTCAGCTGTAAAAAAAAAAAAAAAAAAAAAAGTGAACTGAGCCTTTAAATTCATTGAATAGCTTCAAATAGCATCATTGCCGCACACACATCAGAGCACAAAGCATACCTTAGTCTACAGGCAGAATTCACCTGCAGTGCTACAGATTATGGAACGATAAGAAATGTGGTATGAATATTAAATGAGTATCATATTTGTTTAAAGGTGGGTGGGTGCCCTTTTACCTTTACTTTCAGAGGCATACAACTTGCACTGATGGAGTAGGATTTTCGGCTGTTTAGAATACGTCCCATGTCCAAGCACTGTAATAATGCTCCCAGAGGTCATTCTGCAATACTGTGTTTCACCTGTAGGTGTTGCTTCAGGCAAAATCTATAGATTTCACCTTTGCTCTCAGTGAAATGACAGTAATACAATTTTTTGTCACTATAGTTGGGAATGCTAAAATGATTACAAAAAAGAAAAAGAAGTTGCAGTTACTGCAAGGGAAAGACATCTATCTGGATATATCAAAGAGGATCTGTAGTACAAATGAAAAACAATAAGCTGCAAGAGGTGGTAGAGATGGTAGACATTGCCCTACTTCTTTATGTGGAGATGGTTTTACTAAATATTTAAAAGAGGGTTTGGAGTCCCATGTCTCTTACCAATGCCCACCTATACAAGCCATATCACCCTTTATCTATAGGGACACTTATGGGGGTTGAGTTGTGGAAACGTTTGCTGTATTGTTGCGCACTGCTCTTGTGAGATGCTGAAAAATGCTGATGCCAATCCTTTCGCAACCAAACCTTGATATAATGCCAGGGTAGCAAGCAGATCTTAAATTCATTAAATCTACATATAAAACTTTGCTATTTTTTTTTTTAAGATAAAGTGAAAAGGAATTTGGATATCTGTCATGTTTTTCAGCTAGGAGATTCTTGTTTTCCTGGTGACCTTTGTCACCCAAGAGTGAAAATGAGAAAAAAAAAATCCAAAATTTTGAGTTGCCCCCAAGGCAGGAATAGAGGGTAAATCACCCAAAAGGAACACTAGCTCTGGAGACAATTGGTTAAAAGGGCATTTCCCTCACTTCCTCCTGTTGTGGCTAGGGACAAGTGGTGAAGGGAAATCTCCACACTGGAATACAGATGGCAGAAACTGATAAGAGGCTATAGCTTTCCCCTCTACTCTGATCAAAAAAAAAAAAAGAAAGAAAAAAGTTTTGGCTTTAGTTCGTTTCAATGTGACACTTCCAAAATCCACAATGTCTACCTCCTCTGCCATCCTTCATGATTACTTGATGAGGACAGGTATGCTTCAATGTGACACTTCCAAAATCCACAATGTCTACCTCCTCTGCTATTCTTCATGATAATTACTTGATGAGGACAGGTATGCTTTTAGACCCCATGTGCCTTTATACATTGTTTCACAGAAACAAAAAGAAAAAAAAAAAAAAAAAAAGGAAGACGGCAAAGATATGCAATGGAACTTATATCAAGGAAGGAGGACGCTTCTTCTGAAGACACCAGTTCACCTCCGGATGAAGCAGACAATGAACAGTTTTAAATCTGCAAGAGAAAAAAAAAAAAAAAAATAGTACATCAGCCTTACAGCAGCAAAGCATAAAGCATCGCCACATCTGCTTTCTCTAGTTACAGCAAAAATAATGTAGTGCCACATCTTAAAAGTATAAAGAGAAAACTAGCCGGACATAATGTACAGCAAAAATGGTGGATTTTTAAGGCAAAGTGAGACCACAACCATATAAAATAACACAATTTATTAGCATAAAACAGCATATAAAACACAGAATACAATATCCCCCAAACACAACAGGAGAAAAGGAAAAATAGTACATAATATCCCCTTAAATGTAGCTTATTGGTGTCAACCATATCATGAATACTGATTTTTTTGAAAGTAGGATAAGAAGGAACAGTCAATGCATTTCGCCTACATATCTGGCTGCTTCAGGACCGGAACCTCTGTGTCGGGGAGAGCAGCACTACTACATGTAAAATACAGAGAAAACAAACAATGTATCCAAAGCCAATTAAATACAACAAAACAGCATAAAAATACAAAAAATAGTGCAGCGTTAACAACCTATACTAAAATACAAATGAGATAAATGGAAATAATCACATATAGAATGCACAATAAATATTCAGTGTTAGGTGCTCATAAAATGAATACTATGTGCAGCAGTCCATAAATGCCAATGATGATGAAAAATCACAGCAAAACTCCGTGAGGTGATCACAGTGCCACTCTGAGGAAGTCACGTGGATCGTGACGTAAATGCGTTAAGGTACGCACTGACATTTCCGGTGGCGTCATTTCCGGCGTCGCCGCCATTTCTGGAGGGATTGTGGAGCAAGTGGAGCTGCATGCATTTCTTAGCATGAAAACCATGGAAACACATCCATGATATGGGAAAAAGCTGATCTTTGTCATTTTACATGTGAGTGGGCATTTTATTTATATTCATGTTATTATTAAAACTGGATTACACTATGGAGGATCTTCTTTGTTTTTAATGGTATCTTAAACGGTTTTGTGGAATTGAGTACCTAGGAGATAGGAGAAGATATTGGAGGGATCTATCCATACATTCCATCCTTTGATGATACCTTATTGGGTGTATAAGGTCACCTACATAGCTGTAGGAGGTGAGGGGCCATCTTGGCCATCTGTGGATTGACCGCACATTGAGTGGCACTGTGATCACCTCACAGAGTTTTGCTGTGATTTTTCACCATCATTGGCATTTATGGACTGCTGCACATAGTATTCATTTTATGAGCACCTAACACTGAATATTTATTGTGCATTCTATATGTGATATTTCCATTTATCTCATTTGTATTTTAGTATAGGTTGTTAGCGCTGCACTATTTTTTGTATTTTATGTTCTTTCCTTGTGGTTGAGGTGAGTCTGTGCTGCTTATTAATAGGTGTTCCATTGAGCGCAGGAGTTTTTTTCATCAACAAAACAGCATAGATGTCTGTGGCTGCCGCTCTCCTATGTAAGCCCAATGTTTGTTATAACTTGTATATGCTATTTTGTTGTATTTAATTAGCTTTGGATACATTGTTTGTTTTCTCTGTATTTTACATGTAGTAGTGCTGCTCTTTCCTACACAGAAGTTTCGGTCCTGAAGCAGCCATATATGTAGGTGAAAACACACTGACCATTCCTTACTTCTTACTCTACTTTAATAAAAATCAGTATTCATATGGTTGACACCGATAAGCTACATGTAAAAGAGATATGTTATGTACTATTTTTCCTTTTCCTCTGTTGTGTTTGGGGGTATTGTATTCTGTGCTTTATACCACTAAATTGTGATATTTTATAGGATTGTGGTCTCTCACTGCACCTTGAAAATCTGACATTTTTGACGTACAATATCTCCGGCTAGTTTTCCCTTTATCCATCTACAAATATACCTGATATAATTCCTAGATGCAAAAAAAATCAATCTTACAGTTGTAACTGTAAATTCTGAATGTAATTAAATCAGACTGCTATTGAACTGAAGCATTGCACACTAAAAAACAAACAAAAACAGAAAAATAAAACAAAAACAAAAAACACAACATCATGGGCCCTGTAGCAAGATCCTGCTTCCAGGTTGAATGATACCCAGTGACATGAGGAAAGATTAGAGGAACTGAATTTTTTCTCTCTTGAGAAGAGGAGATTAAGGGGGGATATGATCTCCATGTATAATGCATAAGGGGGGATATGATCTCCATGTAGAATACATAAGGGGGGATATGATCTCCATGTAGAATACATAAGGGGGGATATGATCTCCATGTGTAATACATAAGGGGGGATATGATCTCCATGTGTAATACATAAGGGGGGATATGATCTCCATGTGTAATACATAAGGGGGGATATGATCTCCATGTGTAATACATAAGGGGGGATATGATCTCCATGTGTAATACATAAGGGGGGATATGATCTCCATGTGTAATACATAAGGGGGGATATGATCTCCATGTGTAATACATAAGGGGGGATATGATCTCCATGTGTAATACATAAGGGGGGATATGATCTCCATGTGTAATACATAAGGGGGGATATGATCTCCATGTGTAATACATAAGGGGGGGATATGATCACCATGTATAATACATAAGGGGGGATATGATCACCATGTATAATACATAAGGGGGGATATGATCTCCATGTATAATACATAAGGGGGGATATGATCTCCATGTATAATACATAAGGGGGATATGATCTCCATGTATAATACATAAGGGGGGATATGATCAACATGTATAATACATAAGGGGGGATATGATCTCCATGTATAATACATAAGGGGGGATATGATCTCCATGTATAATACATAAGGGGGGATATGATCACCATGTATAATACATAAGGGGGGATATGATCTCCATGTATAATACATAAGGGGGGATATGATCAACATGTATAATACATAAGGGGGGATATGATCAACATGTATAATACATAAGGGGGGATATGATCAACATGTATAATACATAAGGGGGGATATGATCACCATGTATAATACATAAGGGGGATATGATCTCCATGTATAATACATAAGGGGGGATATGATCAACATGTATAATACATAAGGGGGGATATGATCAACATGTATAATACATAAGGGGGGATATGATCTCCATGTATAATACATAAGGGGGGATATGATCAACATGTATAATACATAAGGGGGGATATGATCAACATGTATAATACATAAGGGGGGATATGATCAACATGTATAATACATAAGGGGGGATATGATCAACATGTATAAATACATCAGTGGTTCATATTGTGAACTAGGTGTCATCACAGAGGACAAAGGGGGCGCTCTTTACATCTGGAGGAAAAGAAATTTAATCTCCAAAACATGGAAAGGTTTCTTCACAGTAAGAGCTGTGAAAATGTGGAATAGACTCCCTCAAGAGTTGGTTCTGGCCAGCTCAATGGATTGCTTTAAAAAAGTCCTGGATTCTTTCTTGGATACACAGAATATAACTGGATATAACATTTATAGGTAAAGTTGATCCAGGGAATATCCGATTGCCTCTCGGGGGATCAGGAAGGATTTTTTTTCCCAGTAGGAGCACATTGGATCATGCTTTGCTAGGTTATTTTTGCCTTCCTCTGGATCAACTGTGTGGGTGTAGGATTATAACTTTTTTTTTTAATGGTTGAACTGGATGGACTTTTGTCTTTTTTCAGCCAGATTATATATGCAACATCCAAACCATTTTCAATGAGCCTAGGCTGTCAGGGGCACACCTTCTGGGGCTGTTTCATCAATCACCCTGGGACAGAACGGAGAAGACGACCTGCACACTGACGGTAAAGAGGAAGAACCCATTTAGTCACTGCTGAACTAGCCAGAAGACTGCAGGATTTAAAAAAGGTATATACTGTATTAAGGGTAGGAAAAAAAAAACAAAAAAAAAACAAAACAAACCACACAGGGTTGAGCAGATTTCTGAAACTGCAAGCCACAAACCCCCCCCCTAAAAAAAAACCTTTCCACATGGTTTTTTTTTTTTTTTTTTTTAATATAACTTGCTTTGTTAGACAGGATTTGACATACCTTGTTGGGTCCTGCTCTAGGCTGAAAGCTCCAGAAATTCGTACTACATTCCTTCTGTTTTCAGGGCCACCATAGCTCAGGGTTACCTTAGTAGCAGAAATCAGAAAAGAGACTATATTACGCCAAAAGCCTCCAAAAAGCAGTTATTCGGAAATCTCAGGTAAACCTAAAAAACTGTTGTTTTTTTGCTTGTGTTGGGTTTAGAGAAAAAAAAAAAAAAAAAAAAAGTTTTAACCTCTTGCCACCCACGGAATTAATATGTGCAGCAGCAAAACGCCACACGTGTCTACCAGTGACATAGGTTACTGTGTTGTGCTCCCAGCACAGAGAACACGCTGTCAAAGGCTCAGTCTGTACTAATGATTGGGAACTGGCAGGAGCTGCTCCCGATCATGTAACCACTGTGACATTCAATGAAAGTGGTCATGTGATTAGGCAGACTTTCCCACCCCCAGGCATAATAGCCCAGTTAAAGGGAAGAGGAGGAGTTAAAGTGGCAAACAGACAGTACCATATGGTGCCTACTGCTGAAAAGGGCAAAATACCCACCTGAGCTCCAGCGACGTACCTATACGTTGCTGGAGTTTGAGTAGTTATATCAAGATGATACCAGAAGCTGCAGGCATCATTCTCTGCTACAGTGTTTTTTTTTTTGTTTTGTTTTTTTATTTAGAGCCGACAGTCCGCTCTCTTGTAATAGCAATCAGAGCAGCTAATCAGCCGCTCAATTGCTATTACAAGCAGCAGGAGGGGATGTCCCCTCCCACGGCTTTGCCAGGATCTCCTGTCTCACTGGGAGTCTTGTTCGGCCAGCCAGCACAGAGCCAAACAAAGACCGGATCGGCTTTGTTCGGCTCTATGATATAATAACCAGAAGCGATGACCATACGTCACTTCCAGTTTACTCCGATATAAAACGTCACCATTTTTAAAAAAGAAAAAAAGCATTTGATCTCACTGATCTTGGTGTAATTAAATGCTTTTAAGGGTAGAGGAGGAATTTAGGGTCTTATTAATCCCAGATCTCTCCAGAAAGAATGCCTGTCACATGTCTACTGTTGTCATAGGGAATGTTTAATAATCCTTGAAAAAACAATAAAAAGTGATCATAAAAAAAATCTTTTTAAAGCGAGTTAAAAAAAAAAAAAAAAAAAAAAAAAAAAAAAAAAAAGATAAAAAAATGTTTAAGCGCCCCGCCCCTTCATGGCTGTGGGCAAAGATGCACGCAGGCGGTGGTTCCACACGCACCTGAACAGCGATAGCTCCACACATGTACAGTATCCCCCGCATACATCACTGACCCACCACCAAAATAGTCATGTTGAACGATGTTACAGGCAGCAGAACGTTCTCCACGACTTCTCCAGACCCTTTCACGTGTCACATATGCTTAGCCTGCTCTCATCTGTGAAAAGCACAGGGTGCCAGTGGCAGACCTGCCAATTCTGGTGTTCAATGACAAATGTCAATCAACCTCTATGTTGCCGGGCAGTGAGCACAGGGCCTACTAGAGGAGGTCGGGCCCTCAGGCCACCCTCAAAGCCAGTTTCTTTTTTTTTTTTTTATAATTTAAATATTTATTGATTTTCATTTTAAATACATTTCATCATCATAATATACAAACATATATATACATCTATACATTATAATATCCAACGTTTCCACTTTATTTACTCTATTTAAAACTCCCCCCCCCCCCCCCCCCCCTCCTCCACCCCCACCCTAATCCCATCTTCCTACTTTTCCTTTTCTCTGCATCATTTTATCTCAGCAAGTACAATTTTCCTATTATTTTCTTTAATCTTTCCTATATTTCATATATAACTTAGCTTTTTCCCAGTTCTCCCATTTCCTATTATAGGTCTCCATCCTATCTTCCTGGGCATAACACAACCTTTCCATCTTTTTAATCTGCTCAACTCCTTCAATCCAGTCTTCTTCCTTCGGCGCCTCTATTTGCCTCCAGAACCTGGGTATCAGAGCTTTTGCAGCATTTATGTAGCACCATATCCCTGATTTTTTTATATTTATTAACTGATATATCCATGTTATGCAAAATACACACTTCTGGGTCTAGGCCAATGTCTATTTCTGTTATTTTTCTTATCAAATGGGTTATTGTCTTCCAGAATGCCTGAATTTTTGGGCACCCCCACCATATGTGATATGTTGTGCCTATTTCACCACATCCCCTCCAACACCACGGTGAACTCTCTACACACATCTTATTTTCTACGTTTGGTGTAATGTGCCATCTTGTCAAACACTTATAGTTCATCTCTACTACTCTCATAGAAATGTTTTTGTGGGTTAATCTATAGATTCTCCTCTGCTTCTCCTCATCTATCACGCTTCCCATATCATTTTCCCATTTTGTTATATATGTTGGCTTTGTGTTTGTATCTAATTCAGTGATTATTTTATATACCTTGGCAATCCCGTGCTTCCCATCACCTTGTACTCCCAAAACCTTTTCAAACAAGTTCCAATTGTCTCTTGTCCTTAAAGGTTTTGGCAGACTTCCAACAAAACTCCTCAATTGAAAATACCTCCACTCGTCTAATTTAGTAAAAATCTCACCCTCTTTTTTTTTCAATTCCCCGAATGATCCTATTTTATCCCCCACCAAAATATCTCTTACTTGGACCTCTTCCTTTTTAAACCACCTACCACCTATTTCTTCTCTACCAGGGGGGAAAAACTCTGTGCTCAAAGCCAGTTTCTGATTGTTTGGTCAGAGACCTTCACACCAGTGGCCTGTTGAAGGTCATTTTGTAGGGCTCTGGCAGTGTTCATCCTGTTCCTCCTTGCACAAAGGAACAGATACCGATTCTGTTTATGGGTTAAAAATCTTCTACGGCCCTTTCCTGCTATCAGAGTAACTGCCTGTCTCCTGGAATCTCCTCCAAGCTCGAGACTGTGCTGCGAGACAGCAAACTTTATGGCAATGACACGTATTGATGTGACATCCTGGAGGAGTTGGACTGCCTGTGCAAACTCTGTAGGGTCCAGGTATCGCCTCATGCTACCAGTAGTGACACTGACCCTAGCCAAATGCAAAACTAGTGAAAAACAGTCAGAAAAGAGGAGTAGGGAAAAAAAAATGTCAGTGGCCTCCACCTGTAAAACCGTTCCTGTTTTGGGGATCGTCTCATTGCTGCCCATCCAGTGCGCCTGTTAATTTCATGAACACAAAAGCAGCTGAAACTGATTAACAACCCCCTCTGCTACTTACATGACCAGATCAATATACCAGGAGTTTAATTTACTTGATGCTATAGAAAGTCTCTTTAATTTTTTTGAGCAGTGTACATTGTTGTTAAACTTAGTGGCTGTAGCAGCTCTCTTTTGCTCCATGTGCACATGGAGTGGACAACTATCAGGCAGGATATATGTGGAGGATACAATTCCTAAGATCCGAAGATTATGACTTTTGCTTGAATATCCATTCAGCAATATCTATTCATGATTGTACAAACACAACCAACATGTAAAAACCACCTTTAACAGAGCAGTAAAAACGGAAGTAAAAAATGAAGAGGTTACATGCCAGATGCCAATGTAGTCATCATCCCCTAAAACAGGAACACTCACCTGCTGCAGTAAAGAATTCTGAGGGAGTCTCTGGAGATTTTCCAGGTGTGAGTGGAAGAGGCTGCTGTGCTGCATTTTCACCTCCAGCAATCCTTCAATAATGTACCCGATGGTGCAATCATCAGGGAGTCGAACCTTCTCTGCCGTGCTAATAAAATTTCCCATGCTAAAGATGAGGCAAAGAATTGTATCACCATCCACAGAGCAGCAACAAATCATAGGGGATGAATGAATAAAATTGCCTACTGACCACAGCAACCAATCAGGTTTTAGCTGGTGCCATTTAAGGTGCATCAGCCACTTTCTACCCTCAGGGCAAAGCGACAGGATCCCCTAACCCCCTTCATGATGGAAGGTAAAACATAGAAACAAAGAAAAGTGACGGCAGAAAAAGACCGAGTGGTCCATAGCAGGGGCGGACTGACCATTTGGAAACTCGGGCACTGCCCGAGGGCCCGGGGTCAGTAGCAGTAGGGGGCCCCATGAGATGCCCCTGGTACCTTTTTTGAGTTTGGGCAAGGACACAGGGGCCCCATGATCCCCTATTGCCCGGGGGCCCCATGAGTTGTCAGTCCGCCCCTGGTCCATAGAGTCTGCTTTTTTGTTGTTTTGGGTTTTTTTTTTTGGGGGGGGGGGGTTGTTTTTGTTAACTTTTATGTCCGAGTATAGATCTATGCTTGTCCCAAGAATGTTTAAAGTGCTATTTAAATGTTTAAAGTGCTATTTAGTCCAAGCATCAACTACTCTTTCAGTAAAGTAGTACTTTCCTCCTGTTAGTTAAAGGTCAGATGATCCTGCCTTCCTGAACCTTATTCATCCCCTCGGTATATTTAAAGGTTTCATCCAGACAGTACATCTTAAGTTCCTGAAGTCGCTCTTGATATGTTTTATCCCCCAGACCTTTCACAATTTTTGTTACCCGTCTCTGGACTCGCTCTATCTAAACCTTAACAGAAAGGTAGTTTTCCAACTTTGGCATGTGCTAGGGAAACGCAAGTACACTTAAGAGCCAAAAGTTTGTGAACACCTGACCATCCCTTTCCAAAACCAAGGAAATTAATAGAGTTGGTCCCTCCTTTGCTTCTAGAACAGCCTTGATTTCTCTGGGAAGGCTCTCCACAAAACTTTACAGTGTGTCTTTGGGAATTAGCCAAAAGAACATTTGTAAGGTCAGAAAAGAACATTGGTAAGGTTAGGTTCTGATACATCCAGGATACAACTCCCAGGCTTGGTATTTTCCCACATCAGCTGTTGGGTTCTGTCTACTTTCTGGGTGGTCACCTCCTCATTCTACTCATAAATGATGTGAAGCCGTGAACCACTAACTCATGAAGCTTAAAAAAAAGTATTCGTCCAGCACACTCCACCCCACCCATAACTTCCACCGATGAGTTTCACTTCCTTCCTGGAGCTTAATTTTTAAGCCAGGTACTAATGTTGAATGAGAAGATCTGGCTTGCAATGGGCTTTCCAATTCATTCCACCACAGATCTTCAGAAGTGGTGAGGGCTCCGTGCAGGTCTCTCAATCTCTCGATCTCCCTCCCTCGATCTCCCTCCCTCCCTCGATCTCCCTCTCGCAATACTCACCTCAGCTCCAGTAATGCGGAATCCTCGAGCTACGTCGCTGATCACTGCCATTGGCCCAGGCATAGATGATGTCTCTTCCACGCATGCATGGGAGCTCCCGATCTCCCTCGCTCCCCCTCTCCCGATTTCCCTCCCTCTCCCGATCTCCCTCCCTCTTCCGATCTCCCTCCCTCTTCCGATCTCCCTCCCTCTCTCAATACTCACCTCAGCTCCAGTAATGCGGAATCCTCGAGCTCCGTTGCTGATCACTGCCATTGGCCCAGGCATAGATGATGTCTCTTCCACGCATGCATGGGAGCTCCCAATCTCCCTCGCTCCCCCTCTCCTGATCTCCCTCCCTCTCCCGATCTCCCTCCCTCAATACTCACCTCAGCTCCAGTAATGCGGAATCCTCGAGCTCCGTCGCTGATCACTGCCATTGGCCCAGGCATAGATGATGTCTCTTCCACACATGCATGGGAGCTCAGTCAAATTTGGCACTGCCGGATTTGCACAGTGAACTGCGCATGTGAGGCTCACTACACAGCAGCAGACAGACAGGCAAGTAGCTTTAATGCACGAGACAAAGCATGTGTCTTCTGCATTAAAAATTCTGCCAGTCCGCCAATTTTAATTGCTTATCCTAAAGTTCCACTTTACGGAGCTGGCTTTGTACACAGCTGGAACAGAAAAGGGAATTCTCTGAGCCATTACCACAAGGTTGGAAGTACACAATTTTCTAAACATCTTTGTATGCTGTTGCATTAAAAATACTCTTCACTGGAAACACTTGCAATCAGTAATTTGAAGGAAATCTCCACAAACTTTATATGCTATAGTGCAGGTGTGATGGTCAGGTGTCCACAAATCTATGGCCACATAGTAAGGGCTGGGGTGGGCTATAGAGACCTAACAGATTTTAAATCGGTGGAGGTTGGCAATGCAAAGACTTTCTATTCTTCAAGCTCTACTGTGATTCACTCACCTAGCCCATGGACTCATCTTCAGGGCCAGGCCTCGGCTGATACAGAACCCAGCACCACCAGTTGCAAACCAGAACTTCAGAGATGACTTTAAAAAAAAAAATAAAAAAACAAACAATAAGTGAAGTGTCACCCCCGTCCTTCCCTCTGAATGTGTGCCTTTCTTACATTGCTATGTGTTTAAATAGAAGATGGAATTTTCAGGCAGATATTTATCTCACTGCTTTACCATTAATACAGCCAGCTAAGTGGAAATGAATTTGGACTATCTCACCGAGCCATCGCCTTTTCACCTTGTCCAGAGTCTCCACAGGGTGGTCCAGACTAGGTCGTCCGACGTAAACATCCGTATTGTGTGGGAAGGCAGAGAGCAGATCTACCAGGGCATGCAGATTCAGGTAATTGTCATCATCCACGTGACAGAACCATCTACAATAAGTATAAGAAATCAGCATTCCACCATTGCGATGGACCTTGCATGAAAGTGCTTCTACAATGTGAATCTGGAAAAACAATAAGGTTTTTTTGTTAAGAACCAGGCCCCTCCCCCAATCAATCAGGGGGATGGGGGGGAGCGGGTACCCGAATTTGACAGGTAACCGCTCCCACATCTGGTCCGATCGCCTGGGCGATCGAAAACAGAAGGTATCCCCCCTCCCTCCTCGTAGTCTTCTGGGACACGTGACTGGTCCCAGAAAAAAACAGGACCATTCATGAAGCGGAGCGCTACTCGCGCATGCGCAGTGGGTACCAGACTGTGAAGCCTCAAGCTGTCACAGCCGGGTGCCCACACTGAAGATGCCGGCCTCCAGGGAGGCCGGTGAAACCTGCTGCGGGGACACACCATGGGACCGAGGGACAGGTAAGTGGCTGCTTTTTAAAAGTCAGCAGCTACAGTTTTTGTAGCTGCTGACTTTTATTTTTCGACAGGATGAGTGGAACTCCGCTTGAAGTTTAGGAGCAGTTGTGTGTTTTTTTTCAGCAGCCCCTGCACTCTCCTTTATGTTTTCCTATGTGTCTATGTACACATCGTCGTTTACAGGCAGTTGAGGTTACAGGCATTTTTTTGAAAGCACAAAAATTGTGTTCAGGAGTCGAGTTTACCGGTGTTTCAAACGCCAAACGCTTCTAAGCGCGTGAATGCACATGTGCGTTTAGACGGGTTTTTGGGATTGTCCATATCCAGATGCTGTCCAGAGCCTTTTTTTATCATCAGAAATGCATGCAAAGCGTTTTCCATGTATTCAAATGGACCCGGCACACTAGCGCAGTCAGTTCCAGGTTTCGCATGAAGGAAAACAATGGTAGAACGCGCCGCATTATGCTCATGATGGGATCCATAGTGAATACAATCAGAAAAGACAGGTCATCTCAACACATACTGCTCTCTCTGCTTCTGCTCTCTCTATTTCTCACAAAATGTCTGAAATAGTTAATTTACTATTTTGCACAGTGAGCTCAGGCTTTGGACTCCCCAAAGGGAGTGTCCATGAATACCTGGGCTCACAGGAAGTAGTTTGAATGATGCTGGACATTCATCCTCAATGATATTGGAGGAGAAGCAGTTTAACAAACTACGTAAGGGGTTTTTTGTCAGGGTGGTGAGGATGTGGAGCCCACTTCCATAAGTCCACTTCGGTGTTGTCAGCGAGAAGTATTGATCATTTAATAATAATAAAAAAAAAAAAAAAACTCTAGAAAGGGCATCTTAGCAAACACTATATACAGAGATATAGACTTTTTTTACACACGCACACTGAACTGGATAGACTAGTGTCTTTACTCAATCTTACCAACTATTATTATTATAATACAGGATTTAAATAGCGCCAACGGTTTGCTCAGCGCTTTAAATAACTATGTAACCTGAAAGAGAATCGATGGGGTTGGGCTTTAAGTTCACTTTAACAGAAATAAATAGGAAGCATCCCTTACTTCTTGGAGGAAAGCACAAATTTGTCATATTCGACAGACATCTTACAACACAGAGCTTGACGTGTGTGCACTGCGGTGCAGTTTGTGTTCACCATCTGGCTCCCTAAAAGACAAGGGAAAGTATTCAGGTTTGTTCAAAAGGCAGCTAAGCCAGATACCTTGAAACAATAACTACAGAAGTAAGAAGACTCAGCATTGCAGCCAAGCGACTTGCAGTTTTGGAAGGAGAGGTTAGCAATGGTAGCTTTGATATTTCAGTCATGACTGGTTACCTTTACAGAAAGACAGAAACAAAATACACAAATTATTACCAGCTTTGTATTAATACATTAATGTTTAAATGCAAACAGTGTAAAGTATTTGCATTAGACCTGGCTTCAGCCACTTCCAGTCCCAGTACAACAGAGCTCAGAGTGGAGCAGGAGGAAGCAGCATAAGGCCGAATCAAGTTGGCTGCAATACTCATGTGCCAACAAGAAGCATGAGAAGAGAACAGAATGATCGAGTAATGAGCTCACCGATTCTCCTTTCACTGCTCAGTCTTTTTTTATTTTGGATAGAGTAAGGGAGTGTTATAACCCCTTTTTTCACCATCTATGTCCCATTGGGAAGATTTCCTTTCACTTCCTGTCCCATAGCCAAAATGGAAAAGTGAGAAGAAACCCTCCAAAAGTGAGTGAATCCCTGGTTGTCACCAGAGCTAGTGTCCCCACTGGAAGATTTCCCCTCTAATACTGTCCTAAAGCAGCCCTTTTCAACCAGGGTGCCCAGGCACACTGAAGCGCCTTCAGGCTTCTTCAGAGGTGCCTTCGCAATAGGCCTAATATTGCCAAAAAAATTGTTTACAAGTCAGCAGGTGAATCAAGCCTGCCTTTTAGTACACAAAGCAAGGCGGATTTGATTTAAAACACTAGTGAAAAGGCTCGATTGAAATCATAATTTTTAGGGACCAACTCATCTCTGTCCTGCAGCTCCTCCTCTGACCCGCTGTTGACTCACTGACGGTCCCAGTCACTTTAATGGGACGTCTGGTGTAGCAGTGACACAAAGATGAGGGACGTGGGGGCAGCAGGTGAGTGGATGCCCGCTAACAGACGCTGCCATGATGGATCTAAAATGACAGGTGCTCTTTAAATGCAAGGAATCCGACTCATTCTTGCTGGTAGTGAAGAATCTTTAATATTTGCAAACCAAATGAAGGTTTCCTTTTTAGAATAATAAGCTGTCAGGTTAGTAAAACAGCGATATCAGAACTGATTGCAGGTTAATGGGTTCATCACACATAGCTGGAGAACGACTCAAATTCTTTTATTTCATGTTTTTTCTCATGGTTACTGTGAAATTGTGTGAATGTATCAATGCAGCGCATGTCATCTCAGCTTGCAGAGCTTGGATTCATTGACTGAGTTACCAAAAATGTAAATATTGCAGAATATAGAGCCTCACGCTACATAACTAAGCTCCATTTCATGCTGAATAAACTAAATTATTAATGTATCTTAAATAGAAAAAACTGTCTTTAAATAGATTCTAACTCGAAAAGCATTTTATTAAAATAAACTTGATAAAAATATAAAAAATCTGATTTTTTTAAATTAAAAAAAAAAAAAAACAAAAAAAAAAAAAACACACAAACCTGATTTTTATCCACCCTGACACAAAGCCACAGGTTTTCATTGTGCACTTTTATGGCCTTCTAGCTGCCGGCTTCCTAACACCCAAAGATGTCATCAGTTTATAGGGAGGATGTCAGGTGCCTATACAATCCTTTTTTTTCCCCCTCTGTCAGCACTGGAGTCACATAAACTGAGTGACGGAGAGAAATTGAAGGAGAAACATTGGAATTCTAGTCAGTGCTAGTGTGCAAAGGTATATTTACTTTGGAAGGAAAAAAGAAAAAAAAACCCCAACCCCCCCCAAATAGTATTTTAGAATATGGTGCCTTGAAATTGTGCAGAATTTTACAGGGTGCCTTTAGATTGTCCATAATTTTAAAGGGTGCCTTGACAGAAAAAAAGGTTCAAAAATACATTTCTAAAGAGACAACCCAAAATTTGGGATTCTCTTTCACTTTTAGTGAGAACAGTAAACAGGACAAATAGAGAAGGTGAATCTCCGTAACAGGAGCATTGGCAGCAATCAAATCCTGCCAGGTGTTCTAACCCCTCTCCACTCTATCAAAAAAAAAAAAACAAAAAAAAAAAAAAAACTTTAAACCGTTTTGCTTTTACTTATACTTTAAAAGGAGAAGTTCACCTTTCATAACATGTTACACCCATAGTCAGGGTTTAACATGTTATGATCAGACCGATCCCGATTGTGACAGGGGATTGGGGGATCTTCTCCCCCCTGATAGCTGTCACAATTAAAAAAAAAAAACAAAAAAAAAAAAAACAAAAATCACAGCTGTCCAGGGCTCCGCCCACCCGGCCGTGTCACTCATTCACAGCGTTCTGTGAATAAGAACACAAGTTCCAACAACCTTTGCAGCTGTTGGCTTGTAGTTCTCAGCAAACAAGTCCATTGATTCTTCCTGTCGGTAAGTATCTGCTTGCTAGTACAGGATGTACGAGCAAGCAGATACAAGGACAGGTCAGATGGAGACTTGCACGGCACCAGCGATCTGCTCCAGAAAATAAAATAAATGCACATTTTTTACCTGCAAAAAAAAAAAAAAAAGTGCTTTTATTATTTTTTGTTAAAAGATGAACTTATCCTTTAACCCCTCGCCTACCGGCACTTTCACCCCTTCCTGTCCAGGCCAATTTTCAGCTTTCAGCGCTGTCACACATTGAATGACAATTGCGTGGTCATGCAACACTGTACCCATATGAAATTTTTATCATTTTTTTGAGACAGATAGAGCTTTATTTTAGTGGTAATTAATCACCTCTGGGATTTTTATTATTTGCTAAACAAACCAAGAACTGAAAATTTTGAAGAAAAAAAAAAAAAAAAAAAAAGGTTTCTTTGTTATAAAATTTTGTAAATGAGTAATTTTTCTCCTTCACATATATGGCACTGACGAGAACTGATAAGTGGCACTGATTGTCAGCACTCATAGGTGGCACTGACTGGCACTGATAGGTGGCACTGAAAGGCAGAATGCATATATGGCACTGACGAAAACTGAGAAGTGGCACTGACTGGCAGCTCATACGGGCACTAAGAAATGGCATTGATGGACACTGACAGGTGGCACTGATGGGGCTACACTGATCATCAGTGCTCTGATGATCAGTGTAGATGTCCCCTCTGAGAAATGCTGATTACCAGCTCTCCTCACGAGCTGTCAGCGTGACAGCTCGTGTGGAGAGGAATGCCGATAACCAGCATTTCCTTATTTATATGTGGTCAGCTGTGATTGGACACAGCTGATCACATGACAGAGCCGAAGTCAGTGGCTCTTTCCGCTGATCAGTGATCCGCTGTATCCCAAGGACAAAGCGCACAACCGATCACCGAGCTGTGCACCCCTGGGAACATGCACGCGAGGTTAGAGTTGGAGAACGTCATATGAAAGAGAACCACCGTTCCGTCATTTCCTTATATGGTGGGCGGGAGGCGGTTAAATAAAAGTAGAGAAAAAGCAGGTCTACTGCCCTGCTGGACAGGGCTGTGTGGCAGAGCTCTGAAATACCCAGGACTGGATGGACAGAAGTACAAATCCTTTGGTATGTTTATCTGTGTATTTAGCTGCCTGGAGTTCAGCTTTAAAGCTGAAACGTAATTTGCTTATATTTTGACTTCACTAGCTCTCTTTAGGTACTTGTGAGCAGACCAACAACCACAATCCACAAAAAAAACGTTAATTGAATTATGGTAATCTGGCTACCCATATGGGTATACAGGAGAATTCCATGAACAAAAGAAACACTTTAAAGATCACCCCCCAGTCCAGCTTTGCTTGGTTTACTATTCCCTGATACCCTGGTGTTCCTTACCTGCTCTCTGGCGCAGCTCTTGGTCTTCGAAATCTGTAAAGATAAATGTCTGAAGGAGACAAAAAAAAAATGTTTACAATGGCAGGCAACTGCCTTCTGTCAGACATAGAAACAATGATACTATAGTATAATCACTGCTAAGTATCTTGGTTAAAATTCAGCATACTTGCCATAGAGAGCTTAAAGTGGTTGTAAAGGCTGAAAGAAAAAAAAAAAAAACCTGTGTGCTGCTGCTCCCCCCCCCCCTCCCTCCCCCAATACTCACCTGAGCCCTTTCTCGAACCAGCAATGTGCATGGAAGCCTTTGCTGTCCCAGGCCTCTCTCTCCTCATTGGCTGAGACAGCAGCAGGACACATTGGCTCCCACGGCTGTCAATCCCAGTCCGTGAGCCAATGAGGAGAGGGGGGGCAGCCACGGCTCTGTGTTTTAAGGATGCATAGAGCGGGGCTCGGAAGCTGGCATGCACCAGTGCCCCTATAGCAAGGGGCTTGTTATTGGGAGGGGCACTGGTCATGGGGGAGGAGCGCCAACGAGGGACCCAAGAAGGAGGATGATTGGGGCTGCTGTGTAGAAGGCCATTACACAAAGCAGGTAAGTATAACATGTTTGCTATTTTTTAAAAAATAAAAATTAACCTTTAATATCACTTTAACTTCTTGCCGACCGCGCATAGCCGAATGACGGCTTCACCGCGGCCGGCCAGTTCTGAGTGGACGTCATATGACGTCCTCCCAGAACGCGCTCTCCTGCGCGCCCCAGGGGGCGCGCACCCGGCGATCTCCGTGATTGCTGTGTCCTACAGACACAGCTGATCACGTGATGTGGTGAAAGGCCGATCCCACCGGCCTTTTACCACGTGATCAGCGGTGTCCAATGACACGCTGATCACAGGGAAATGCAAGTGCCGGTTCTCGGCTGCACTTTCCTCACGTTGTCAGATCGTGAGGAAAGTACTGCCGAGAACCGGCAGTTGTCAGAGCGGGGATCGGCACCGATCATCAGGGCACTGATGATCAGTGCCCTGATGATCGGTGCCCAGCAGTGACACCCGCAAGTTCCGCCCAGCAGTGCGCCCACTAGCCCCCCGCCCACCCGTTCCCAGCAGTGCCCCCACCTGTGCCGCCAGTCAGTGCCGCCAGTCAGTGCCGCCAGTCAGTGCCGCCAGTCAGTGCCGCCAGTCAGTGCCGCCAGTCAGTGCCGCCAGTCAGTGCCGCCAGTCAGTACCCATCATCAGTGTCACCTATCAGTGCCGCCTATCAGTGCTGCATATCAGTGCCGCCTATCCGTGACCCCTAATTAGTGCTGTCTATCAGTGCCGCCTATCCGTGCCACCTCATTAGTACTGCCTATCAGTGCCCTTTAGTGCTGCCTATCAGTGCCCATCAGAGCCGCCTATCAGTGCCCATCAGTACCGCCTCATCAACGCAAATCAGTGAAGGAGAAAAAATACCTGTTTGAAAAATTTTATAAAAGAAACAAATAAACTTTTTTTTTTCAAATTTTTTGCACATTTTTAATTTATAGCGCAAAAAGTAAAGCGCCCAGTGGCGATTAAATACCACCAAAAGAAAGCTCTATTTGTGAGAAAAAAATGATCAAAATTTCATATGGGTACAATGTTGCATGACCGCGCAATTGTCAATCAAAGTGCGGCAGCGCTGAAAGCTGAAAATTGGCCTGGTAAGGAAGGGGGTATAAGTGCCTGGTAGGCAAGTGGTTAAAGGGTATTTTTTTTCTATAGAGCATTAAAATCAATCACTGCCATTATAAAAATGTACGGGTCTCAAAGGTTCATATGTAGAGGGCTTGCTGTATCTAAAAATCTTTGCTTTAATTTTTTTTATTTTTTTTATTTGAGGTAGAGTATGAAAGGATTACAGCCCCCAGTTTGTGTATTTTTTACTGTCTATGACCCATTGTGGTGATTATACTTCACTTCCTGTTCTGTAGGCCCAGCAGGAAGTGAAAGGAAATTTCTTCAATGTGAGGGGGACTTCTTTCTTATATAAAAATTGCCACAGTAAGAGCTGTCCCTATTGAAAGGGTTACCCTTACCACTTTTTCTGGTGACAACTCTTTGGCCTCATGCACACTGGGCACTTATCCCTGGTGCATGAGAATCCAGCATTTAAGTGTGGGCGGAAGGCACAGGGACACTGAGCCCCACAGCACTGCATTGTTCAGCCACAGCAGCTGTCAGCCTGTCATACACTATGACAGGCTGCCGGCAAAGTGCTACTTACGCTTAGGACAGTATGCGCTGAGGGACGAAAGCCCACAACACACTAGTCCCTGAGCACATACTGCTCTAATTCTTGGTAGCACTGATTGATTACAAATCTAGACTATCCAATACAAGAAGAAGAAGTCACAAACACATTTCTAGACTAAGGCTTTTCTAGCTGAAATGCATTCGAGTTTTGTTCTGGGATAACCTGGATTTTTACTCAATAAAGTGTAACAAGGTTCATAGCTGGACTCCAGCATTTTCATCTACTTCATCAATGGCTGACCCCCCTACTCTTTCATGACAGGGCCACTTTAAATGTAAGAGGTGTCATCCACCTTGCTCTGCGGTGTTATGAGGCATTGCAATCTAAGGGTTTGGTGAACAGTACTACAAATCCTATGACTCAAGAATACAGTATGTATTTTATCAGTGTATTTGGCAGTTTGCCTGGAGTTCAGCTTTAAAGGGTTTGTTCACTTTTTCAGAAAAAAATGAAAAGTTGAACACTGTACACCGTTCCACTTCTCCTGCCTGTACTTGCCTCCATGGGTGCTTAGCTGTCATTGCCCGTGCAGCAGTTCTCCCTCTGCTCTGTGCAGCACTTACAGGATGGATCAGAACTGTTCTAATTGGTCAGCACCAACGCACAGCATAGCTCTGATCTATCCTGGGAACAGCGCAGAAAAAAAAAAAAAAAAAAAAAGAGAGAAGAGGGAGAAGAGCAGGGATTTTAGTCACTGAATGGGCACTGACAGTCCATCACCCACAGAGTTAGGCTCCATGTACACAGGACACGTCTGAACAATGGAAACTGAATGCTGGAAAACATAGGTTAAAAAGTCTGTTTAGCCGCGTTTATGTTTAGAAGCATTTTTTAAAGATAAGCACAGGAGAACCTCCCAAATGCCCAGAATGCACTGAAAAGTGGCAATTTATTTACTATTTCAGACTGTTTCAGAGAAATACAGAGAGTAGAAGCAGAGACAGCAGTATGTGTTGAGATTAGCTTAGGTGTGAGTTGCTCATTAACATTTCTTTTGTTTCCAAGGGTGGGAAAGGTGTCTGGTGGCCAGAGTCATTAAGACCTCCTGGCAGGGGGTCTTGATGAGAAATTTGAGGTGTGAATGGTCATTAACATATCTCTTGTTTCTAAGGGTGGGAGAGGTCTGAGGTGTGAATTGGTACCGTATTTGCCGGCGTATAAGACGACTGGGCGTATAAGACGACCCCCCTACTTTTCCTGCTAAAATGTAGTGTTTGGGCTATACTCGCCGTATAAGACTACCCCTCTTCCAATGCACACCAGTGGGAGGAATAGTGCTCCATCATTGGTATCAGTGGGAGGAATAGTGCCCCATCATTGGTGTCAGTGGGAGGAACAGTGCCCCATCATTGGTGTCAGTGGGAGGAACAGTGCCCCATCATTGGTATCAGTGGGAGGAATAGTGCCCCATCATTGGTATCAGTGGGGGGAATAGTGCCCCCTTCATTGGTGTCAGTGGGAGGAATGGTGTCCCATCATTGGTGTCAGTGAGGGGTGGAATAGTGCCCCATCATTGGTGTCAGTGAGGGGTGGAATAGTGCCCCATCATTGGTGTCAGTGAGGGGTGGAATAGTGCCCCATCATTGGTGTCAGTGAGGGGTGGAATAGTGCCCCATCATTGGTGTCAGTGGGGGGTGGAATAGTGCCCCATCATTGGTGTCAGTGGGGGGTGGAATAGTGCCCCATCATTGGTGTTAGTGGGAGGTGGAATAGTGCCCCATCATTGGTGTCAGTGGGGGGTGGAATAGTGCCCCATCATTGGTGTCAGTGGGGGGGAGGAATAGTGCCCCATCATTGGTATCAGTGACACCAATGATGGGGCACTATTCCTCCCACTGAGACTTGCTGACCCTGTTCTCGTATGGTGCTGCTGCAGCCAGCATATGTGGTTGCAGCAGCACCTCTACACAGAACACTTACCTGCTGCTCCGGCACTCAATTTTCGCGGGGCCGCTCGGCTCCGCCCCCTCGCCGGTGATTGGCCGCCTGTGTGCCTTTCCTGAGCTACAGTTCTGGCGGCCAATCACAGGTGAGGAGGCGGAGCCGAGCAGCCGCACGAACATCCAGTGGCCGAACTGAAGGAGACGCCGCGCTTCCTGGACCGGATCGTCGTGGGACTGGATCCAGGTAAGAGACATCAGCCCCTGCAAACCCCTGTACTTAATGCCGCAGCCCCCCTAAACATGTGTACCGGCGTATAAGACGACCCCCGACTTTTGAGAAGATTTTCAAGGGTCAAAAAGTCGTCTTATACGCCGGCAAATACGGTAATTACAATGTGTGACAAGCTTGGTAGGAACATCCTGTGTTCAGTGTTTTGTCCATCTGAGTAACTTGAAAACGCTTTGCATGCATTTTTCATGATGAAAAAAGGCTCTGGACAGCATCGGGAACTGGAAGAGTTAAAAGAAAATTTTTAAAATGCAAATGCTTATAAACGCGATTTGTCGCATTCACAAGCATTTTGCGTTTGAAATGCTGATAAAATTGACTGCTGAACGCAAGTTTTCTGCGTTCAAAAAAACGACTGTAAACTCAAATGCCTGTAAATGAAGTTGTGTACATGGACACATAGGAAAACATTAGGGTGAGTTCAGGGACTGCTGAAAAAAAAAAAACGCTGAACAGATCCTAAACGTGAGTTTATCAGCTGCAGTGTACATGAGCCCTTAGGCACTGCAGGGCCGGGGAGGAGAATGTAGGGTGTCAGTTCACCTTTTTTTCCTCTTAAAAGGTAAACTTACACTTTAATTGTTTGGCAAATAATAATACGAAAACCCATCTAAAAGAAAAAAAATGTTTGCAGTTTCACAAGCCTGGGAAGAGCTGGGACCACCACAAGCTCACCTGCTTATTTGCTTGGGAGATCCAGGTCTGCAGAAGAAGGTCCATACGAGATTTGTGATATTTCTTAGTGGTCTTCACCGCGATAAATAGATCTTCTAACTGAAGAAGTTTGCTTGAACGAAAATCATCCTTCAGGCCAATGTGTACAGGGGACTTCAGTTGGTCTCCCTTCCACTCTTGGGAATGGTTGCTTCGAGTCTGTATGGCAGTGGAAAGCCTGGTGACCTCAGACCGGGGCTCCCGGTAGCTGTGGGAACAGGTGAGATTACAGGCGGGGACCGGCAGTGGCTTGGGTAGGACATGCTGCCTCCGCGAACCGAGAAGGAAGATTATTATGTAGACTGACACGGACAGCAGGAAGCAGATCTTAGTCAATCCGATGTTGGAGATTTTCATTCTTCAGCCCTCTGGAGAAGGGCCCTGGTCAACCAGCTTTGGCATTGCAGACACTGAAGGGACAAACCATTGTCAGATGTTAAAGCTTTATTAATACCAGTCAGGACATGACAACCATATTACGGAGTTACTAAAAAGTGGGGTCCGATACATATCCAGTTAAAGTTTACAGCAGACAACTTGTGCAGAGGACGGCCATTTCCCACCTTGCAATAGGCAGGACAGAACATAGGATCACATACAATCTCCAACAAACCACAGTGGCTAAGTGGCAGCACTAGGGCCATCAGTGTGAATCCCAAACATGGCACTACACATTAAACAATTTTCTTGTTCAATTTCCTTTAGATTTACCTTCACTATGTAGTACAAGGGCCTGTCTAACTGCATACACATTGAAAGTGTTTAGGTCTGACCTCATATTATATGGTTTTGGTAAACCTAAAGGAAAATTGTACCAAAAAATTGTATTGTGTATGGTCAACCTTACAGTTGTCATTCCTTGGCTACTGTGGCTAAGGATGCAGCTAATCAAGCAAAATCTGTGCTTGATTAGCTGCAGGGGGGACATTAGGGATATAATAGATACCTGATGTCTTCATAAAGAGCCTTGATGAAGGGGAGACATTAGGGGTCTAATAGATCTCTGTCTTCATAAGGAGCCCTGATGAAGGGGAGAGATTAGGGGTCTAATAGATCCCTGATGTGTTCATAAGGGTCCCTGATGAAGAGGAGACATTAGGGGTCTAATAGATCCCTGATGTGTTCATAAGGGTCCCTGATGAAGAGGAGACATTAGGGGTCTAATAGATCCCTGATGTCTTCATAAGGAGCCCCGATGAAGGGAAGACAATAGGTGTCTAATAGATCTCTGATGTCTTCATAAAGAGCCCCGAAGGGCTGCACAGGCACTGGCTCCCAGGCCTTCCCATTCTGTGGTAAAGGGGTGGTAACTTTGAACGCATGGATGTTCCTTGACTCCCCCGCAACATTCACTACTTCCCTTTTGGGTTAAAGCTTGACATATATTATACATTTTTCTTGTTCAATTTCCTTTAGATTTACCTTCACTATGTAGTACAAGGACCTGTCTCATTGCATACAAATTGAAAGTGTTTAGGTCTGACCTCATATTATACGGATTTATTAAATCTAAATAGGTAAAATGTAGAATAAAAAAAAATTGTATCATGTATGGCCAACCTTACAGTCATTTCTTGGCTACTGTGGCTAAGGATGCAGCTAATCGAGCACAAACTGTGCTTGATTAGCTGCAGGGGAGACATTAGAGGTCTAATAGATCCCTGAAGTCTTCATAAAAAGCCCAGATGAAGGGGAGACATTAGGGGTCTAATAGATCCCCGATGAAGGGGAGACATTAGGGGTCTAATAGATCCCCGATGAAGGGGAGACATTAGGGGTCTAATAGATCCCCGATGAAGGGGAGACATTAGGGGTCTAATAGATCCCCGATGAAGGGGAGACATTAGGGGTCTAATAGATCCCCGATGAAGGGGAGACATTAGGGGTCTAATAGATCCCCGATGAAGGGGAGACATTAGGGGTCTAATAGATCCCCGATGAAGGGGAGACATTAGGGGTCTAATAGATCCCCGATGAAGGGGAGACATTAGGGGTCTAATAGATCCCCGATGAAGGGGAGACATTAGGGGTCTAATAGATCCCTGATGTCTTCATAAGGAGCACTGATTAAGCGGGCACTTGGACCCCCGAAACACTTTGGCTACTTCTCAAGTTATACCCCTGACCTTTAATGGAATAAAGTTGTATCTGGACCTCTTATGAGTTGTGTGGTGCTTCTATTTCAGCTCTTCTTACATTACACTACAAGCCAGAGAGATGGTGGAGACCCTCTGGGATGAAGAAGCCACCTGCCCATGAACCAGATCATTTACACCAGGGGCCTCCAAAGTTTCTAAACAAAGGGCCAGTTTAGTGTCCTTAAGACTTTGAGGGGGCCAGACTGTGGCCAGTGAAAGTAGAAAATGCCCTGGCTTCAATGAGAGTTAACAATGGCCCATCATTGGCATTAGTGGAAGGAATATTGCCCCATTGCGGGGACCAGGGGAAGGAATAGTGCTCTACCATTGGTGTCATTGGCGGGAAGAGTGGCCCACCCTTGGGGGTCATTGGCGGGAAGAGTGGCCCACCCTTGGGGGTCATTGGCGGGAAGAGTGGCCCACCCTTGGGGGTCATTGGCGGGAAGAGTGGCCCACCCTTGGGGGTCATTGGCGGGAAGAGTGGCCCACCCTTGGGGGTCATTGGCGGGAAGAGTGGCCCACCCTTGGGGGTCATTGGCGGGAAGAGTGGCCCACCCTTGGGGGTCATTGGCGGGAAGAGTGGCCCACCCTTGGGGGTCATTGGCGGGAAGAGTGGCCCATCCTTGGGGGTCATTGGCGGGAAGAGTGGCCCACCCTTGGGGGTCATTGCTAGGCATAGTGTCCCATCGTTGCGGGTCATTGGCAGGAATAGTGTCCCATCGTTGCGGGTCATTGGCAGGAATAGTGTCCCATCGTTGCGGGTCATTGGCAGGAATAGTGTCCCATCGTTGGGGGTCATTGGCAGGAATAGTGTCCCATCGTTGGGGGTCATTGGCAGGAATAGTGTCCCATCGTTGGGGGTCATTGGCAGGAATAGTGTCCCATCGTTGGGGGTCATTGGCAGGAATAGTGTCCCATCGTTGGGGGTCATTGGCAGGAATAGTGTCCCATCGTTGGGGGTCATTGGCAGGAATAGTGTCCCATCGTTGGGGGTCATTGGCAGGAATAGTGTCCCATCGTTGGGGGTCATTGGCAGGAATAGTGTCCCATCGTTGGGGGTCATTGGCAGGAATAGTGTCCCATCGTTGGGGGTCATTGGCAGGAATAGTGTCCCATCGTTGGGGGTCATTGGCAGGAATAGTGTCCCATCGTTGGGGGACATTGGCAGGAATAGTGTCCCATCGTTGGGGGACATTGGCAGGAATAGTGCCTTATTGTTGGTATCAGTGACAAGGATTGTGCCCTTTTGTTGATGTCAGTGGTAGGAATAGTGCCCAAAGGGCTGGATAGAAGCAAAGGGCCACATCCGGCCCCCGGGCCGCAGTTTGGAAACCACTGATTTACACAACATAATATCTTACGATAACAAAACCAGTGGAGCATACCTGCGGGCCCCGGGCTGTCTTTCCACAAGTCTTCATAAAGAGGACCGGTCACCTGCTTATATCACATACAGCACTTGTTAGCCTCCTCGTGATAGCAATAAAGTTAAATTTAAAAAAAACCTGCCATTGAGGTTTTAAAAGGGCAAAATCTAGAACTGTCACCCAGAACTTAGGGGCCTTGAACAAGCATGCAGCCAGTGAAGGCAGGACTCCTGACCAGTATAGTTGCTCCATACAATTGTCTGGTTCACTGTAAACCCCCACCTATCACACACATATAGTATATCAAATAGAACACAATTCTTAGTATTACTATAGCCCCCCCAATACCTGTCTGTATCACACAGCGGGGCCCCCAGCCACTGGCACGTCAGGAGCTCCTGGTCTCCTCAGCTGGCCGATCAACGTCATCCACGCGCGCCACTGAACGTCAGCCGCCTTTCTATCCCAGGCCCGCTCTCAATGGTTCCGACGTCGACGTGCCTGACGTCTCTGCGTGCGTCCCCCCGTCTCTGGAGGCGCAAGGCACGTAACCCGGAAGCGGTCAGCGGGTCGGGGCCGGAGCGGTGGAGTGTGAGGGGGTGACGATGCCTCTCCCGGTGCAAGTGTTCAGCCTGCAGGTCAGAGGAGGAGAGGGCGGGGTCGGCTGTATGGTGTATGTATCAATGTGAGGGGGGTCACCCCTCCCCTGGAAGGAGGACTGCCTGTGTTGCTCATAGCAACCAAGCACACTTTTCTTTCCATTGGAGGTGGTCAGACTGGTTGCTGTGGAGGACATAAGTGGGGCTTCTTTTAAGTACTGAGGTGGAGTCTGTTGAGGGGTCGGTGCTGACTGCGCTGCCTCGGGGACTGGCTCCTACTTGCCGTGCAGCGCGGGGAGGCGTGTCCTATTCAGCAACAATCTGCATTAGGTGGGATATTTCTGGTGGTGCTGATTCAGGGAATGGCTCCTACTTGTCATGCAGCGCAGGGAGGCGTGTCCTTACATTCTGCATTGCACAGGATATTTCTGATGGTGTTGATTCGGGGACTGGCACCTACTTGCCATGCAGCGCAGGGAGGCGTGTCCTATTCAGCGACAATCTGCATTACACGGGATATTTTTGGTGGTGCTGATTCAGGGACTGGCTCCTACTTGCCGTGCAGCGCAGGGAGGCGTGTCCTTACATTCTGCATTACACAGGATATTTCTGGTGGTGCTGATTCAGGGACTGGCTCCTACTTGCCGTGCAGCGCAGGGAGGCGTGTCCTATTCAGCGACAATCTGCATTACACGGGATATTTTTGGTGCTGCTGATTCAGGGACTGGCTCCTACTTGCCGTGCAGCGCAGGGAGGCGTGTCCTTACATTCTGCATTGCACAGGATATTTCTGATGGTGTTGATTGGGGACTGGCTCCTACTTGCCATGCAGCGCAGGGAGGCGTGTCATATTCAGCGACAGTATGCATTGCACAGGATATTTCTGGTGGTGCTGATTCAGGGATTGGCTCCTACTTGCCATGCAGCTCAGGGAAGCACGTTATATTTCGCAACACTAGGCTCCGTTCACAAAAGCAAATTGTGTTCGGTATTTAGGAGATCTGACACCTTTTCCCCCCAAATATCGCACATGATGCTGAAAATGTTGATTCACCGTAACCTTACCTATAACCTTCAGTGCCGCATAAATGGTGTTAAAGTCATTTCCCCTAAACCCTGGTTCTCATCGGTGCAAGTTTTCATGGGATTTGACCGTTCCAAATCACATGACAAGTCCTAACCCATTGCCAGCAATGCAATCGTTCAAATTGGTGTGGCACTGACTTTGAAAAAAGGTTTTATTTTTGGACTTGCATAGGGACCGTGCATGAAGTCGCACAGATGTCAGGCAAGCGGCACGTGAAATCGCAGTGACCAGTGGGATGGAAATCGCGCTACTTCAAGCGGAGTTCCAGTGAAAATGTTAAACAGACACAAGTCAGCCACTACAAAAACTGTAGCGGCTGACTTTTAAAAAACAGACACCTTGATTCCGCGGTGTCCTCCCCGCAGCCCACTTCAGCGGCCGGTCAGTGTTCCCGGCATCTGCAGTGTGGGCACCCGGCTGTGACAGCTTGCGGCTTCACAGCCGGGTGCCCACTGCGCATGTACGAGTAGCGCTGCGCTTTCTGATTGGTCCCGTAGTCTTCTGGGACCTGTCACATGTCCTAGAAGACTACAGGGGGGGGAGGACAACTTTCGCTTCCGATTGCCTGGGCAACCTGAGAGCCGCAGTACTACAAGTTCCATCATGCCTCTGCAAGTCATAGCTGTAACTCAGTTTTGTAATCTTTGCAATGCCTCATGGGAAATGTAGTTCCACAACAGCTAGAGAGCCGCAGGTCGCCTACCCCTGGCCTAGGCGATCGCAGCGGAAATGGGAGCGGGTACCTGTCAATTTCGCGTACCCACTCCCCAAAGATGTCAATCCTTTATCGGGGAGCAGGGGACCAGTCCTTAAGGCAGAACTTCCCCCTCTTTTTGGGTGGAGCTCCGCTTTCAAGTGAAGTAGTGTGATTTCAAAGCCGCATTCAGTGTGAACCAGGGCTAAAGGAAATAAATAAATGTGTTAAACAATTAGTGGTCCAGGCATGCGATAGTTAACTGCTTCCTGACCGCCCTATAGCAGATATACTGCTACAGGGCAGCACGGGTGCACAAAAGCACGTATATATACATGATTTTGCATTCCCGTGTAGGGGGCGGGCACGAGGCATGCGCGCCCGCTCGCCCTATCCACGCCGCCATTCGCAGCTGTCAATCACTGGGTCCCGACCAGTGATTACTCGCTGGCGCCCCGGTGATTGCCAAGCATCTCCGGCAGGGAGGAGAACTGTATTTAAGCAATACAGTTCTCCTCCCTGTCAGCTCGTGCACACTGCTTTGGATGGCTCTGCACAGCCATCCAAAGCAGTGTGATTACAGTTAAGCACGCAGACACAAGTAAAACGGCACACAGTTAACCCTTTGATCGCCACTCATGTTAACCCCTTTCTTCCCACTGCCCTTAGAACAGTGTCAGTGTTTTGTTTTTTTTGCACTGATCACTGTATTGGCGTCACTGGGGATGTCAGTGACACCAAGTCAGTCCCCCCCCCCCCCCCCAGTGTCAGAATGCCCGCCGCAGTCCCACTATAAGTCGCTTATCGCCGCCATTGCTAGTAAAAATAGAAATTCCAGTATATATTCCACCATTTGTAGACGCTATAACTTTCACGTAAACCAATTAATTTACACGTGTTCGCTTCTCGGCCTTTTGGCTAAGATCAAGTGTAGTATCTGTTCTTATCAGTGTCCAGTGGGGGTGCTCCCGGCCATTCTAGCTTTGCGGGGATGACTGTTGTATAGTACCCTCACTGGTATGATGGGGGTCTGGAAGGCTAGTACCAGGGGGACAGAAAGCGTTGCTGCCCACGAGTAGAAGCTGGGGCCCGTGAGTAATTCCCCCGAGAAGACCGGAAGGACCCAGTACCTCCTGATTTGGACGGATCTACCTTGTCTGGCCAGGGGTCGGGAAGGCAGAAAGTCCGCAAACCAGTGCCCCCTGAGTAGACGCCCTCAGGGGTGCCACTAGTAACACCTGGGTGTGGGACCCCACAGTGTGAAGATGGCACAAGGTCACTGTTTTTCACTCTTTTTGCACAAGCGCCCTTAGGTCCAGGCCTTTTGGCTAGGATCAGGGCAATTTTTGCTACAGGCCTCAGGGCCTGGTCCGTGCACAATTTGGCACGACCACTTTTTTATTTTCTATTTATTTAATTTATTTACACTCCCACGTATTGTCACTTTTTCTTACTTTTGTGTGTGTTTTCCACAGGATGGAGGGTGATGGGTCCTCGGGCCTGCCCTGAAGTCTAGGGGGAGGATGTGTGGCCTTTTGGTTCCTTCCTCCCCTGTCCCTGGGGGGTTTTCTCTTCGGGAGAGCCCCCTGACCAAGTACTGGATGTCCGGCTTCGGCTGGACACAAGGAACAGTGGTCCACCAGGCCTTTTGGCCAGGAGGACCAAATGGGAACCTTGTCCCTGTCAGGAGCTTCGTGCCCCGGGGGATCAGGGTAGCGGTCCAGCCCCTTTAGGGGTAGGACAAAAGCACACCCCTAAGTGCACTTTTTCGTGTGGTGTTTTGCACTTGCACTTTTTTTGTGAACACTTACGGGTTTTTTTTTGTTATAGTTGCACGTTTGCGGACAAAAAAAATAAATTTACACGTATTGGGATTTTTTTTTAACAAATACATGCAGCAGAATACATTGTGGCCTAAATTTAAGACGAAATTTGTTTTTTTATCAGTTTTTCACTGGAGATGTTTAATAGCAAAAAGTCAAAAACATTGTTTTTTTTTTCTCAAAATTGTCGGTCTATATTTTTTTTTATTATAGCGCAAAAAATAAAAACCACACAGGCGATCAAATACCACTGAAAGAGAGCTCAATTCGTGGGAAAAAAAGGATGTAAATTTCATTTGGGTGCAGTGTTGCATGGCCGTCAATTTTCAGTCAAAGCAACGCAGCGCCGTAATGCAAAAAATGGCCTGGTCAGGAAGGGGGGGGGGGATATCCTCTGGAGGGAAAGTGGTTAAGGAATCTGTTTAGCTGGTTGTTAAAGAGCTGGTAGCCGCCAGTAAATAGCTGGTTGTTAAGGACCAGGCAGCCACTGCGTCTATAGCAACCAGGACTTCTTTTATTTACATTCTTCTGTCATTGGTGTTGAATCATGGTTGTTAAGGACACGGGAGTTGCCTGCTCCTTTACATCCAGCTATATACTGGTTGTTAGAGGACAAATACCGCATCACTTCATAAAATAGCTCATGCCGTATTTCAGTAGCGTTTTAAAGTGAATTGTAAAAAAATAAACACTAATAGGTATTTTGATGCAAATCTTAACCCCCTTGGCGCCAGCCCTTTAAGGAAGGAGGCGGGTCGCGGTTTCTGGTAATGCGATTGACTGTCCCAGCAGTCACATGATCGGAAAGCTCCCGGTTGCAAGTAGAGATCGGAAGCTTTCCATTAGCCGCCGGTAACTTTGCTGGGAGCACGCACGGTGTACGCTCTCGGCAGAGATCTGTTTTTCTTTGGGTATGCATATATGCGGCCTCTCGACGTTAGGGCCCATCCTCCAAGGGGCCACATATGCGCATACGTCTGTTGGGAAGGAGTTGAAAGGGTAGATACCTCTTTGTAAATGGAGCCCCAGTATGCGATACGCTGCAAGTTTCATACGGCGTTAGTTCAGGGCCTGGCTGCTACTTGCAATGTAGTGCAGGGAGGCATGTCCTATTTATATCATTTATTCACAATAATATTGTTTATTCCAGGGTGGATTGATTTAAATCACTAGTCAGTAAGGCTTGATGTAAATCCTAGTTTTCTACATAAAGACTAATTCTTGCTGGTATAACTTTAATATACAAGTAGATGAAGATTTTTAGAACAACAACTTTTCATATTAGTTTTTTTTATCCCCAGTTTAATAGGTTAATCATTCATATTTGGACAACTTTTCTGTTGTACTTAGGAAGGAGAAAAATAATCATTACCTTAATAATAACAATTTAAATAGATTTATTCATCTGAAACAATAACATTCCAGCATATGTGAT